AATTTCTCCCGGTTTGTCACCAACCTACCTGCTTTCCACCGTGTCCTCGTCTTTGTCTGTGTGAAATCTGTCCCAGTCCCATTCGTTCCACCTGCTGAGAGATACCTTGTGGGCCGTGTGGGTCCTGTTGACCACCGCTCTTACCGCTGCATCGTGCGGTATGGATACCGTGATGTCCATCAAGACGTGGACTCGTTCGAAACAGAGCTGGTGAGCAAGCTTGCGGATTTCATCCGTTACGACTGGCACAAAAGAACACAACAACAAGAGGACGACACCGCCCGCTCTGTCCATTCCAACGAATCCTCGAGCGAGTCGAGACTGGCCGTGATTGGAACAGTGGCTTACGAGATCGAAGACAATCTCCAACCAGAGAGCGTCTCAATAGGATTCTCCACAGTGGAAAGCATGGAAGACGTAATAGAAATGGCGGAAGCAGTGCCAACAACCACCATAAGACGGGTGAGATTTGCGGTCCCAGAAGACAGTTACGAGGATGAAGGGTCGTCAGCGTCTGTGGAAGCAGAGGGGGAGCTGAGAAGTGAGCTGAGGGATTTGCTGGCGGCGCAGGAGGCGGGAACGGCGTTTATATTGGGACATTCACACGTGAAAGCGAAACAAGGATCATCGGTGATGAAGAGGTTGGCAGTTAATTTCGGTTACAATTTCTTGAGAAGGAACTGTAGAGGACCTGACGTGGCGCTTAAGGTCCCGCCCGTTTCTCTTTTAGAAGTCGGCATGGTTTATGTCATCTGAATTATTAATTACATACATAAAAACTTCATTCCTCTGTTGTAAATTCGTGATGGTGTAGCGTTGTTCTTTAGATCCATCTCTGTGTTTTTGACTTTTTGACTTTTTGACAAATCTAAAGAAAGACCAAGATGGTCATATTTACTTATATTAGCGTTATACATCATCCATTGTCCTATCACATAATACGACCGCGTATAGAGATGGTGCCAAAACGGTGCGTTTGGAGAATGGTCATGGATCATGGCGGGAAAAACCTATCAGATATGGCGGGAAAGGCCCAACTATAGACTTCGCCACCCCTTTGATTGAGCAAAGACTCCATTTTTTCTTCTGTAACCCTCTCACCGATTAACTTCATAGAGAGATTTTTGGCAAAAAAGTAAGAAATCAAAGCTAGGTTGAGAGATATGGGAGGGCCGGCGTATGATTGTCTGACTAACCCTCTAGGAGCTGTACGGTTCTCCTTCGTAAATGCTCTGTCTTCCGGCTATGATCCGGCGTCGTCAGTCGGGAAAGACTGGGGCGTCTTGGATCTGTTCCGTCACTACTTCTCCGATGAATCTGCTATATCCCAGGTTCTCTTTTCTCTTTAATCTTACTCTGTTTCCGAATTCGCTATGTTTTTTGGTTTTTGGGTTTAGGGTAATCGAGTATTAATTTATTGTGTATTTGGTTCATTACTACCCAATTCGTGTTTTCAATCTCCAGCATATAAAAGTTGATTTTGTTTTCATCTAATTTGGTACTGTTTCTGACTAAATCAGCTTCTTTTAGGTTTTAGTCTATCCATAGATTGTTTAATTTGGGGTTTAGAATGATCTGTTCCTCATATTTTTTTCTGAATTAACAAATATTTTATTTTTGTTTTGTCTATTGTAGGTTCCAATTCTTGATTCGTCAAGTATCAATTGGGTGCAGCCCAATACACTTGTTCGGTTTCGTGGAATGATACAGGACATGCTTGGAAATGAATTCTATGCTGGTGCTTACAAGGTATGAATATATGAATATCACTTTGCTTTTGATAATTTCTACTAAGGAAATTTCTCAATAATCGTTCTTTTTATTATTATGTGAAGGATGGTTCAACATGGAGAACAAATAAGTACTGTGATGTCTCACAGTTTCCTGAGGGTTCTTCCACTGAAATGCAAGTTTGGGAGCGTCGCTTACTTTACTGTATTCCTGTATGTTTACTCTAATGCTGCACCTTCGTTTTTGTTGTTGCTGTTGTTGGGCTGTCATAGATGTTTAAGCATAATAACACTTGATCGCAATGTTTAGGTTCCAGGGCAAAACCAATGGACTGAATGTCCTTCTCAAGAGCTGAAGAATCGGTTTTTGGATCTAACTGGCCAAAACAGGGAAAAGCGTGTGAGGGTGGATGAAGAAATGACTGATTCCTTAGAGTCCAGTGTAAGTAACTTAGTTTCTCATTTTGCCTTCATCTGAAACTGGTCTTGCTGTAGCAATATCTATTGGAGTTGTTGGTCAATAACTAATTTTAGTCACCATTGCAGACTTTAGAAGCTGGGATTAATGGCTCTCCTTTCAAGAAAATGGTAAGGATCTCTAGTCTCTCAAGTCTTTACTTATTTACGAGTTTAACATGGTAAAAGACAATCAAGTTGTGGAAAGAACCATGAAGTAGATAACTTTTCCTTACTGTTACTGGCAAGAATCATGAGACATTGAGATATTGGCTGATGGGCGATTTCAAATTTGTATCGTTTTTGTGTTTGTCAGAAAGTGGGGGAAGCTACCTCATCAGCTTCAGAATCTCAGGTTCCACAAATTTCTGGTATTCCGCCTGCGACAAGTACAGATGCTCTAACTTGTCTTGTGAAGGTAAATATATGGCTGTTTTCATTGTATTATCTGTTAACATGGTCACGCCCAATCTAAAGAGATTAATTGTTGACCCAATTCTTATGTGGCCACACAGATCTATGATTCTCCAGAGTCAGAACTGAAGCTAAATGATGTGGTTGAATTTCTTGGAGTGTTGACCTTCGATCCAATTGCTATGATGGATACAGATTCACTTGATGTAATCTCTGATGATCTCTCTGAAGCTGAATCTGTTCAGATGCCCTCTCGAAAGGTTCCACGCCTCCATTGTCTTGTCCACAGGAAGCTTGAAACACAACATTTCCTGCATGGTTCTTCGTTATTACCAGAGGCAAGTACCATTAGTTGATCTTATACCTAGTCTTGTTCTGAAATTTGTGTCCTGAATCTCTTGTTACTTTTTGATTTGGCAGCCCAAGTCTCCCCAAATATTTAAAGAGATAAGAGAGAGTTTGATGAAGTACCTTTCCGGTCTACTAGGGAATGATCACATTGCCGCACAGTTCCTGTTATTGCATCTCTTGTCGAAGGTGATAATTTAGTTAAAAACGGATCACAAATTTTTCATTCAGCTTTTCCTGTTGATCTGTTGTATTATTGTCACTAAGATGTTTTCCTCCATTACAGGTGCATGGAAGAGTCGATAATGTTGCTGTTGGGAAGCTTTCACTTAATCTTATACACCTTAATAAAGAAAGCATGTCTGTCTTTGGTACCCGGCTCGGTGATGCCCTCAAAAGCCTCCTACCATTCACACAATCTATACCACTTACTATTGAGTATCTGAACACTGCTTCCCTTGGTCCTAAGAAAGACTATGGACTCAACAGGTAAGAATCCATCTTCACTATCTTAACAAGTGTTTTCAATAATTCTTATCTTGAGAAACCTTCAAGCATATGGTTTCTATGACTCAGATTGATGCCTGGAGTTCTACAAATTGCTGATGGTACGCACTTGATATTGGACGAAACAGAGTTACAAGCAGGCACATTGAACTCTGTTGGAGTTGAAAATGCAAATCTGCTTAAAAACCTCTTGGAATGTCAGAAGGTAAATCAGTGTTATGATTCACTTTTATTAGATCCAAATATAAACATGGAATCTGTTGCTATTTCAGGTGGAGTATGATTTCCAATATTATAAAATGGAAATGGCCACTGATGTTCAAATGCTCATCTTCTCTGAGGGGAAATCAAACATAATGCCCGCTGATTTGGTTCTACCTTTTCAACCTTCCCAAGTGAACCAATTGGAAGTCATCACACCAGAAACAGCAGAAGCTTGGAGGTGTTACTTAGCTACTTGCAAATCGTTATCTCACTCCATTGGGCAAGAGTTACAGCAGGTTTGTATATATCTATGGCAGTAATGTTAGAACCTGGTGTTTCCAAAGAAATCCATTGTTTTCAGACTTTTGAGTCCATACTTTAATTATTTTCTGCAAAATTTCTTTGCAGGTGGTGGAGAAAGATTTGGTTGCAGCAAGACAAACGGATCGTAGTTTAGGCAGCCAAGACTTGAGCAGGTACTAAATGTATCCTTTGTGTTTACTATAATCAAATATACACAACTTTCAATTTGGGTTTCTGTTTCTGCAGGTTGTTGACTATGGCTCGCATGATTTCTGTGAGTTATGGTGAGACCACACTTTCACTAGAGCACTGGCAAATGGTGTTGGAACTAGAAAGACTTAGAAAGGAGAGGCTCAAGTAAACCTGCCGAATCGAGAAGATAGACTATGGTTTCGAGATTGTTTGGTTAATGTTGTAATTTTCTCTAAGTTACCTGATTAAGAAGAACGATCGTTTCCTATCTATTTATTGAGAGATTCAGTGTTTGTGCTTTTGTTTAATCTGGAAAATGTTTAAAATACAAATAGATTCAGATTCACTAGAACTCAATGATCCTACATGGTATCCACCACTTTTGAATATTTTTGATAAAGTAGATAGTTTCTCTTAGCAGGTTAGGTAGGTTCACAATGTTAGACGCAAATAAGAAAACTTAGTTGGTCGCAGATATGTAGTAATTTAATAAACGGATTTGAACTTTAGTAGTACCAAAATTGGAATTACTCAGATAAAACATGAAGTATTGGATTAAGAACATGCACACTGTCACACAAAAGTACCAAAGAGTAAAACTAAGGACTTCTGTCGTGCAAAGCAAGTAAATAAAACAAACTTAACTCTTCAATAAGATAATATTTCCTTCTCCGTCGAATGTAAACTGCAACCACCAGATGGAACATGAACGTCTCAGTGAAAATGTAGAGTTTGCTCTCGATCGCAGTCATCTCGCATCTCTCACGACTCTCTCGTTTGTTTGAATTGAAAGAACAAAGAGAGAGAGAGATTTGACATATCAAACAATAGGAAGAAGATCAAGGATCAGGTCGAGATAAGCTTCGAGACACTTGGAATCAAGGACCCCTTTTCGTCTTCTGTGGTTGGCGATGGAAGGCTTCCTGTAATGAAGGGATGGTTCAAGAGCTCAGCAGCAGTGAGCCTGCGTGGATGCATGTCTAGGCACCGACTCACGAAATCTCTAGCCTCCGGAGAGATATCTCGACCACGCAACTTCCACTCGTAGAATTCATCAAATATCTCCTGGATAGGTATTGCTCCTAACATCTCATAAACCACACACCCCAGAGCATATATATCAAGTCCCGGCTCGATGACCAGTCCGTTTGGCGCAAAAGACTCTGGTGGCAGATACTTAGCCGTACCAATGGACACGAAATCATATTCGGAATCAGGTTCCTTGGATGAACCGAAATCAGCAAGCTTGAGATCCCACAGCTCTCCAGGAGTTGTGGAAGTGAAGAAGAGAACGTTGGATGGCTTAAGGTTGCAGTGAACGTAACCATGGGAGTGAAGAGCCACGAGTCCTTCTAGGATCATACGAGCCGCACGTTGGACCAGGGTCTCAGGTATCTTCCGTGACTCCCTGCGAAAACCGTATATAAGCTGATGGAGATTACCTTGGGAGGCGTACTCCATATAGATCATGTAGCATTCGTAGGGTTTGGTTCGTAAGTGAAGATATTTTGAGGCATCGACGATGCGAGGATGATCTCGGAAACGATGCATGATCCTAAGCTCCTTCTCGAGAATCTTTTTGAGGTGCATCGGCGATGACTTCTTTGCGCAAACTCGGGAGTCTGTCTCCCTCTCCAGAGAGACGCGACCAAACCTACCGTGACCAAGAAAAGAGACGGTCTTCGATGAAGACTCGTCCACAATACAATCATCATCTCTGCAAAGTTGCTCCATCATCAGAGTAAAAGCTTTTACGTATTCGATACTCTTTAGGGTTATTTGTGATCAGAGTAACTAATGTAATGTTTGATAGATCATCACTCGTTATTGATATCTATTTATACGAGTTAAGACATCTTTCCTTTTCCAATACGAAATCATATTTACACGCTTAAAGTAAAGTAAATCAATTTTAATGTTTAATATTATCTAATGCTATGATCCAAAATTAGCTTAAAATATTGAAATAAATTATTAAGATCTTTATTTAGAGACAATTATAAATACCTTTAGTAAAATTTTAATATACATATATTCACTTTTGTTTTTTCAATTTGATCACCAAGTTTTGTAATTAATACATGGCTCCAACATCCCCATTTTCTTATTAATTTCCTATTTCCGTCTCTGGTAAAAAGTCACAGTTTCCATTTTCTAAAAGTAATTTTTTTACATATAAACAAAACAAAATAAGTTTTTTTTCCCTCCCAAAAAAAAAAAGAAGTAATTAATTATTTTCTTTTTCCTATATAAAAAAAAAGTAATCACTTCCATCTTTAATTTCCTTTTCCTTTTTGCTAACAAAATCTAACAGTGATATTTGATGTATGTTGTTTAGTACAAAAGTCCTGCAAAAATATGATCAAAAATTTAGGGATGTAGGTGCAAAAGTTTCTTTATTACAAAATCTAACCATAACAAATCACAAGGTGCTCGGAAGGTGCTCGGAAGAGCAACCTCATTGATGAGATTTAAATGATATCTTAGATAATTAATCATTTAATTAAAAAGCAAAAACAAGGTTAATTAGCAAGATATGATATCTTGCATAAGATATAAAACTACTCCTAAGATACTATAAGATATAAAACTACTCCACTAATTAAATTAATTAATAAACTACTCCTAGCTAATGCTCTGTACATTTCCTTTGGTTTGTTTACACCACACGTTGAACAACTTTGGAAGACAATAGCCTAGATATAATGAGACAAGCGCCTGATATGTGTATCCATTGCACGTTAATCACTATTCTCGTCCAAGTAGTTTACAAACAAAAATTATAGTTAAAATATATATTTTAAAAATTACATATCTCAAATGCGAAAAAAAAGACGATGAAAGCCGAAGTGAAGAACAAAGCATAATCTTCACTCTTTCTCTTAATATCTAAGTCCTTTTGCAACTTCAAAGAAGTGTGCAACGTTCTCTTCAGGGGTTCCAACTTTAATACCATGCCCCAAGTTGAGAATGTGTTTATCTCTCCCAGCTTTCTTCACAGTATCATGAATCCGGCTTGTGATAAATTCTTTCGATCCAAATAGAACTCCCGGATCCACGTTTCCTTGAACCGCTATGTCTCTTCCTAGCCGGTCTCTTCCTTCAGCCATGTCCACAGTCCAGTCCAAGCTCACAACATCCACACCGGTCCGAGCCAGTCTCTCTAGCAGACCTCCTGATCCACTCGCATACAGTATGAGAGGCAGGTTTGGGTGAGTTTGTTTAACAGCATCCACAATCTGTTTAAGATAAGGTAAGCTAAACTCCTCAAAATCCACCGGGCTAAGCTCGGTAGCCCAGGAGTCAAATATCTGCACGGCTTGAGCTCCGCTATCTGCTTGATAACGTATGTACGTGATCATCGAGGTTGTGAACTTCTTGAGCAAAGCATGTAGAACCTGAGGAAAAAAGAAAAGTTTCAATCTCTGATATACTTACCAAATTGCCCAGTTCTACACTTGCTTTATAATCTTTAAAAACTCACCTTGGGTTGAGAAAAAGCTAATCTTTTTATCTGTGTGAAATTCTTAGATGAGCCACCTTCGATTACATACGAAGAGAGAGTAAATGGAGCTCCAACAAAACCCAGAACAGCGGATTCATTTCCCACCTGAAACAAAACATACTCTTTAGTTTAAGAGCATTTGTGGCTTCAGCCTTCAATAATCACTATTAGTACCTCATTTCTTAATCTTTTGAGTGCTTCTCCAACATATGGAACAGATTCCTCTGGTATGAACTCTCTAACTTGAGCAACGTCAGCAGCTGATTGCGGCGGGTTGAAGATGATAGGACCTTTTCCTTTAACAATGTCGAAAGGTATGTTCATTCCAGACAATGGAGTGAGAATGTCTGAGAACAAAATCACCTTTTCATACATTTTGAAAGAACAGACATGTCAACTTGAGAGATCATATAAAGTAAAACTCCAAATTAAATGGACAAAGAGAAGAAGAACTAACTCACCCCATCTGGCTTAAACACCTTCCATGGCTGCAGAGAAATTTCCACCACAAGATCTGCATTCTCTGATCTATCTCTGAAAGAAGGATATTTCTCACAGAGAGTTTGATAACTCTGTTCATCGAATTAATCAACACTCAGGACACACACAACTTCGAAAAGGAAAATTACATTATGAGTTCGTAAACAAATTAAATAGAAGAAAGCTTGCCTTCATGTACCTCCCAGCTTGCCTCATAAGCCAAACCGGAGGTCTATCAACAACTTCACCTTTAGCAGCTCTCAGAAGAAGAGGCTCGCTGGTTGCCGAGAGTTTAGGCTCGGTTACAGTTGTTCCTACGCAAAGAATTTGAACTCCAGTAAACATACAGACTAAGACGATATTACACAATCCATAAGCTTCTGCTCATTCCATGATCAGACTCAAAATAAGCGAAACCAATACAATAGCAGAATTCCAATTCTTGTATCAAGCAATATACTTTACTTCGAAAAAGCACGAGAGGATCATACAGTTAAAACAAGGAAGCACCACTGTATCAGCTTCTGCAGAACAAACTCCATATCCTAAAGTTCAACTAGATTACTATTGAAACCATCTATTAAATGCACAATAGAGTAACCAAAACACTCAATTCAATTACTACACGAAAGACCCAATTCGCTTTCCAATTAGTCGAAAGAGAAAAAGTTTGTGTAAAATTTCGTAACTTTACAAGTGCCCAGATATTAAGTCACCAAAAACTTCATCACAATGAATCAAAATTGAGGGTTAGAAATAAGTACCCTCGACAGAACAACGAATTAACCGAGAAGACTTGGGAGACGAGAGAGATTTTATGGGAGAGATGGAGAGAAGAGTAGAAGACGAAAGAGATGAAGTAGAGACTTGGAGGATTGACATTTTTTCAGATCTTTGAGAAAAACTCAAAGAAGGCTTCTTTCTAGCGCGAGGTCAAGGTGTTGTCTCTGCTTTGAGATCTTAGCATTTCTTCTCTTTCAACGTCTTGCACGAAGAAGATAGAAAAGTTTGATGATAAGAGATCTGCTGACGTGGATCAACATTGCCTAATCAGCTACTATGTCTGCCACGTCATTGTTTGGTTTATTTTAGTCATCTTGGTTAAATGTGGTCCGGTTTCATTGTTAATATATGAGAGATGAGAATATGATTATCACACTATCACTTACTCCAAAGTTAAATTTTATATTTCAACAAGATTTTGATTAGACTCAAAGCATTATGTTTTATTCAAAGACTAAAAAATGTATATTTATTGGTTGGAAAGCAAAAATTAAAAAAAAAAACAGGTAAAAGCAATCACACCACATCAAACCAGAATAAACACCAATTACAAACAAAATAATAAGGGATAAAAATAGAAATAGTGGAAGGTGTTCCTGTTCAAATGCTTGTTTTTTTCTTGTTCTGCTTATGCAATGGAAGTGTAATGTGTATGAAACCAAACTTTCTCCTCTGTGTGACGTACTGTTTCTCTTCATGCACCTCCTCTTTCTCCGCTCGTGTCGAAAACTTTACATCTTGCTTCAACTCCTTCAACATTTGGCTCAAATTCGCATTCCGCCTCGGGAGTTGCCCTTCAAGGCTCTGCCTCTCAGGAACAACAACATCTTCCTTTGGAACTTGCTTACGCCTTAGAACATCGCGCATTGAGACATTAGACTTTAACACAGGCTTTGGTAGATTGTCAAGTGGCTCATGGTGCTTGTTCAAATGGCTGAAGAAGGAACGTCTTGTATGATTCAAAGGTGTTCTGTTACCGGCTTTGGATGAGTCTTTTGTCCACCCGCGGAAAGCATTTTCAGCTGCAAGTTGCTTCACATTAGCAATCTCTACTCTGTTTAACGCAGCTTCTAAAGCTTGTTTACTTTGTTTGACTCCTTCAGTAGCTTCCTCAAGCTTCTTTAAAATTCCTCTGCTTGAGCTATTATCTGTGGGGTAGTCATTATCGATCCTTAATCCTCTCGGTGTTACAGGAGATCTTGGAGGCTCTGGGAAGCAAAATTCCGAGTCATCATCCTGGCTGTCATCGTTGGATGATAACATTGTTATTTCAGCTAGAGCGAGTGCTTCAGCTGCTCTTGCAGCTTCCTCCATTTTTCTAGCAGCAACTAGTCTCATCTCTGCAGTTCTCAGAGAGTTCTTGTTCTGCAGGTTTAAACCCGGTTCATCGGTTACAGAAACCATCTTAACCTGTTCCCTAAGTGGTTCATCTGGAACCTGTGGTTTTACCTTGATCCGACTCAGCTCCTCAGCTAGAGATAGCGGTCCTCCAAACCCATACGTTAGCTTTGCCCGTGTCTTGTCAAGGAAATCTTTTTCTTCTTTCATTTTCTTATTCAGAGTCTCGACGGAGGATTGGATCACTACAAGATCATTCATGGTTTTACCAAGATTCATCTTGGCTTGCTTCAACTCGATAAGGATCAAATCAGGAGATGACATGGGATTGTGATGGCAATGTTCATCATTCATCTCTTTGATATCTGAACCGAGATGTTCAGTACATCTAAGAGCTTCTTGCTGAAGCTGCCGCTTCAAGTCTTCAACAATCCTTTTTGTTGATCCAAGTGCTTCTAAAACATCCAGAGTTTCCAGCTCTTTCACAATCAGATCCTTCTCAAGCTCCGCTGCATGCTCTTCCATTCTCTTTATGTCAAATTCTCCATTCTGAACATTGACAAACTAACAAATTAGAAAATCATATCTAAACTCTTAATCCAACTGCAAAGACAATTAATCACAGAACAACGATCTGCTGCTTCGAACATCTAAATCAGTGTATCAAAACTTACTGATGATATTAGGGGTAGAAGAAAGAAACAATCTACACGACATTGATGTTATTAAACGTCTATGACTTCCAAATGTAGAATTCCACTCAGTTTCACCTCAATTTTGAAACTCTAATTAATTTCAATAACAAAACGAAACTCAATTGCATAGAAGAAACGAAATGCAACTCAGTTTCAATTTTCAAAAACAAGTGAAGAACAATGGACAATGGTCACCACCAAAAGATCAAACTTTAGAAAACAATGTCACCAATAGAAGAAAATTGAACTGATCGGGCATTAGAAGAAAAATTGAGAAAGAAGAAAACTTACGAAACTGTCTTCGAGCTTGAAAGGAACCCAAGAGCCACGACCACCGAAGCGGGTGACCGCCTCCTGAACGGACCCGAACGGAGGAGAAGTATCGATTTCAGCTCTCAGACCAACTCTCCTAATCCCATTAGAAACACCAACCGGATCAACAGAGAACCCGGGTTGGATCATCAGCTCACGGATCCCAGGCGTACCCGGAACAACCTCAGCCACAGGATAATTCTGATGCTGCTCCTCTGCCATCGCCATTGGCCACCACAACAAAGAAGTAAGAATTGTTGTGGTAAAGGATTTAAAGAGAAGGCCTTTACAGTAACCATAATTAATGAAATTAGAGAAAGAAAAAAAGCAAAAGGAGATGAGAAAAAGCAAAAGAGCTTTTGAAGAAGGTGTCGATATGATTGTGCTTTCTCGTTACTGAGTCACAACTCACAACACCCCCACTCGGAGAGTGTAACAAGAGAGAGAGGCAAAGATCATAAACGGGATGATTACGTGGCGAGCTCTTATTGTGTCGTATAACAAAGTTCACGTGAGAACGGTTGTACAGGATGGTTGACTGGGTTACTTAAAAATTTGGGCCGTTGATTGCGGAGGCAAAAGAAAAGGGAAAAAAAAAAGATATTGGGAATTGCAGTATCCATCCTCTGTTTAGGCCCTTTATGCAAAAGGTAATGAAAGGAAGAGGGACCTAAAATCAATCTTACGACGACGTTTACTCTGCCGACGCTTGATCCCACGAATCTTTTCTTTTCCACCATCTGTTTTTTTTTTTTCGCTTTTTTGATTAGGGAAGTTATGGACCATAATTAAACAAGTAATCCATATACTTTATAAACAAATCGAGCTTCAAGGTCTTTTCTTATCACGAAAGTATAAATTAAATAGGAGTATGATATATTTTTATTAAATCATGTCATCTTGTCGTATTAATTGGTGAAAAAATAATATTAGAAGCAATAAAAAGGGGCATCATCTGGTAAATTAAATGAGCAAGAATAATTGTTGTATTAGATTTTTGGTACGAATAATTATCATCACAACCAACTTTGTATATCTTCCTCTTATGTTATGATTTTATTTTTGTTTTATGGGGTCACTTCCATCAAATAAGTGGAACCATTGCATTTTGCATCCATTATCTTTATTTTGTCTGATTCTATTTCTATCTCAAGATGAAAGTGTTTTACTACCATATAAATTAGACCATGATTAATGGCAGCAATCAAGTCCGGAGCGAACTCATTACAAAGTACCTCGGTTATTTAACCTTTTTCTGTTTAAATTGATTATGTGGGGTTTATTATAACAGTTTTCTAGTTTAACATATTTTTTATAATAATGTTTGGGCCTATAAAATTGATCTTGAACTTGTAATGGACTAAGATGCTACACGTGCCAACTACGCTAAGTACACTGGCTTAAACAAAACAACAAAAATCAATAGCTAAAGATGACGACGAATAGCGGAAGCTAGCACGAAACGGCAAAGCCAGACTTTAATAATCGATCAAGAGCTAGGGTGACGACGATTTGTTATTTTGTCATGCTTTTCTCTTTTTTTGAAGTAGCCATAATTTATAGATAACCATGAGCATGGAAAAGTAAATAATTATCTTCAGAAATTTTCTGATTACAAGTAACACTAAATGCTGTTAAATAAACCCATTTATTAATCTCTAGTTATCACAATCTAGAATGCATGCATAATCAGCCGTCACTATAGAGCCTACACTATTTAACTAAGTGGTACTGTTCTTCATAACATAGCCCATCTTCAAATATATCAAAGCCGGTTAAAAAAGTGCATAGAACTGCCTAACCAGTTGTCTCTTTTTTCTTGGAACTGGCCTAAGTCTATAGACCATTGTTTTTTCTTTCTTTTTCTTTTTTTTTGTAATATCGACGTATACACGTAAGGCATATGTAGGTGGATGTATGAATTAAATAAGAGGAGCTTCGCCCTTATATTTTTCTAACTAACTTTGTCTTCATTTCTCTATCGAATTAAAGAAAAATCTCAGTACGACTACGAGACAATGGACCACGATTACGCATCTCCTATTTCTATTAAATACGACTCAACTGTACATCCAACGATCCACACTTATCCACCTCCTCTCTAGCTCTTTTGTATCCCATATTACACGTTTTTAATGATATATCATCTTCCAAACGACATTAATAGTGACAACGTACGGTTTCTAATCCTTTTATTTAGTTGGTTTTACACTTGCAGGGATCTCGTAGCTACCACAGGAGTTCTCTTGATTTCTATGTTCAATCAATAAGATCTTCCTATATGTTATTAATTGTGAGTTAACATGTAAAAATTTATTACCTAAATCTTTTGCAATAAGGGAATTGGTGTAATCAATAAGTTGTGTACACATTGAACAGTATATATCGCCCCACTCATTTATTATCATCTAACCATTTTCTTGGCCCTCTACAATTATTTACGAGTAGTATCTTTATATATATATATGCCATATGCACCCATGTGAAGTTTTAACAAATACAAAAGATAAAAATAAATAAGCACTTGACATGTGCTTATTATACACACATACACTCTCCATGCAAAAAAGAAAGAAAGAGATCCTTTAATTCTTCCGCAAACTTCTCTTACACTAACAAAGCATCACTTTTTTCCAAAAATAGATGCGCCTTTGTCTCCTCTTTTCTTATCTGAAGAGAAGCTTCGTCGTCTTCGGATCTCGCATTGTTTTTTCTTTCTTTCTTTCTTCGTTTTTAAGTTTAATTCAGATAAAAAGCTGACTCGAAGACACATCCAGAGAATTGAAGGGAAGTTATTTGTTGGTTATCAGAAGAGGCATTAAATGAAGACAATGTCAGAAGACAACACAAGTGGAGTCAAATCCTCAAAGGTTATCGTAAAGGAGAGCTCTCAGGTCAATTCATCGTCAAGAATCTATTACTACGGCGGAGCCTCCGTGCCGTTTTTGTGGGAGACACGGCCTGGGACACCAAAGCACTCTCTTTACTCGGAATCTTTTCGTCTTCCACCGTTAACGCCACCTCCGTCTTACTACTCCTCCTCTTCCTCCGGGAACAAACTGAGTAAAGCGAGAACGAAACAAACTCGATTCGTGAAGACTCTGTTGTCACGTCACGTGTCACGTCATTCGTTTTCTTGGTCGTCTACGTCTTCATCTTCTTCCTCTTCGTATTCTTCTTCATCTCCTCCGTCTAAATCAGAGCATCGTCCCAAGAAATGTTACCTTTCTTGCTCGAGATCGTACGTTAAAGAAGACGACGAGGAAGAGATTAGGTCGTCGTCGTCTCCGACGTCGACGTTGTGTTATAAAAGAGGGCTTAGTTCATCTATGGGGAGTGTGAAGAGAGCTTTGTGTTCTGTTCTTAGTCGTAAAGATCTTAGATTGATGTAACGGTTTTATTACAATGTTGTTCTTATTTCGATTGTTGTTATTACGGAAAACAGGATCTTGAGTTTGAAGATTCGTTTTTGTGTTTTTGTATGTTTTGGCTTTTGCCTCTTTGAACACATATATTAGTGTTTGATTGTGTTCATTGTTCAGTGCTTTACGAAAACTTTTGTCATGTTTAGATTTATCTTTCATTGTTCATTCTTCTGAATTTTTAGGTGTCGAAACTGTAAAATTTGAAAAGAGCTTTTAGTACGCTTAAAATGCAATTGATCGGTATTTGTTTAAAATTTACAATTTAGACACTAAATTATACTTAGTCAACGACATACTTTATCTAAACTCTACACGAAGATATGTGGGCGATTTAACTGACCATGTGCCAGCATTTATGGGCTCTATTCATTATTTTTATTTTTGTCTCGTTTATTTAGTCGTGATATTTCACTTTCTAGATTAATTTCGAATTTGAAAAAAAAAAAAGAAAAAAATGTTCTCAGTTTAAATCCTTAACTACTGAGTAAAAGAAGCTTAACTACAAATTTCAATAAACCAAAATAAAAACAGAATAATCAATAATGTCTTACCATCAAACCAAAAGAATGATAAACCACCAAAGAGCTGAACAAGACTACTATAATAACTGTATGTGTAATTGTATATCTTTATTATCATTATCTTTGAACCATTTATCCTTCATAAATCAAAGTCATTAAATACAGAGGAAGGAAAATAAAGATGGGTAGGTGTTAATACTTAATACATGTTCAAGAAATTTGTGTAGCAGTGCAGCCTGTGCAGGTATGACATTTAATAATTTATGATATGAAGTGATTTTCCTAAAAAGAAGATTTTCCTTAGAATATGCAACTTTTTTTGGGTGTCAATATGTAAAAGAAAAAAAAAAGAAATAGATGAGGTTCCCCAAGCTTACGAACCAGAACAAGGGTCTGTCCTTTTACCATAAAAGGGAAAGAAGTTTCGGAATGTACGAAAACTATTTGGGACATGCAAGGGATCTTTTGTAATAACGAATTCACTGTAAAAGAGAACAGTGAAGTAAATTTTAACAAGAAGAACAATTATAGTTGGGATTTAAAGTCTTGACCCAAGGCTGTCAAAGTCCTCGACCACTCGTGCGCACGTGGTTTAAGTTTTGATGGATCATCTAATTCGTGAAGTCTTTTAAGTATCATCATTCATTGAAGGGGTATAGGAGTTGGTGGCAGAAATATGCTAGTGGTAGAATTGTAGGCTTCCATACAATTGTGTTCTTTAGAAAACACTTTTATCTACTATATATATGGTTTACTTACTACTAATGATTTTTGTAAATATATCTAATTGTTTTGTAAGCTTTCGAATCAAGGGACGAGTTACGTTAGGATTCCAGTTTAGAATTAAAAGACTAAAAATAGAAGATCAATCCACAAAACCCACGTTTAGAAGCTGAAATATGCATGTTTGGTGTAACATCTTCAAGATTTGTGATTCTTGACGGACTGATGATCCATCAAAATCCTCAAAAGAGTTTTATCCATAAACAAAAAAGGGTTAAATGAAAAAGTTTTATATGTTTAGATACCTAAACCGTACTCTAATTCAACAAAGCCATATAGTTTACTAAACACTTATATTTGTGAAGCAGAGGTTTACGGAATAACAGCCCAAATAATAAAAGTCCCAAGAGTTTTGGTCTATGTCAACATCTAATTAAGTTGGGAAAAAATCTCAGACCTCTTTTGTTTTCCTAGAGAATAGGAACTGTTAAAATAACTAAATTAATGTAGATATCTATTAGATTGTGAGAAAAAAAAACATTTATATTTACTGAGTACGTAAGTTGTTAAACTATAGGTACTATCTTACCTGAATTCTAATTTTTTTGAAAAAGATTATATAATTTTGCTCTGGTAACTCAAATTTAACACCATAAGAATTTAATATCAAGTACAAAGACGAAGAGAGAACAACGGGGCGACGATTTAGGCTACAAATACGGGTCAAACAAGAATACACATACAACTCCAAAAGCTTTCTTAGAGTATAAGCAATCTTCTTTCTTTCCATTGCGATTTTGAAAGTTGAATACTACTTTTTCTAATCTATAATATAATTACAACAATATACACCACCCTCCTTTCACCACCCACTTTGATAGAACACCGCTCTTCATCTTTCTCACATCCTAAATCTACGACACTTTTCGAAATAAAAGAGAGATAGTAATTAGTACGTAAAAGTGTGTTCTTTGTTCATGGTTTGATTAGAGATCAAACTTTGAATAGGCGCACATTTTAATCACCAAGTATGGTATTTTGTTGAAATTCTGTTTATTGTATATTCTTTGACGACGGAAGATTCTTTAATTTGCATATTCATTCTCCTATTTATGAATTATATATAAATACAAAGAAAATGTACAAAATATACATACATTAATTATACATGCAAACACGTACAGTTATTAGCTAGTCGATTCGTACACAAATACAATAATTAAATTTGATTATATGTAACTCAATTTCAAAATAACAATCTATGTATATGATGAACAAAAAATAAAAAGTGCCCATAAGAATTAAGATGATGAGGTTTCTTGATTTGGACAAGAAACTAACATGTCAAAAATCGTCAAACTATCATTCTCATTCACTCTTTTATTTTTAGATAAATACATCTAACAATATCGTCTCTAAATCCTTTCACCAACTTTTTACTATTATACACCTTAAAACTATTTAGCTATGACCTATAGTTAAGTAGTTAACTACTCACGGCCGGTCCATTCGTGTGCAACGGTTTAGGTAATTTTACATATATGACTTTCAAAAAATATGATCGGTAAAATTGAAATCATACAAAGATGAAGGTTTATTTAATTACACATACACCCTATATAAGAAAGAAAGATGTTTGCTATAAATGTGAAGCAAAAGTCCACATGCGGCCATGGGAAAACAAAAACATTAAAAGTAGGCATTAAGCACGAAATCCATCTGTTGTTGCCTGACCGATGAATGAGTTTGACTACATACATATGTATACAAGTCTGTAAATATTTATGTGTGATGATCAGATTCGTAAAGTCAAAAATAAAAATTTAAAATTTAAAACCCTCTCACGGCTCACGTGCTTAAGCAGTGAATACAGCTCTTCAGTCCCTTACTAACTCTAGATATCTTCAGTTGTTTCCATGTTAAAAGAGAGAGACTGTTCTGACTCTCTCGAGCTACCAAATCCTGTTTTCATCTCCATATATATGAAAGTTCTATTATAAGCCAGCTCATCTATCTATATATGGACACTTGCATACACTCGTACATACAATATTATGTATTATATACATCGTGATCACTAAATCTTTACACTTGGTATTTTACTTGCCTTTAAAGCCTTCCTCGGCTATCTTCCATCACACCCTCTTTAAAGAGTCACTTGACTTTAATATCTCTCTTTTTGTTTCTTTCTCCTTTTTCGATCCGCTTAGAGAGCATGCCTGAATGTCAAGAGAAAGGTAAGACGTGAACATCTCATCATTGGTGAACTTTTTTTCTCTTCACAATGATTTAGAGATTTTATTCCCTCAACTGGTGGATATGGTTGATTTTTGACCTTTTAGTAGTCTTATATATCTTTGATGCTATTATTTGAAAACTGAAGCTCTTCTTCAATTCGTTGTGTGTTAAGGGAGAGATTTGAAGAGATAGGGAAGAAGATCAAAAGAGAAACAGATGCTTGGCCTCATCATATGTCAGGAATTAGAAGACCAATGTCGGGTCCTCCCGGAACCCTCAACACCATTACTCCTTGTGCTGCCTGCAAGCTCTTGCGCCGTAGGTGCGCTCAAGAATGTCCCTTTTCGCCATATTTTTCTCCACACGAGCCTCATAAGTTCGCATCCGTCCACAAAGTCTTTGGAGCTAGCAACGTCTCCAAGATGCTAATGGTAATAACCACTTCAAAACTCATACATAGTCTTAGTTTGAACATACATAATAAGAACTTGCAACCCTTGTGTATCACTAACCTAGATACATATATTTTCCATTATGAATCATTTAGATATATATAGTACTTATATATTCGCGAGATAGCTCTGTATTTTGCTATGAATTACTATCTTATAAGTAATAATAAAGATAAAATAATAAAGCTCTTTTAGTCAAATTCTAATAATGTGAAACAATTCCAAACTAATCAGGAAGTGCCTGAGAGCCAGAGAGCAGACGCCGCGAATAGCCTTGTGTATGAAGCAAACGTGAGGCTAAGAGATCCGGTGTACGGATGCATGGGAGCAATCTCAGCCCTACAACAACAAGTCCAAGCTTTACAAGCCGAGCTCACAGCCGTACGATCCGAGATTCTCAAGTACAAGCAACGAGAAGCTGTCGCCACTTTGATCGTACCTTCCAACTCCCAAGTCGCCGGATATCACAACTCCGGTGGCGTCTCCGTCATTGCACCACCACCACAACGACCTTCAACTCCACCACAGCCTACGGCGGCTCATCCCCCTCCTCCTCCATCGTCTTGTGTTTTCTCTCAACCAACCACAAGAGCCTTAGAATACGGCGACATTGAAAGTGAGAACAACTCCTACTTTGGTTAAATTTATTTGTATCATTCTACAAATACACACAAATACATATAATTTATTTCGATAATTTGTGATCCGGTGGTTAATTAAATTAAATAAATATAAGAGAGGAAGGTTGATCATAGAAAAGCCTGTCATTGATGGAATGTATATTAATATTTGTTTAGTTGGTAAGCCGTACGTACTACTACTTCTATTTAGATAACCAATTTTTTTTTTTTTCATTTATATAGAAGATATAAATAAATTTTTTACATATCATCGGAACAATTCATACAAAGATGCATTTAGATTTGGAGTAGCTTAAATTGAATAAATGAGTCATGCATACAGGTATATACCAAAGTGAGTTTCCTGCAGCTCTCTTTTTTTTATTTTTGGAGCCCAAGCGACATAAAACGTTACTTAACTCTATAAAAAAGATACTTGCACCAAATTTTGTGTGATAGCTGGCTTTGGATCTGCAGATACGTGTATGGTTGGGTGAAGTGTCAGCTGTATATTACTATGAATGCAATTAGTTTTATTTTTTTTTATTTAATTTTAAGGGTTTCCTTAGCGTATCGAATTAATCAAATCCAGCTTCTTGATGACCAGATTCATGCAAACAATGTTCGTTAGGGATTTGTTTAGCTTAAAAAAGGCAAAACAAAACTAATTTTAGAAAAATAATAAATTTGAAATTCATACCCATAAAACTGTAAGCAAAAAAGGTCGGACTCAATAGTCAGATTCAAAACAATTAAAACAATCCTATATAAACCAAATTAAATTGTAATTTGAAGACCATTGACTAGTGCTTTTGTGGTTGAAAGGCTTTTATATATACTGTATAGGGTCAAAGATAAAATCCGTATAGGAGATGTGATGTTTTGGGTTTGGTCCAGTGTCACCGTTGCTTCATCCTATGGTACTTCACTATCCCTTTTCCGAAGGCAACATACTATTCCACATGGTACTTATACATCTTCCAATGTGACCAATGGGTATCGATCTCTGGGTCAACAAGTAGACCAAAACCATTGAAATTGAGTTACAACTCGGTACTTCCAGACTTAAATTGTTTGATAAGAATAAACACTAAAGTTTTATTCATCATGTTAATCAGAATTTTACAACTTCATATTTTCTTGAAAACATATATATACATATCTCTGATCACATTGTTATAATTAGATACTAAGAGGAGATGTGTCTATGGCTTTGGTCTCCATTTGAACACATCCTCCACTAACCTCCTTGGTCTCATCACTCTTGTAAACATACTTGCTCGCTGCCCACAAGAATAATCCCATGTTCACTATCGAAATCACCATTAGAAACCCATAATAGTAATCAAGCCTAGAGTCATTCAAATTATCCCCAATCCAACTTTTCCCTCCGCCTTGACTCGTGATCTTATCAATCATTGTTACCAAGAAGCTGTTCAAGAAATTTCCAAGGCCGATGCCACTCGTGAAAAACGTTGTTCCAAGGCTCTGCATCTCCTCAGGTGACTGATCATAGAAAAACTCAAGCAAACCAATTGCGTTGAACACATCCCCAATGCCTAGAAGAGAGTATTGAGGGAGCAACCAGAAAATGTTCATAGGCACAACTTGTTTCGGGCTAGTTATGTGAAATTCCTTTATCACACGCATCCTCTTGACCTCCACGGCTGAAGCAACCGCGATCGCAACAATTTGTATGGCAAACCCTATCCCTAGCCTTTGGAGTAGAGTGATCCCTCTAGGGTTTCCGGTTTTCTTGCGCATGAAGGGAACAAAGTATTGGTCGTACATGGGCACAGAGAGAAGCATCGAGAGCGTAACAAAGCTTCCTAGTGAAGCTGCGGGGATCTGGAAGTTGGATCCAATGTTTCGGTCCAGCGTGGTCCCTTGTTTCACGAAGAGAGTGTTGACTTGTGCCCACAAGGTGCTTGGGATTAAAGTGACAAGCCATATAAAGATAAGTCCTAGCAGTCGCTTTGCCACTTCCACTTTTGTCACCGTACATGGTAAATTTCTTGAACTTGTCTTAATGGCCGCTTTATCCAAGAACCTGTAATAGCACAATCCAAATTACATTAATTTATTTAAATCTGTTTTAATCTTAATGGTGCTAATAGGTAATTTTTCTATATGTTATGTAGTAGACAGACTTCTTATAGCAAAAATAAGTTTCATGAAGGAATATGTTTTATCAATTCCCAAAAGATGTTTGATGAGTACTTCATATTTTTGAGAACCGATAAGTTATGAGACATATTCCTTCATGAGAGCACTAATGCCAACAAGTAAAGCTATGCACATAAACTTTTATCATTAATATTTTCTAGATATATATGTTCTCTATATATGTTTTTTTTTTAATACTTAGTAGCTTTAACAATTTGGCACGAAACTGTAGTGGATGATATTGGAGAACACATTAACGTGTAGAAGGTGAGATTTGGGGACCATCGAATAAAAGATTCTACAAAGCAGAGCAGGTACACTTAAAAAAAAAAAAAAAAAATCAAGATTGTATAACGTACCCAAGACAAAGGCATAATTTGGTAAAAATAATTTATCCAATGGTATATATTTCTATTGACCATAAAAAGTTATTCGTTTATCTAAAATCAGAATTTTTGGATGTCGAGAAAAAAAAATCAGAATTTTTGAGACAAGTTTCAATGAGAAAATAATTAGAAGATATGAATTATTTAGTGAGATGGCATGCAACACTGACCTGAAGGTGGGAGTGTGGTGAACTTGATGTTTACCGGTGCTTTTGTAATAATGGGAGTCAAGCTCATAAAGCTCGGAGATGTCATCAGGACAAGGAAGCTTCCGGTTTTTGAATGCCGCAATCGGAACTTGAACCAAATCTTTGGCCAAATTGTCTGATTTGATAACCTTATGTCTGTAAAATGGTGTTCCTATATAGAAGACAATGAGAGAAACCAAGAGTCCTACTGTGGGGATGCCATAACCTAAACCCCATCCGAGGTTCTCCTGGATGTATACGAGCCCCAATGTAGCAAACAACGCGCCCAAGAAAGAGCTAAACATCCACCAATTGAAGAATGAAACCTTTTGTTTTTTCTCTTCAATGCTACAACTGTCGAATTGGTCCGCTCCAAATGTAGAAATGTTAGGTTTTGTTCCACCGGCTCCAATAGCTATGGTATAGAGGGATATGTAGAAAAAGGATATTTGCAAAGAGGATGCCTTGTTGCATACCCCATTTTCGCATGTCGGTCTAAGGGATTTCACCGTTACCGCCATTGTTAAGAGAATCATCCCCTGTAAACATGAGAACTCATCTTATATTAGTCGTACGTGCATTTTGAAGTTAGAAGATAGTTCAAGAATTGATCACTTAGTCATGCCTCTTAATCAGAAGGAACCTTTTTACTGGTTCCTGATTTAAACGATAGTCATTTCTCGATTGAAATATGTGATCTGACAAAAGTCAATAAGTTTTTTTTTTTTGGCCTTCCCTTTAGCTAGCTAGATACTGATAAGATATGCATTTTCTTTGCTAAACCAATAAAATTGAAGTCAAGTGCTAATCGTGGGTCCTCTTAATTATGTGTGGAAAACAACGTTTGATACGTATCTATGTGTCTTAAGTCATAAATCAAATCTCGAAAGTGAAAAAAAAAAAAAACAAAACTAAAGTTAGCTTTTGTTAACTGGTGCCTTCAATTCTGACACGTCGCAACATTATGAAAACGTGTTCGAGTTTAGGCTTAATAATCTAATAATCAAAGACCTATTATTATTAGTGCCAAATGATTAAAAAACACGATGCCTATTTCTTTTTCTACTCACATGTTACATCACTTCGTCAAACAGGTGATGTAAGAAACCATTTGCTATATAGTTTTCGAAAAGAAAAACCTCTGCCTTCGTTAATTAATTTCAAAAGATTAAGTACTTTTATTTTTTTTACCAAAACTTGCATATTTTTAGATACATATAATTTTAAGTTATAAGCAAAAAGACAGAGTCAATTTCTTGAAAATGAGTTTTTTTTTTCGGATGTATATGGAAAATTCTGAGCGTTTTAAATAATATTTTCATATAATATAAATCCATTTTAACAGAAACCACACAGCTGTCCTAAACTTAAACATATAACGAGTGGAAAAAATGCAAATATATTTTGTGGCAGTGTCTTCTTGGGATAAATGTTCACGGACCCTATCCGATCGTACGTCCAAAACGCGACAAACACACACACATCTCTACTCCTTCTTTATCATGACTAACCCAAAAACAAATTGAGTAAAACTAAGCATTCGTAGGAAAACATCTGAAAGCATACATCTTTTAATGGAAAATAAAAATAGAAAATTGATGAGTCTATTTAACATGAAGACAATTAATTAGACATATATAAATTTATGGTGGTAATAATTTCTATATATGGTGGTAGAAATTTTAGACAATTAAAAACTTTAGTATTCTTAAGCCAAAAAAGAAACTTAGATTGTTTGGTGTTTTGTGTGTGTGTGTATGTGTATGTGTCTAAGTTTGAGTTCTTTGAAAGTTGTAAAAACGTGTTGGTTGGTTTAGTTAATTAATCGCATTTTAACCAACACAAAAAGAGAGAGAGAGAGAGAGAGCATAATGTAGAATACCAGGACGTAGATGAGAGACGAGGCAGTAAAAGTCCAAAAGCGACCGATGTATGAGTCGGCTATGTAAGCTCCGGCGATCGGAGTGATCCAAACAGCACCGGACCAATTGTTCACATTTCTAACCGAAGAGATTGTGTCTTCGTGAAGTCTTGTGGTCAAATAGTTCACTAAGTTCGACGCTATTCCATAGAACGCCATCCTCTCAAACGCTTCGTACCCTTCTCACACACAAGCACACACAGAAAGACTACATAAAGATTTAAGGGACAACAACAACGTACGTACAAGATTTTTATATATTTTTATCAAGTTGAAATTTGCGAAAAATATACCGAGGAGGAAGGAGCAAGCTCTCCAACGACCGGTCCTAGAGGCTAGGACGGGACGGCCTTGGAGGTCGACGGTGCCATCTTGTGTGTAAACTTTTGCAGCCTCCATCAATTGTATTCTTATATTGAAAAACTTGCTCAAAATTTAATGATGTTTAGTTTTTTGGGATGTTTTTGGTAATGTTATGAGAGAGTTGAGAGACCTATGAGAGGTCAGGGCGATGAAGAGAGAGAGAGACTAAACGGGAAGAGTTTTAAGGTTGCATAGTGTTTTTGTTTTTATTTTAAAGGGATTTTGTAGAAAAAGAAAAGAAATGAAAAGCAAAGGTCTTAGAGATTTGCTTAGTTTAGCTCTATGTTGCCTTACTCTTCACAAGCCTCAAGTATGTGATATATATAAAGCCACACCACCGCTATACCATTTTTTGTTTTCTGTTTCCTTTTCATTAACGTCGTCATCATCATCACCTTAGTCATGTAACCACCACCATTATGATCATCATCACTATAATAAATCCTTGGCAGATATACAATTTTTTTAATTGGTCCATTTTTTTTATAGTTTTTGTTATTATAGTTTAAATATGGAAGAAAAACAAAACAAAAGTCCTATGTATACTGAGAGCCGAAAATTCCGGTCAGTAACATGTAGCGATGATGACATTTTTGGTTCTAATGATAAGAGGATCACACAATAGACCTATGCCCAATCCTGTCACAAAAACAATACTAAAGAAGAAACTCAATAAACCGTTTGAAGTTATCATCATTTATTTGTATTACTTTTTTTTATGCCGTAGCCGATGCTTCATGTAGTTAGCGTATTCGTTAATGACCGACATTTCCAAAAATACACATTTGGAAGAAGGATATAAAACATATCATACAACAAAAATGTCTACACACACACACATTGGCTATTGATTGAATTTTAGTTTCCCACGTTTTCCCATTCATGCGAGTTAGAGTACTCTATATGTTCCAAGTTACTTGAGGTTTCCTAATTCTATGAGCTACTTTAAGCCTCACCAGATACATACAACCCAACCATCTTTAATACCACACGTGCACTATCTAAGAAGCACATGGATATGATAAATGCACAATTGAATTGGGATTTGTACGAAACACAAATAAAAAGCGTAGAGATATAGTAGTTTCGTTAAATCATTCGGGCATCAAATTCTTTTTGGTACTACACTATACTAAAGATCTTCAAAATTTGTTCCCTAAGGATCAAGACAAAATATCCGGATATTCAATATTGTATATGAGTATGACCTTTCACTTGCCGACTTTCAAATGCATGGACAAAATCAAAATACTTTAGATCAAAAGTAAAAAATTTATGAGACATATATCCGATTATATGTTCGAAACATAAAAGAAATAACGAAGCTTGCAGTGAAAAGAAAAAGCGACTGTGGTCCAAGAAGACACAACGCGTTAGATGATGCATCCAATGAAATTGGAAGGATAGAGAGAAAAGAGAACTAGTGGTCCAAAAGGCTTTGTGAATTGCGATATCTTCTCCCCCCCCCCCCCCCCCACTACTCTACGATGTTTAAGCCTTGATGGCCCTTGTCATTACGAATGTGGAAAGGGAAACATGCATGGAACTTGATGAGTTATTCTCCTTAAATGCATCGATCCACCACCTTATATTACCGAAGCTATTATCTAACCTTTCAGTTGTTGTTTCGTATTTAATCTTTTACCAATTAAACTAGTGTAATTGAGCTTAAGAAGTTGAGTTTAATTGTTTTGGTTTAATTAATTAGTAGTATTTCTAAAAGGGTTATATGAATATATTCAAAATCTGTTAAAATTTTCAGAAATGGTTTTTCTATGACACATAAGAAAATATCTTTTAACATTGGGTTAGAAAATGACAAGAATGGTTTTGTTATTTGATGAGCTCAGATATTATGGAGCATGAGATGCTGAGAACAACACGTAACAACCATAACCAAAGAAGGAATGGGGGAAAAAATATTTCCAACCATTTCAGGGACTTTTGACTTTACTGTAAAAGACTGCCCAATAAAATGATTTTGGGACCAAAGTCCAAATAATGAAACCACGTTTGTTTAGTTGCAATGACTTTATTTTTTTTTCAATGGAATCATTGTACTACAAAGTTTGTCAAACTTATTTTAATCTAAATGCATGCATGTAGCAAAAAAAGTGTGAGATTAAGTTGTTAACCATAATATAAAACTCTAAAGTTCATAATTCTGGATCAATTTAACATTTTACCGCAGTTGAACAATCCCAAGAAACAAGTCCAGGTACACCTTAGAATTTATCAGCATTTTGATCAAGAGCCATGATAGTAATATAGAGTTAAGAGTACAGAAGAGTAAATGATCAAAAGATTTGCACGAGGGTTAAGGATACGACTGAAAACGATTTGACAAGATTTTCTTTGTTGGCTTTCACATTGCAAGTTGCAGTGAGTTGAAACATGAGTTTGAGGTAACTTAGATGTTTGTTAGCTATTAGATATCTATGAGAAAGACATTGAGAAGAAATTAAGGGTCGAACGTATAACCACTAATCAGAAAAGATTCTTTGATTGTTCTCATTTGGCGATGGTTTTTATATCTCTTTGACCACAACACAGCCAATGCCAAGTTGGTGCATACTGTTAACTGTTAAAGATAATGTTTCCCCTACAGATCACTCGGCTCGACAAGACCGTTGCTAGATCCACCATTCAAATGTTCCTAAGCTTTCTATTCTGACTTGTTGTGTCACTTCATGCCTATCTACAACCATTAACATCTTTCATTCTTTTGTATACACAAGGACCATTGACACAGAGAAAATCACGATACACTTTGCTTGTGGAATGTGGACCACTCTGTCTTTTTAAGGGTAAGAACATGCAAAATTTACTTACTATAGGCCGCCACTAGATGTTACCTCTTATTTCTGCCAGCTCAAATCAATCACCATCTATGAAGTAAGCTCTTAGCTGTTGTTCAATATAGTCCTCTGGGAATAGATGCACTGAAATACCAAAGTTAAACTGCATGTAGCTAAAGAAACTCATATACCACAATAGTTTGACAAATTAAATACATCTCATGAGAAATTTTGAGGTTCGGATTGCGAAAACTAACCAAAGATGAAAATATACATGATATGGAAAACTAGGCATGCGATCTCTTCCAACTAGGCAGGCAGTGTACTAGTCTCTGATCAGAAATAATGGCAGGACACTGTAAACCGTAAAGCGAGTGACACTAAAACAGCAAAGGTATCAGTTTTTAGCATAAGATGCAGACTGATCAGTGATCACTAACTTCAATTAGTAATAGTGAAACGTTGACATCGCATCCGAAAAATTTTCAAACCGAATATGTCATGTTGAAGCTGCAGCTTATGAAATTTGCCTTTTCATATTCTCATTGTGTTTCATCATGTCACAACTTTCGAAAAGATTAACGAAAATTACAAAAGGCTCATACATGACATCAACCACTCACAATATTGTCAATTTCAATATTTTCATATGTACCAAACTCTCCACTCCTCCACTCATATCTTTGCTTGAAACAAATTCCATGGGTGTGGTTATACTTTCATGAGTTAATAATCTTTCTTTTATGTTACCCGTTACATCCTTTTCAGAAACAGAACAAGCCACACAAGAAGATAAAGAAGCATGACATATAGAGTAAAGTTGTAGAGTGATGATAGTCATCAATTATTATTAAAACATGATAAAAGAAGTTTGTTTTTAACTTTTATTTCTTAGAAATGTAAACTGAGCAACCTCTTTGTCACCAAAGCCTAATAGAACCTTTCTCAAACATGGGATTACAGTTATAAAGGTAACCGTCAAGTTAAAAAAACATGTGACGAACCTATTTATTTACCACTCATCGGTTTAGTTAGTGAATTTTAATAAAAATAAAGATAGTATTCTGTTCGTATTCCCAAAATTAAAGAAGAATTAGGGGTTTTGTTCACTCCCCTCAAGTCAAGTGGAAGTGGGTTGCGGCGTGAGCGTGAGCGTGAGAGAAGAAGCTCGTCTCCGCTAAAATTGATCAGTCCGTTAGAGGGTCCTCTCTAATTGGCTCAGCGTCGACAGAGTTTCTCGAATCCCCCCGTAACTCGCTCCTCGATTGTTCTGGTGAACGTTTCTCAATTCCTTATAGCGTTACTTGCTTGTATAAAGTTGGTAACTTTACTTGGAAAATTTATACAATTTTTCTTGAAACTCATGTCTTCTTTGTGGGTTTCTTAGTCTCAGAAAGGGACAATTTTTGTGGGAACTAATATTGTTGGCAGTAAACGACTTTTATATGCTGTTGTGTAACATCGTTAACCCAAATCTATCTCCACGGTCAGGTTTTTGAGTTGCAATGGCAAAACCAAGCAACAAAGATGATTTCTTGGGTGGATTTAGGAAACTATTGACAGAACAATGGCAAGCCGATGTTCAGCTCAAGGCAGGGGACAGTGATGAGGGTGTAACTATCTCCGCCCACAAACTTGTTCTGGTTTTCTCTCTAACTCATCCTCTCTTTTTTTTGTTTATGCTTTTCGGTTTTTAGTGTTATATCAAACAAACAAAAAAATGGAATTTTTCTCAATAGGCAGCAAGGTCACAGGTGTTCAAGAAGTTGCTGGAACCAGACGGGATCAAGGCTTCAGATAAGGTATTAGAGACAATCACTCTCTCTCAGATGAAACATGAAGAAGTTGAGGCTTTAGTTGATTTCATCTACAGTGTTGATGGCTCTTTTTCTTCTGAGAGTCTCAAGAAACATGCTCGGTCACTCTATGTTGCAGCCGATAAATACGAGATCCCTCATATACGGGACCTATGCAGAACCGTGATTATATCTTCTTTGAATGCATCAAACGCTCTTAGCACTCTTGAGCTCGCCCAAATCCCTTTGGACATAGCCCTCCACAGTTCTGCCTCCACTACTATCCAAACCCATTTAAGCGTGATTGCTAAATCTGATGAGTTCAAGCTGTTTGTCGTCAACCATCCTAATCTTACAGTGGAGATACTGAAGGCTTCTCTTACTCGAGTCAATAACAGTCGATACAACTGTTATTATTGTGGTCGTTCAAATGAGCATAGACACTAACTATTAGTATCTTTTATAAGCACTGGAATTAGGTGGTTTACTTTTTGTTTATTGAGTGGAGTTAGATGGCACAAGACTTTAGTTCAAATGAAACGTTGACATCACATTTCAAAATTTTCATCCCAAAGCTACTGATTCCATAAACTGTTTTCATCTGGTGTTTTTTAACATGCTGTCAAACTTTCGGAAAGGATATTTAATTTACGAAAGGTTCATACTTCAAATCAAACCACTCACGTTATGTTTCAATTATACCAACCTCTCCACTCATATATTTGCTTTGCTTCAAACAAGTTCCATGGGTGTGATTACTTTCATGAGTTTACCTCTGACTTATGTTGCTTACTGTTGTATCTTATAGAGAAACAGAACAAGCAACAAGAAGATAATCAAAGACAGCATGACAGATAGTAAAGTTGTAGCTTGATAGGACTTTAGGTCTGGGATGGAAACTGGAACAATGAAACAACGTTGACATCATTTTCATTACAGAGTAAAGTTTTAGCTTCATAGGCTACATATCACAGAGGAAGTTGTGCGTCATATATGGCGGCATTGTCCATTTGAAGATTGCCCGTGCTTAGTCTGTCCTGAGCATGTCTTTCCCTTGATATGTGGTGAACAAGAAAAATGTGAGATAAGAAGAAGAAGATGATATATATATATAGTTATACGATTTGGAACTCATGGGTGAATCCTAACCGTTGAAACACGTCCGTACGTACCTCCAAGAACTTTGCAGTAACCAACTCATCAAATATGCATTCGAGATGTCCTCCTCCAGCTTGCAGACGAAAGTTCTTCTCTTAAAAGCTAGAAGATTAATATATCAAACAAACAACCCTCAAGTCTCAATGATTAGTAAAACAATAACCAATATATAAATAAAATCTACCATGGATAGGACGTTCGGATTCATTTTTTTTTATCGAGACATTATTTTCAAAGCTTTGATCTGTTATGGATTCAAATTTGATATTATTTTTCTCGTTTTTAAAAAGAAAATTTAGTTTATAAAGTCTACGATTCATTCGGTTTAAAACTGGAAACTTTTTGAATTTGATACGAATGGAACGAGTTAGCTAAGGATTGAGGAACCCTAGCCCTAATTTTGTTCGAATGAAAAAAAAAAATGCGAGTTGTCTTCATAATCAACCATGTAAATAAAAATATCACAGTACTTAATAGTTAATCGTGATTGAGTAAATTAATCGTGGGTGAGAATGTGGAGAACGGATGTATTTGGTACGTTTTCGGTTTTACTTTCCAGTTTTGCTGGAGTTATTATTTTGGTCACGTGAACCAAAAATGCTTTGTCTCCTTCTGCTGTAGAAAAAATAACTTTCTCTAATTAATATCATCTGACCAAATCCAAAATAATAATAAAGTTTTAAGTGTATGAATTCAGAAACAATGCTGAGCGTTTTCTCTAAATGATGTTATTCTATCATATGTCTCAGTTTGGTGACTGGCTATATATATCAAATACGTATTTTCTATGTGACTTAGTGGTTATGTGAAATATATATAACATATTACATAGCATTGATTTTTTCTTCATTATCCCTTTTTTTAGGGGAAGATTTTGGTCTACAAGATGGACATACAAGAAGAAAAAAAAGAAAAAAGAAAAAAGCAGGAATACTATAGAAATTGTGTTATTATATTTGTATAATAAGAGAAATAAATAAAGGAAAAGGAAAAAATAAAAAGTGGGTCAATCTAGAATCTAGATCTGTGGATCATTGCTTTCACTCCAACTCCTCATTGCATCTGTCACTGCCTGTTTCACTGCTTCAGCATCCATGTTTTCTCCTTCTTCATTCTACATTTTTTATTATTGACAGTGTGACGTAATCATTAAATATATATTATACTTGCCATTGCCAACACACACATATCGACATAGACAACACATGTTTTACATTTTGTATGCGTGTGCGTGTGTGTGCGCGTCGAGATTGCCCACTTTGTTTTCTAATATACAGTCGTATGATTCTTAAATTTTCATGACCATGCAAGCAAAATCACAGGCATTCATTTCAATATAAGTAATAAAGTAATTTAAACCACATAAAGTTTCGTAAAGTCGTATATACGATGACACCATTGCAGAACAAGAACATATATATAAGCAAATCAGTTTAACTATACACGATATATAATAAAATATAATGTACTATAAGATATGAGGCGTGGTGATTAGCTAATTACCTCGAGCCCCATGGCATGCAAGCTAAAGGAGTCAGTACATGAAACCCTAGCTTCAAGAAGGTTAAGCCCAATATCCTCAAAGGCTTCTAATACCGAAACAAGCATCCCTGGCTGATTCTTCCCTGAGAATATGTTTATCATAAAACCCTTTTCTAGGGTTTCCACTGTTACCTATAAAAAAAGGCCCAATCAGAAATCTCTAAATCAATTTCCCACACTGTCACACATTGATCACATACGAGTACGTACTTAAAATACATATAGGATCCAAAGGGAGACAATATCTATGTGTTTGTGATTGTATACCATTGGTGTCGTTGGATCCGTGGGCTCGCTTGAAGATTGCTCTGCAGTAGGGTCTTCATTGAATCTTTCCACTTTCTGTTTAAGCTTTTGGATATATTTTGATGCATCCATTATGATCGACGTATCGTTTTCCTGTCATCAAAACACGTGTGACCACATACATATTAGTAGCATATACGACATCTCAAATTCTAGAATTATACATGTAGGAGAAGAGGATTCATCTTCAATTCATCGATCATGATTGGCCTATATAAATATCCTGTTTGCTTATATATATACTTCGAAGAGGACCAAAGTGATTAGCCAAATAATTAAAATAAAGAACAAACTTGAATATAGATATATCAAAAGGGATTCAAATAAACCCAAGTGATAGAAAAATGATCCAAAGGGACGAAATCGTGATTGATTGAAAAATATATATAAAAATAAAGAAAGCTATATATATAGATCGATTAAGATTGTGTGTGTGCACGCGTTAATACTATGATTTATATACGCATACGTATGATTGCGTTTAACTCCGTCGGACGCAATAAATTAAAGAAAGAAAGAGCTAGAGGGTGATGTAATAATTACAGCATGAGAATTAGTGACTGAACGAAGCAATTGAAACTTCTCTTGCAAAGAAGCTCTCTTTTGTTCCCTGGACACCATATCTTCTTCTATGCTTTGGTTAGCATCTTTTGTTTCGTATTGAGCTTGCTCGATCGATTTGTATATTTATATATATAGAGGAACAATGAGTAAAGATGCAAAATATATATCTATGAGAGGGAGGAAGCAGAGATCTTAGATTGAATTGTTTTATAGGATACTCTCCCCTCTCACATGTCTGCCTTAGTCTCTCTTGATCGCTACAAAATATAATATACGGACAACTCCGATTTGTATCTCGTGAATTACTTGCTTGCCTCTATGTCTCAATAGACGATATTCTATTTAATATTCCACCCAAATTTTATTTTGTTTTCTTATATGAATATATTATCTTTTATTTTTACAATATTTCTATCATATAATTAATAATTATACGTATAGAAAACATACATATATACGTGTCTAAACCCTTACCTACCAACTTGAATATTGTAATTTAACCACTGTTTTTTTTTATATATGTATTGACGGTAAACTACGAGGTATACCTTACCACCATATTATTTACTTTAATTTTTATTTATGTGAGTTTAGTTTACTCGTTGTCTCAATACTATTCTAACGCCTCCAAGAAGAAGAAAAAATCACGATAATTGATAACAACTATCGCCAGCTTTGAATTTTTGGAAACCGATAAAAAAAAAGATATATGATTACAAAACTCCATTTTGTATGCTTATATTGATATGATGTACTCTTCAAAATCATGTAAAATAAATAATATATGGCGAGCATTAAAAAAAGACTTTATAATGTTATGCATATATATACTTTTTTATAAAAATACATAGCTAGCTAGTCATTCAACTATAAATTCCAAATTTAAAGTACTGTTTATTTAACTATATATGTATATATATCTATGCACACATATTTAAATTGAATAGCATAAATTAGCAAAAAGACATCACCATCTCGTATAGGATGGAATTTATAGTCAATGGTGAATTTAAAGATACGCAAGAGAACTCGTCATGATCATTAAAACAACAAGAACAAAAATCATTATATGAACTTGGGATGACTAGGTTGCATGCGGTTATATAGAACGGGATAATTACATTTAATAGATAGTGAAAGTAAAAAAATATGGGACGAGAAAAGGAATGATGATGAGCTCGTGATATATGGGGGATGAAGAATTAATAATATTGCAAAAAATCAAAAATCAAAATTTTAAAAAGATATGAAAAAAATTAAAAAATTTGGGAGCATCGAAAGAAGTGAAGGGAGAGGATAAAAGCAAACAAAAGAATGTTAGTTGTGATTATGGAATGCCTCCAAACACTCCTCACGGGGATCTTTATGAACGAACACATATATCCTCACTCTCTCTCTCTTCCTTCACCTATTCCCTCATCTCTCTCCTTGTCCTCTCTATCGCGCTCTCTGTCTATATATGTTATTGTATAATACACGTACATTAAATGTATTTGCATGCCGTATACAACGTGCAATCTCTATGCATTAGCAATAATACAAATCCCATTTTTGAACAAACACCAATGTAAAGTCACATCTTTCAAAACACGCATATCATATATAAAGGTTGATCCATATGCCTAACAATTTGCCCTTTACATTACATATAGAATGATGATTTGATGGATCAATCTTAAAGAAAAAAAGAACACATCTATCAAGTTAGTCGGCATGCATCCTTATGTATACTTATTATCATACGATGTTGTTGTTGGTATATGCAAGCGTATATATATATAGATACATGCCTTTATACGTATGTGGTGAGTTTGGATAGATTAGCAATGGTATAGGGATATGGAACATTGTCTATATAGGAGACGGACAAACAAACGTACCCACCAATTCACATGTGTGCCAATTAATCATCACAACAAAACAACACTCTACACACAAGTCCCGTTGCTTCATATCAAACCTCTTTCAATTTCTTTTCACGTCTATAGCTTCATTCATTTGGGCATTTTACTATTTCCATTATTCTTCTTCCTCCAATACACTCTGTTTCGTTTCTTATCTCTTTTTTTTTTCTTTTTCAAAACATATATTTTAGGGTTTGGGGCAAAACCTTTGATTATCTCCGCCTCTCTTCTACTCCACGTTCCATGTGTATGGTTTGATACATATATACATATTAATTAAAATCGGATGGTCGAGTTTTGATTTGTACTCAAATGTACGTAACTCCTCTGCATTGCATGTCGTATTATATAGGTGTAAATATCTACATAATTAAATTATGTACGCTGTTGACTGACTTGGACCTGATCGATCGGGATACCACCTCATCACCCTTAAGGGTTCCAAATCCAATTTACATTACTACAATTTCGATTTCAAAAATTTAAATGTTAAATTGTTAATATCTCTCTGATAAAGAATAGTCTGACGAGTTTTTTAAATCTATGTATTATGTGAAATCGATAAACTATATTATTAGTTTTTATATACAATAAAAAAAAACTGGAATATCTTTTGGTCAAAAATAATATTTCTACGGATGAGTAGTCTCCGTTATATGAACTAAGTCGACGAAAGATACATATAAGTCAACTATTTGATCAACTTTTTTTTTTGGTTGAACAAACAACAATATGATCATGAACAGGTAAAAAAAAATCAAAAAGATAAAAGTAGTTCAATAAACGAATCAGTAGAACTTTTACATTAGTTATGATCTCGTTCGTTCGATTTGTATCCAGCTCAAGCAAAAGGTACTCTATTAGTTTTCATGTTATAAAATGTTGATTAGAGATTAAAATATGTATATATATATATATAGAAAGGGTCGCTATCTACATATGAATTCTAATGGCTACAAAGAGTTGCCTTGTCATCGTTTCGCTTCTAAAACTTTTGGCTCAGAAATGATCGTTTTAGAAAGACAAGTATTTTTCCTATCATATTATCTATTTATTTATGTCATTATGTAAATATAGATTTTAAAAAGAAATTTTGTAAAAGAGTCTCGTGTTTGTGACAGCTATATCTCTTTTGTCTTCTCCTACATATGAATTATATTTTTTTTTCTCACCCGAGACAGTTGATGTTAGTATCATTTTGGTTTTACAATATGCACATAAAATCATGTCATAAACAAAATTAATGAAATCCAATATTCATAGTCAGTAACTCCACTCGCGAAACGATCATTGGTTTATTTCCTACGTATTAGGAAAAAGGATACCACGGAGAGTTTGTATTCCAATATATTAAGGCGTAATTGATACTTTTGGTGATTTAAACATAGTGACCAAAATTGTTAGCCTTAATTATTATGTATTTTATACAAATACAATTAAGGCTAATATATACATAACTTAGAGTGGTCACTTATCTATCTCTAGTCCTACCTAGTTCGAGTATAATACGGCATTACTTTTTGTCGAAATGATTATGAATTAGCAGTTTAATTTTTCTTAGAAACTGAAGTTATATCTTGTTTTGAGAGATAGTGATGTCATCCAAGTAACATTTTGATAGTCTTAATTACAAAAAACATTACATTGACACACACACAAACTTCTTTTTCTTTCGTTCGTATTTGAATTTATAAATCATATAAATTTTTTGGTCAAAAAATAATATATTAGCTTTTCATCAATTTTTGTTTGTTTTTAATATCATACCTTTTTTTATATATTTGGATATGCATAAGAATACAAATATGCATATGTACTTCATATACACATGCTTCGTCATTTCTAAAGTCATTACAACCATATATACTTGGACAATAATCGCAAATGTAGGCAGAAAAAAATCATTCCATAAAAATAAACAATATAAATTTCATAATAAAATTATAATATATACGCGGAAGCAAAATATTTGGAAACACAAACGAATTTCTTAAAGAAAAATTAGAAAATAACAGATAAAATCTTTCAAAAAATTATACAATATACACAAATCATGCTTTTGTAAAAATATATAGTATAAAAATTCAAAAATATCCATTTTGTTATCCTACCATTTTTCACTAATGTATTTGAACGAGAGAGTTCTAGGTTTTTGCGCAACTGGAAACTAAATCTGTTTTATACAAAAATAAAATGGTACCATATTAATCACTAAATAGTGATCTAAGAAAACTATTATAACAAAAGAGTTTACTTTCTTTTCACGTCAACAATGTTAAAAGTGTATATGCCAAACATACTGTATATATATATATATATATATATTTTTTTTTTTAATATGCTAAACAGTTTACGCTGCAATTATACTTCTCATGTTTGATTAAAAAGTGTCGATCATCATCGTGATATATATAGTGGAATACATAATCATCATCGTGATATATATAGTGGAATACATAATATTTATATATATATATATATTATATATATCTCGCTCATATAATTTCTTCTACATGTACATGTTGGCACATCAATGTTAAGGACGACTCTCATTAATTAAACTCCAAGAAGAGATATAACATATTGGATGGACCATACGTGGGATTTAGAAGAGACCAAAAGGACAAAATAATATTGAACATATCTTAAGAAGAATTTACAATAATATGTTGTAGTCAGGGTTTAGCAATTTTGATCTACCCCACTCCTCTCTTGAATGTGACAAAAGAATCAAATGAGAATTAGGTCACGGGGGCGGCTTTGTGCTATCAAACATCACTCATTTTTTCCATTTTTCATTTTCTTAAAACTGATCTTTTATTTTCGATTATATATTTGTATAGTATTTGATCAAATAATAGACATTGCTCAATCATTTACGTCCTCAAAATATATCAGAATACTGTAGACCAAACAAAAAAACGCGTTTATCATTAAGACATATATATGCTTACATGTAAATGCGTGGCGTGTGCACGCATGATTATAAACTAAATTAGTGTAATCATGCTTTTACATAACTTATTTGTTTGGAATAATCCCACAAAAATGGGAGAGATGTGATATATATAACACACGTTAACATGCATGTTCATTCAGTGTTGTTTATTTTAAAATTGGATACACAAAACATGCTTGTATTTTCTTTTCTCTTGGAAGACATGATTTTGTATAATTAATGACGTTAAATTAGCTAGTTAATATTTTTAATTAGTTTAAAGTTAATGATTTTCATTTTTTTTTCTCTTGGAATAGAGGATGTATATAACATATGAATCAATATTAGTAGAAGACTATAAGTTATATTGTGTTCACTATGATAAGCTCTTTAAATAAAAATGGTACGATGTGATCAGTTAATCGTAATGTACAACATGTTAATAAAGTTAAAAATAGACGACACAAAAAATTGGGTTACAATATAAGTCAAATCAAGTTGTTAAAGGTATTATCATCCGAGTTATATTCTTATGAATGCACAGATTAATATATTCATGATGCTACCTGAACAAGAAAAAATCATTTGATAAAAAGCTCAATGACTTGTATTATATATACAAGTCAATTAATATGGTTTATTCGGATGATATCTACATCTCATAGATTTGTATATGGAAAACTACGAAAATAGGTAATATACTGTACTGTATAGGAGAAATAAAAAGATGATTAATGAATTGAACAAATGGTTTGACAAAAAAAATATGGAATAGCCATATAATTTATATACAATATATGTATAATTTTTATTTGGTTATTTTACCTAAATTCTTTGCTAGTTAATGTTTTGTGAATATTGTAGAAAAAATAAAGAGTAAAAAAAAAAAATTCTAAGAATAATATGGGCCCATTAGAGGGGAATGGAGGTACTTAAGGCCCATAATGTTTCTCTCAAAGAAGCCCTACCCCTAGTGTGTGTGTCCGCCCTCTTCTGCAACTATCTCCATTCTTCCTCCTCTTTCGTTACCTTCGCGCCGCCGAGAGACAGAGAGAAAAATGGGGAAAAGGGCGAAAACTTCAAGGAAAGGGAAAAAAGCATGGAGGGCTAACATAAGCACTGAGGACATTGAAGATTTCTTCGAGCAAACTACCAAAGATGCTCTCTCCGGCGGCAATCTCTCCGCTGCTCCCAGCGAGGATCTCTTTCACGTCAATAAATCCCATGGTTTGTTCTTTGCCCTTTTTATTTTAGGTTTTAGTTTTCAGTCTCATATCTCAGCTCAAACTTTGAATTGGAGTTTGTAGTATAACCTTTGTCCTTTTGAGGTTTATGAGCTGAATTTTTTTAAAATTTATCATACATCAGCCTTATCGGAATAATGAGATAAGCCTTTTTAGTGTGTTTGTTTGATGATATTATACTTATATAGCTGCCTGATTAGTTTGATGGTAGTTATGAGGATGTTCATAGATGGGATTGATATCTAGAAAGCTAAATAGAGTATTTTTTTTTTTTTAATGTTTGTGAATTTGATTATGATTTTTGCATATCAGACCTTCCGGTGAAGCGAAAGATTGAGAAACATAGAAAGAAAGTGCTCCGGTGTGACAGTGTTTTGAAGAAGAACCCATTTGTCCAGGCAGTGTCATCTTCGAAGCCAAAGTTGAAGAAAACTAAGAAGACAACAATCGTTACAGAAGACAAAACACCTAAACAAGTTATAAAGGTGAGTAATTTGATGATATGATTTTCTAGATTTATAAGATTTCTTCTTTTGTCTCTAATTCGTTCTGGAGAGCTTATTTTATATGATTGTTTCTATTATTCTTTGCAGAATGCTGGTGATGATTCTGTGATGGTGGACTTGTGGGATAATGATAATAAAGGTTTGTTTAGTTAATATTTTACATTCTAGTTGCTTCTTAATCTTAACTTTCCTATGTCATGATTTAACATTTCCTTTGCGAAAAAATTACTTGCAGGAGAACATGAGAGCAACCCTAGAAAGGTAATGTGTCCCCTATTACTACGTTTTTTTAGACTGTTTCTCAGTTGGCTAGAAACCTTTTCTGATATATATATATATATATATATAGGTTTTCAAGAACCCTTCAATTATTCCAGCAGTAGAAGTTGAACCTCCAGGATGCTCATACAACCCTACGGCTGAAAGTCACCAGGTAATAGTTTATTATTAACTAAGTTTTATTATCATCCTAGTCTCGTGTGCGAATCTTGCATTCACTCATCTTTTTTTTGTGTTGCAGGATATGTTGGCTGAAGCCGTTGCTCAAGAAATGCAGAAAGTTTACAAAACTGAGCTAGGGCCTGCACCTGTTCCTTTGACTATCGAAGGAGATGAAATTGATGAAGATGAGGCGAGTCCTTTTCTTATACGTAATAAAGTAGTCAATGGAAAGATGAGGTACTTTCTTGGAGTGGACAAAAATACTGGTGAAAGTGAAGATGAAGATGATGAAGACGTTGAGAAAGAAGTGTCAGAGGCTGGCATCAAGTAAGAAGCTCTTTTATTTACACTTCAACATACATTCTTCGAAGACTACTATATTTTGTTTACTTACTCCATCAGCAAAGAGTTGGATTTCATGTTTTTGAAATTCTTGTACTGCAGTTTCGCAAGAAAAACAAAGAGGGTTACCCGTGTGGAATTAAATAAACGGTGTAGGCAAAAGGCACTGCGAAAAAAAGAGATAAAGGAAAAGGCTAAAGTGAAGATATCAAAAGAAATTGACAGGTATTTTGTGATTTTAATATATCTTGATGATGTCTGACTTCTTAAAAAATCACACCTGAAATTGACAGGCATTTTGTGATTTTTACTTATGAAGTCACACCTACTGAAACTCTTGATTTAACTATCCTTCTTTTATGTTTCTTCCTTGTAGCTTACCCAATATCTTAGAAGATATAGCCCAAGAAGATGAGGCCAAACAGAATAAGCATTTACGACGGGTCATCGCCAAGCAGGAAGTGCTGAAGATACGTCCTCCTCGGTTGGGAAAGTACAAGTATGAAACTAAATCCTCCTTTACACCCATACATTTTTTTGTTACATTCTCTAGCTCACCTAGTGCTCATTCTGATCTTGTATTTCATAGTTCTGAAATCTGAATTTAGGAAAATTGATTGTTGTTTGTTTTAGATTTGAGGCTCCTCCAGTTCAAGTCCTCTTGACAGAAGAGATGACTGGGTCACTTCGTAAACTGAAGGTATACCCTAGGTTCCCTCAAACCAACGTTTTTGGTCCTTGTGAATTTTTTTGGTAGCTAAAAACTGAACTAGTCATCCTTATTATTTTGAAAGGCATGTTGCACTCTTGCAAGAGATCGATTCAAGAGCCTTGAGAAACGAGGAATACTTGTTCCCTCAAAGAACATTAGAAGGTTAGTTTTTACAGGAATGACTCATACAGTGAACAAAGTAGGTTATGCTGAGTTCTTACTTATTATGATCGTGATTTGCGCAGGTTTTAGGAACTCTTCTCACTGTCTGCAGCATGTCTCAAACAAGCTTTTGATAGAATACAACAACAATACTGTCTTAATCCACTCATATGTGTTGTGTTTTCATGTTATCAAATTTTAAGTTTATGAAAAAGAAAAACAAAAGATTTTGCCACCAATTTAATCGCTCAGGAGTAATTGTCCGGAGTCCGTGATTCATTTAAAGACTAGTTGAAGGAAACGTCTTTATTCGAAAACACAAAGTTAATTTGAGTAAAATGTGACATAAAGCATTGTGTTGAAGATATTTTTGAGTGTTGGCTTTTCTCCAATCTTCAGATATTATCTCTATAAAAACGATTCTCTGGTCATTAGTACATATGAGGCTTTGGCGTAAATGAAACAATATTTTGTTTAATCTGTTCTTTTTCCAAATACATGACATTTTCCCTGAAGTTGCTACACACTACACATCTTTTTCGGGCAAACCTATTTTACATAGAAATGAATAAATGCAACACAAGTCCCACCAATGAACAAATTCATGAAGAGAAGGGACTGCTCAAAGCTTCTCAGTTCTCATGTCTCTTCTGTTGCTGTGAAAGTGTATATATTTGTGGAAATGGCGATGATACTTGTGGCAACAGCAAGAACAAGCATTACTGAAGCTACAATCTTCTCTCTTAAAGTCGAGAAACCATTTACATTCCTGACAGTTGTCAAACCACACCAAAACAACTGATTAGAATTTAAACTTGATCTATTCAGAGTAACAGATGAGGAACTAATCAAGAGATGTTACATACCTTAGGACAATAGCAGCCGGAAAGATGAATGCTATAGAGACTGTAGAAGTTGATCCTAAGAACTGAAAGAAGTACCAAATGTCTGGTATAGCAATCGCACCCAAGAAACAAGATATCAGTAACGGAAAAGTGAGTCCGAAGAATCTTTTGTTGTCTTCCACTAAAGAAAGTTTCATAGGGAACAAGAGTTCGTCGAGGTTGGCCCTTAAAGAGAAGTTGAGTAAAGGAAACACAAGCATGAGGTGAATGGCGTAGCTGACTCTAACAATGTCATTTAGCAATGAACCAATGGAAGAATTGGTGGTTTGATCAAAGTTCATTAGAACATCTGACATGGTGGAATCCCCAAACAGAAGGTAACAGAAAAGACCAGTAGCTGAGTAGATAGTAGCGCATAGAATCACAGAGATCCTCGTTGCTGAAAGCACATCTAACGGGTCCTTGAGTTCAAATCCAACTGGATGGACTGCAATAAATTTGTCAAAATCATAACACATCAGAATCAGGAAAATTAAACAGTGGTAGAAGCTTATTGTTTCTCAATTCTAGATTCTTACCACTAAAATGAAATGTGAATGCTGTTACAATAACAGGGGAAGCAGTGAAGAGACTGAAAAATGATAATCCACCATCGTTGAGTTCTGGAAAGAGTCTTGGAGTCTTTGTTTTCCCTTGAATGATTGCGATAATCGCCAACACCGAGCTTATGACAACAAAGAGTAAGGCAAGCAGAAACGAGACTGCAGAGCTAAATGCTAGTCTTTCTACATAAAACATGAACCAGCCAAAAGTAACCAAATCATGAGACCGAAATGCATTGCGAGAGTCAGGGAGAAGAGTCTTCTTCTAAGAATTGGTTAAAAGAAACGTACCTATGCGTCTACATAGGACTAAAGGAAGCAAGAGGAAGACAAAGATGAAGAACAAACCAAAGAACCTCGTATTCCACCAATGGAAACCAAACCATTCTTGAAGAAGACCCAAATGTACAATTCCATCCTTTTCATTACCCGAAAGAACATCACCTGAGAGAGAGAGAGAGAAACAATATCACTGGATCAACTCAATCAAAGGTTTAAGAGTTTGTGAAAAAAGTTTCAAATTTTATTGAGACCAAAATTAAAATTCACCTATGATAATCGAGAAAATAATCATAGAACCAAAAGTCACAACCATTGTAACAATGGTAACAGCGACGGCTCCAGGTTTCCCAAACGAATCCTTCATTACGCCGGCGTAAGTCGTTGATTCTCCGGCGAGCGTTGACTTCATCAAAAACCCAGCTGATACATTGGAGAGCCAAGCTATGATCATGATTATGGAGAGAGATGGGACGACACCCAGAACTTTAAACGCCGCCGGAATCGACATAATTCCAGCTCCGACGATGCTTGTGGAGATGTTAAACACAGCTCCGGCGAAAGAGCCATGGTTCTCCGATGATGATGATGATGATGATGAAGGCTCTTTCTTCGGCAAGAGCGGTGCTTTAATCGCAGGTGACATTTTGCTTTCGCACCACCGCCTACCGGAGAAGAGACGAACAGAAAATTTTCCCCGGCGAAGAGGAAATGGTTAATGTGTTTGATTTGATTTTGTGAGAGAGAAGAAGCGGAAGAGATTGGTTAACGCCAAATATTACGTGGCATCGTCATCATATATATATCTCACTGTCACATAGTTTTACAAATAAGTTTGCACAAAAACTATCATAGAATATAATAATATTGATAGAAATTTCGTTTAGGAAAATATCTCAAATAGTTTAGTAATTTATCCTATGATATTTATTTATTTTAAAGAAATAATATAATTGTTAAAAAAAAAAGTATATTAACATTTTTAAACTTGGATAGTGTGTGATGAAAAATATTCATACACTATCACAAACTGGTAGTCGTCAAAATCAGAATAGTCAATAGTCTGTAATTTATTTAAATTTTTCGTTTTCAATATTGTAATCATGGAGACTAAAAGTTCTCTGTAGCACGACAGCAGTCAATATCTGGTGATGGAAAAAATAAATCTAAATTGCTCCCAAGCAAAATTGGCATAACGTACAGTACAGTATAAATGTATAATAATTGCCCTTTTAGCCTTCTAGGGATTAGTACTAACTATAAAATAAGTTATATTAGAATGCATCACATTATGGCAATAGAGAAGTAGCCCATTACTCCCTCAACAATAACTTGCTTAAGGAGAGTCTCTCTTATATATATATTATGAGGCCCATCAAACCGAAGCCCATTCATTCTTAACCCTTGTCGATATCGATATCCAACCAACTCCGCTTATCTTGAATGATGAAGCCACCTCGTACGGACGAAGAGGCTGTCGCTCCAATATAAACAGTAAAGATAACTATGACTTAACCTACAGACACGAACTCCACTTTCCATACTCGAGGTTTGGTTGGTTATCAAATTATGAATTGCTCTGTTGGTCTTCTCACTAATGACTTTGTAAAAAAAAAAAAAAGAGAGAGATTTGATTTTTATAACATTACTGCTTTCATCAGTTTCCCTACTTGGTTCAATGATCTTTCATCAACCGTAGGATAAATGTACACACCACTTACAGTTACACACTTCTTACAATGGAATGGGATTGTAGAATTCGAAAACCCCATCAATAATCATAAATCTCGATTGTTTTAAACGCTGCTTTCTTGGTTTGTGTTTATATCCAAGCAGAGTCAATTGTTTACTCACGCCTATTGTTCTTTCTCCAGTCCCATGGCTTCTCTGGGTTTGAAGAAGCCCACAAGCCAATACGCTTCTTCCTTGCCTCCTTTTCCCACTGAATGATTTCACACAAATAGAAAAGAGCCGTTAATACTCAACAAATACAATGCCAAGAGACTTGCAAAATTTAGTATATACAGCACAAGCTTTACTAATCTTGCCTTTGCGAGAACCATGCGCTTATCATAAGCTAAGTAATGCCAGGCAAGACCTTTCTTTAGCATTTCCTCCTTCATAGAAACCAAAAAAAGGTTTTAGCATAGTTCTTTTTTTCATAACGGAAGGAAAAGTATAGAGTAGTACTTTTACTACCTGTACAAAAGTCCCATTGCAGTATAAATCTCCTACGCAACGCCCATATTGATCTTCTCCATAAACTAACACCTTCAAGCTTTTCCATTGAACAATCTTAAGGAGACCTTGTTGTGCCTCTTTTCCAAACGGCATTTGACTCTCCGGTGCGTCTATTCCCCTATTTTCTTTTCCATCACCAAACAGCTTCACTTAACGAAGAATCGATGGAAGATCATCTAATCTAGCTTTTCTTAAAGGAGAAAAGTGATTTTTACCTTAGTCTTATTCTGAACTTCCGAGCAAGCACTTCCTCATTCTGAATATTTAGTACCCTATAACCAGAATCGATGATCTTTTGGTGAAGTTCGTCTGCTTTTGGGTAATTTCTCTTCTCGCGTGCTTTTGATCTTTGAACCGCAGCAAGATTAACTTCCTTTGGCACAGAAGATGCCACGACCGGCTCTGAAGCACTGACATACACTGTGATGGTGTCTCCATCTGCCACAGCTTTTGGATCCACCTTGTTTTCCATTACACAAACTTGATCAGCTAACATTATTAATTCCCAAAACGACCCTTTTTTTTTTTTTGTAATGTAATTCTAACCGGAAGCGTTTGAAATTCAAATAGAATCCCTTCAGGCAACGACACAGGAGCTTCAGTAGAAGGCATAACCAGAGTGTGAGGCAAAGGAAGTCCATAGAAAGACAAAAGCCCCTATTCATAAACCAACATTTTATATTCCAATACTCATCAATGTACGGAATTGAAACATCTGTTATTGTTACTCATTTCATAAAACCATACCTCAACATCAGCTTTCTGATTCCTTTTTAAGATCTCAGTAACAAGCCTAGAAGCTTCATCTGCCGTCTGTGGGGGAGGTTTCGCTTGCTTCCATGCCTCAAGTACCTTTCTATACCTTATAGACATGAAAAGAAGAGTTACAAAGCTAAGATCACATCTTTCTATTACACGAAACATGTAAACTAATGTTGTGTGATTTTACCAGTTTGCTTGAGCTTTTCTGGACGACTGAACATACCTCCCAAGCCCTTCAGGAACCTAGAAGTTAAAGATCAATTAAGCAAACCCAATTGCATAAATTAGCTAAAATCTTTTGAACTAAGTTCAGTAAAGAGACCTTCTGAACCACTTAAATTAGCTACAAATAGCACTGGAGAAAAAAGGAGGGCATCAAAAGGAAAATTAGTAGCTTCAGTGAAAATGAAGAGACCTGAGAAGTGATCTCGAAGTTGAAGAGATCGTGAGCGAGAGCTGAAACACCGACGGTAGCGGCGGAGACGCCGTGAGGCCCGAGAGAGTCATCCGTCGTAGTGGGTTTGCAGCATTTTCCGTAGAGAAACGTAAGCGCGTTACCCATCGTTTACCCAGTTTCAGGAAATCGAAAGAAGAAGCTTTGATCTTTCCTAATACCAGATGAGAAGAGAATCCAACAGAGGAAGGACAAGGAGCAATGTCTCTGAATAAAGAGTCAAGAAACACTTTAACCTTCAGGTTACATCATCTGACTAAGAAAAAAATATCAATAATTAATTTTGAATAAAAGAAAAAAAGTTATACAAGTTCGTTTTTTTTTCTCTAGAGACTTTTACAATAATAATTTTGTTTTGAGACTTCTACAAATCCGAAAAAGCTGTATTTTTCAATTTTTTTTTTTTTGGTTGAATAAATCATATTGTTTGTGACTTTGTACTTGAGTTTTTTTTGTTTTTCTTGTCGGCACAGTAAGATGAGTTAAAATTTTACCGAGTCTCTAAAGAGCACAATGAGCCCATTTACATGGCAAATACCTTCCGTAAAGGTTTCCTCCTCTGTGACATATGCAGGCGCGATCTTAAGTTAGTCGACAGTTCTTTTTGTTCTCCCCCTGGCTTGACGAGCCTTGTGTTTAATATGACACATAGAGTGTTGTGGTGAGAGAAGCTAACATGAGAGAGTGATGCTGGATGTATACTTCCAACTATTGCACGGTATACTTCTTTCGGAACAGAAGATGACACAGCCGGGTCTGAAGTATCCACATACACTGTGATGTGGTTTCTCCATCTGCCACAGCTTTTGGATCCACCTTATCCATTACACAGCTTTTATTATATTATCTGGTTGATTCCAGTTGAAGTTTTATAATAACATCAAAATACATTAACTATATTCTTACAAGCAATGGGATGTAGATCTAATCGGCTAAACTCCTGCAACGTGTTTCTAATGAGGAAAAACAAACATCGCAAGTCGTCGGGAGTCATTAAATGATTAAAACCCTTCAAAGCTCAAAATACATCTCTTTCTCTGTCATTCTCTCTCCATGGACACTCCACAACAAGAAGAAGACAAACTCTCACCGCAAGCTAAGTGGTGGGTCGATGGTCAACGCATTCGATACAACGGCTTCTGGTTCAAACCAGAATTCATCACTGCCTCTGAAGCCATTAGAGCACACTACAAACCTCTTCCTTCTGACATTATCCTTGCCTCTTTCCCCAAAACCGGTACCACTTGGCTTAAAGCCCTGACCTCCTCCATTCTCCGACATAGCTCAGCATCATCATCCATACAAGACTTAGATCATCTCAATCCCCATGAGGTCGTGCCCTTTTTGGAGATCGAGATGTTTGGCAAAAACCCATCCAAGGACATAACGGAGCTCTCTTCTCCTCGGCTTTTCAGCACTCATCTTCCTCTCTCTTTCTTGCCGGAGACTGTCAAGACCTCAGGCTGCAGAGTCATTTACATAACTCGCCATCCAGCAGACACTTTTGTCTCTCTCTGGCATCTCTACAACAATAAGTTCGGGACAGAGATCTCGATCCGACAAGCCTTCAATGACTTCTGCAAAGGCCTTGTCCCGGCTGGTCCCTACTTCGAACACGTCCTTGAGTTCTGGGAAGCAAGACACCATGTTATGTTCATCACTTACGAAGATCTGAAAGCAAACCCGGAAGAAACTGTGATGAAGATCGCCGAGTTCTTAGGGTGTAAGACAATAGTTGAGGAGATTGTGAAAGAGTGTAGCTTCGAGAAGCTGAGGAAAACAAGCAAAGAGAGAGGAGAGGGAGTTCACTGGAGTGGAACTATGTATGACATGTTCTTCAGGAAAGGTGTGGTCGGAGATTGGAAGAATCATCTGACACAAGAGATGATGAAAGAGCTTGAAGACATTGCTGACCTGAAATGGGCAGGATCTGGTTTAGATCTCAGCATTTTTAATAGATGATTACTTCACAATAATCATGCAGTTTATGTTGTTATTGGGTGGTGATGAACTCTCCTAGTTATTTTTACCTATATCCCCTAGAAGATCCTTTTAGAATGAGTTCCCTAGATAATTGGATCACTGGCTAACATTGCAGTCCAATGATTCGACCAAGACTTGAACCATCGAGAAGTAAGTGGATACTCAAACTACTTTACCTCACCATACGTGCAACTAAACATATATTAATGTACGTAAATGTTAAACACTATATATGCGTGAACAAGAGCATGTAATCTCAACAAATTTGAAGGTTTGTGTATATATTGTCAACTTGACATTATCAAGTGTCACCTGCAGACTACAACATTCTCTACACATCCTAGCTTTGGACCCATGATATCTGGTCTTTATATACTTAATGCTCAAAATTCCTAAACAAACTATGTGTACTCTCTGTTTTGTTCCCTGCAATGATACAATCAACGATTTTAAGGATAGAATGCCAGAATTTACATTCTTACAGATGCTACAGGAAAACGAATAGGCATATATAATACACATCTATGTTTCATGAGATATGCAAAACGTACCAGCCAGAAATCGTATCGAATGTTCAGAAACTTGTGTATATACTTTGAAGACTACCCTTTGGCTGCTGCATCAAACACTCAAACTGCTGCAAATGACAAACCAAAAGCATGACACAGTAGTATCACATTGACTGACAAGCATCAACACAAAAGGCCTGAATCACCTTTCATATGATACCTGTACTCAACATATCTATGTAGGCGGATTCCTGATTTTTTATAGATTTCATTGGCAAACCAAGAAAGTGGTATTTCATCGCCAGCTTGAATTGTTATTGGGTTTATATTCATATATTCGTAAACTCGAAAGAGTAATGATATCTGATCCCCCTGGGAAAATTAAAAGCATTGCAGATTCCCTAGCAAATAGGTCAGAGAGACCCTTATTCAAAAGGCATCATCTCCGCAAATTACTAAAGGCAAGTTCTTCATCTTACTATCTATCAGTCCTATACTTACTGACTTCAAAAGGTACAGTCAGCTTACCGCTTATGGCACTGTATAGTTCAAAACAATATACAAGTCCCCCTAGAACCATATCCACTCTTCTCAACAATATTCGAAAATTGACCAGCTGCGATTGTAAGCAACTCACATTGTGCATGAGAAATGATTTCAAAGTTGCAAAGAACAATGAGAGAGAGAAAAGAAAAACTCGTGTACCATGTGCAATCATGGCAAATCAACATGACTAATTGAAGTGATTATATTAACGAATCATTATTTCCCATAAGCTAAGATACAAAAATAGAACTCAAATAAAAATATATTCCCTCCAAACGATCAAAAGGTTTTATAAACATTTACCAGTAGGCACCTAGTCGCACAGCCGCATAATAAATATCATGGATTCTTGAGATCATCTATACTTGTCTCTTCAGTAGTACTGTATTCCACTGTAGATTGGCTCAAAGCTTCGGGGATTTCGTTGGAAGTTGTGACACTTTTCTGGGTCTGCAGACCCGTAGAGCGCGCAAGATCAATCCATTGCTGCGTTTTTATGTAAAAGTTGTGATGAAGTTAAAATGGTATTTCAAGAATTAACCCAAAAAAGAATATGAGATGTTTGGCTTTAAGGAAAGAAAAGTCACACAAAAGTGGAGAAGAGATCATAGTACAGGCCTATTTCTGACCTGAGTTCCAAAGTAGGAGTTAGCTACTCGCACAACAAATGAAATCATGTTTACAAGTAGAGGTTGAGAAGAAAGCTCGTCAGAAATGCGATGCTCTATTAACCCAGCAATTATCTGCAATTGAAGATGATCTGATTTTAGAGGCATAAATTCAAAGCATACTGTTCTTCATCAAAGGCCTTCCTTGGTTAAGATGCAAAAGAATAATACATTGATGTGGTCATAAAGCAAGTTTAACTACTTTTCATCAATGTCTCTCATTCATTGAGTAGACATGAAAGCAGCGCGCATCATCATACCTGATAACGGATATTTGAAGATGTTCCCAGATAACCTCCATATACAAGAGCTGTCTTCAGCAAAGGAGACCTCTTTGCTTCTTCACCAACACCCAACTCAGGTTTAATGAATTTCCGTATAGCATACAAAGCATTTGAAGATCCTACAGCTGCAAAACTGGAAACAACTCCAACACCAGCAAGCTTCAAGCCACCGACAATAACTGAAGCAATCCTAAGATTCAGAGTCCAATCTTGTCCAGCAAGACTTTTTTGAAATGCATTGTCAGGTATGGATCCTAGGAGGCCTTTTAGGGCATCTATGCTGTTTGGCCCAATTGACTCATCAGCGTAGGAGATAAAAGACAAGGTTGGTGCAGGCAGCCAAACTGTGAAGAAATCAACAACGGATGCTCTTACGCTATCAGTTATAACATAGTCGAGTTCTTCAAAGAAGTTTTCTTTCCGCTTCTCATATTGAGCTACAAGTGTCGTTGTTATTGATATAGCTTCTTCAATAGCTAATCTATTCAGGAATTTTGGATCTGCCAACAACCTTTCTCGGAAACCCTGTAATACAGAGAATCATCATAAGTAGGGTTTTACTAACAAGTTGAAGCTATCATTAACTCTGGCAAGAGAAATACAGGACAAGGTAATGTACAAGGAAAGAATGAAGGCTATAACACATTATTTAGCGAAAGACATAAATTTTTCTAAAGACAAAATTTCACTAAGGAGATATATTCCGGAATGAATGTACCTGGAACCGTTGTGTAAGCTCTGAAATAAGAGGATATTGCTCCAAATCAAAGAAATTCTGCAGAATCTCAGGTGACACCAGACCAAGGTCTAATCCTTTCTGAATGTCCTGGAACAATATGACATAAAAGTAAAGTGAGCAAAAGGAAGTAAACGCCACTCTAAAGAGCAAGAGAAATAGGGGAGAATAAACTGAGTCAGATACAGTATGTAACAATCGTACAGAAAGTCAGTCTCATTACAGCAAATCATAGAAAATCAACCTGGGGAAGGGCATCTCGTCTCCTACCAGCCGCATTCATTACCCGAGCAATTTCTGCTCGGTCAAAGCAGTTTCTGCTGCAGGGTCTGGCCGCAGAATACCACAAGAAATCAGCGACTGGAGTTTCACCCTCTTTCCGCAAGAACTGTCTTTCAGGATCAAGTAAAACAACAAGTTGACTTTTCTTCGGAATCTTCCTAGAGACCCTTGCCGGCAATCCTGTTCCTCTTGACCCATACTCAACATGGTTCGCCCCTGTCACCACTACCAGCAGACCAGTTCCACCTTCATCTGCAACTGCTTGTAAGATAACTTGTGACATAGTATGGTCTTCAACAACTCTAGCTTGCGCTGACAAATAAGAGTTTGGTCCAAATGGAACAATCTGTGTGAGGGGATTCATATTGAGTGAAGAGCTACGTGAGAAGGAAGTAAACCCTGAGATAAAGCCTGAGCCCGCAGGAGGAGTGTATAATTTACGCTCAGACTCTGAAAGACCACGAATTCCCTCAGCTTGGACAGTTCTTAAAACCTGCATCAAATTAAACAGTGAGCAGCTGATTCGCATCAGACTGACAAGAAAAAATACGTAATCTTATTCAGGCTACCAAAGCCACTAGACAAGATCACATCAGATTCATGCCACTCTTAACGCTATCGAATCAAATCAGAACAACAAAATGTAGCACCTAAAACTAGCATAAAACCAAGTAAGAATAATAAGATCAAGAAGCAGGATCAAAAGGCTCAATATTTTTTATGAAAATACAGTACTATACTATAAGACCGACTACCTTGAGCGGAGTGCCACTAGCAATGAGTTTAACAGTGTTATCGCGACAGTAACTTAAAAGAGGCTCATACTCTTGCCAACGTTGAGCTGGCCAATGTGATACATACGACTTCAATACCTCTCCATCGATCCTGCAACCAATCCAGGAAAAATTGGAACCATAAACACATTTGCTATTGGCGAATATGCAGAGAAGCAAGAAGACGCAAACCTCTTATCCATGTATTGATTCAACTGGTCCTGCAAATCAATGGGAAAAGCTTCCAATGCCAAAGATAACTGACGATCGCTCTCGACGCATCGTTTCCTCAAATTCCTAACAATTTCGAGCTCGAGAACCTTATCATCTTTTGTAGGCACCTGCTCTGCTTCTCCGAGATACACAATCCTCGCATTCAAAAGCTTCTCCCAAACTCTCTTCTTATCCTTCCCAACAGCCATCGGCTCACCAAGCACCGACGCGTCATAGATTCTAGAAGTTATCGATTCTTCCTTCTCCACATAAACAGGCGGGGGAGGAGGAGCAGTGACGGCAACAGGAGGAGGAGGAGGAAGAGCTACTGATTCCGCAGAAGTCTCAGCAGCAGCGGCTGAGGAAATAGACTGAAACATCGAAGCAGCTGCGGCGAGGAGCGGCGGAGCGACGAGAATCGCGCGGCGAGTGAAGGCGGTTCGAGAGGAGGAGACATCGGAATCAGAATGGAGGCAAAGAGTGACGACGTTCTTCTTCGTCTTATGATTGTAGGCTGAGAAGCTAATCGGAAGCTGGCCGCGGAAGCTCGGAAACGGGAAGGAGGAAGAAGAAGACTGAGAAGCCAAGAGCCCATTGGTGGTGGGCTTCATTGGTACACGTCAGCTTATTGCATCGCTTAGAATAATGAGAAGAGGAGAATTGAATTTTTTTTTTTTTAATTGACATCTCTCCTCCTCATGTGGCTCTTGTTTTTTCATCTGTTCTTTTTTTTTTTTTCTGGCACACAATTTTATTTTATGGTTGAATCCACCAAATAATACGAAAAATATATGGATAACGACGATCGTAATAAAAACTATGGACTATATGCGATTTCGTTAATTCTTTTATACCAATACTCTTTTTTTTTCAGGTCGGTTAAGTCATTAGAAACATTTTGACATAATGCTTAAGTATTATAGTGCTTAAGAAAACTATAGTGTATGAGATTGAAAGAATCGGGTTCATGTGATATATATATGAGACGACGTGAAGATTAAGATAGCCGCATAAAACGTATGTGTTTAATACAAAACTTCTTCTCAAGATAGCCACGTAAGCATGTCCTAATATTGTCGGACAGAAGTCAAATCAAGAAGCTTCAGATTATTAACTACTCTAATTGGTAAAACAAAAATGACGAAGATGATCCAATTAATTAAAAGCACAATGTTTCCTCTTTTTTTTTTTTTTTTTTTTTGCTTAAGTTCACCAATTCCATCATAATAATTATGTTACAGTTTTTTTACTTTAATAGAAACACATATATGAAAAACAACAAGCTAAGGGAATATTTTGCTTAGGGATAAAGTAATAAAAGAAAATAAAAAATCTAGGGAAGATTGAGGTAAAGCATCTCCTTAAATTCCAACTTTCTAGTATCACTATAAAAAGTATGATGCTTGTTAGGCCAATAAGTCAACCAAACGCAACCTTTAACCTCAAACTCCATTACTTTCCCAATAGCCGTTTTATCAACCTTCCACAAAACGCTTTGCCCGTAGCTATCTCCTGCAAACACAACTCCTCCTTGCTTCGTGAACGGTCTAAACGCGCTTGAGTACCTGTTCTTGAACCAAGCTCGAGGGTTCATTCTCGATACCTTTGATGGTTTTGAGGTTGAAACTTCTCTTCCATCGTCTAGGTCATGGAGAAACCAAGTGAGATTGGCGCTGTAACCATGCACCCATTCCTCGAACTTCCATGGCTTCATGCTTTTCGTTGTCGTCTCGTTGGCTGAGACTTTGAGTCCGAAGAAAGTGTTTGGTGGCTCTATTGCTGCTTCTATGCCTTTCTCTACTTCGAATTCTGTCAATGGGTTTTCTGATGATTTTTGTACAGAGACCATTAAGATGTTTGATTGAACCGTTGGTGTTAGCTGCAATGATATTCGTGAAGGAAAATGTTTTTCCTCTGTTCCCATGCCACGGTCCGATAGAAGTTTCTCGTTCACAAGCCTTATTATGTCGCACCTAACATAATGTTTAGAGGAAACATATATATGAACAAATTATTTATGTATACTTATCATAAGTAGCACTTGATTACACACAAGTTCTACATACCTGACGTTGTCAACATTTACGGCGATGTTAAACCACTTCTCACGAACGTAAATCCTGTGGTTGAATTGGATCACACCTTCGAGTTGATGATAGTTGAGAGAAAAGAACAATCTCTCGTCATTTAAAGCACTATTTACGCTCTCCATTTCCATTGCTACCACAGGACAATACATATGAACTTTCCACAAACCTTGAGTCGAGAAAGCATACGAAAACAAAGGAGAAGGAGATTTGAGATGCTGAAACGCTTTGATCTCGATGATCCAGTTGGTTATCGCAAGATTTAACGATCTCATCCACTGTTCTTCAAGGTTCGAGCCTAGTTGCACCATGAGCAACTTGGAGCCCTGCCTTGACCTACAAGTCACCAGCTGATCTTTCACCGTTTTCAAACAAGTTGTTCGTAGACTCGTGGGCGCCTCATAGATGCAGATGAGGAACACGAAAGTGAAGAACGCGAGGTTGAACACGTCTTTGAGGTTAGAAGTGGAGCCTAGATTTTGGATTTTGATTGCACAAGTGGTTCTCTTGACGTTATAGTTGAGAACTACGTCGACAAAACCCATCAGTAGGGTAGAGATGATACTTTCATTGAGGAACCTAGTTGAATTAGTGCCAATGGTTCTGAAAGGTTTTGAAACAAAGAGAGAGATAGGATTCCTGAAGTTGGCTACTATGGAGAAAGTGAAAAAGTTTGGAGACTGAGGGATACGAGTAAGAGAAAAGTTCAAAGATGGGTGTGATGAATTAGGAGAGCAAATGCACATGGATGTTGAATTTGTTTTCCATTGGGAGAGGGGAGGAAGAGTTTGAAGCCAAGAAAACGCATCAGGTGAGTCACAAGAAGCCATTATTAGAGCAATCTTGAGTATCTCTAGTAGTTGTCGTTCTAGATTAGGATTTTTAATGGTATATATAGAGAACGAACATTTTAATGAGTGGAAGAAAAGAAGAGCAAAAGAAAGATTCGCTTCTTTGTTTTATTTTTTTGTTCAAAAGGTTAAACTAAAGAAGTAAACCACAATTGATTGATTGCTTTTGTCTCGTCCAGCGAATGTACAAATCGTTCAATACAAAAAGCATGAATTGTTTTACCTTTCAACAATGATTAGGTAGTCCTGGTTGGGTAACGTACAAGGAAGAAGGATTAGATGCTCACTAGACCCGATTAGTCTAGACCATTAAAGTATTTGTTGAATTTTTACGTGCTGATCAAAGATTCTTCTATATGTGGAAAAATCGACCCGAATTCCAAATAAATTGTTCTTGATTAGGCCCAAGAGATCATGTTATTATTATTATTCGATTCCCATATATATTCTACTCAATAATGTTGTTTTTCTTCTTATCTACTTATATACAGTAAACGTTTCGATACGTACGTAACAAACAAAAAAAACAGGAACCTAGAGTGAAAATAAAAACTATGATCTAATTTTTATTACATTTTATAGATAGACGTTAGTTACATTTTATATAAAAACTATGACAAAATTGCCAGTAAACTTCAGCTTCATCTGATTGGGCTTCTTCCAACATTATAGGCCCATTAAAGTTAGGCCTTTAGAACGATCAAACACGGTTTTGCCGCAACTTCAGTTTCCACTAAAACCGGAGCAAAGTCACACTCTCTCCGCCGCACACACACACTCACCGACACCACCAATAATGTCATCTTCTCCGGCGACTCTCCCCGTCACCAATCAGCAAGCCACTCAGTCTCAACCTCCGATCAATACTCACGCCTTCCGCACTTTCCTCTCACGCCTCTCCTCCTCTCTCCGCGAAAGTCTCTCACAGCGCCGTCCATGGCTAGAACTCGTAGATCGGAGCTCATTCGCAAGACCTGACTCTCTCTCCGATTCCTTCACCCGGATCCGTAAGAATCTGGCCTACTTCAAGGTCAATTACTCAGCAATCGTCTCCTTAGTCCTTGCTTTCTCCCTCCTCTCGCATCCGTTCTCGCTCCTCGTCCTCCTCTCTCTCCTAGGCTCGTGGATGTTTCTATACCTCTTCCGATCTTCGGATCAGCCTTTGGTTCTCTTCGGCCGTACTTTCTCGGATCGTGAGACCTTGCTCGCTCTGGTTCTGACTACGATCGTGGTGGTGTTTATGACGAGTGTTGGATCTTTGTTAACCTCGGCGTTAACGATTGGGGTAGCGATTGTTTGCTTGCACGGTGCGTTTAGGGTTCCGGATGATTTGTTCTTGGATGAACAAGAGGGGTCTGCTAATGCTGGATTGCTCTCGTTCATCGGTAACTCTGCTGCTACTTCTGCTGCTGCTTCAGTTGTTGCAGGACGAGTCTGATGATTTTGGTTTATGTATTTTGAGTATAGATTTCAATATGAGAAAGATCCGTAAGAGTTAGATCTACTAAAGATACATTGTTCTTGTTTTGTATTCTTCAATTTCGTCGCTATTATTTGCTTCACAATGTAAGATCCCATTTACTTTTGAATCAATTTGATACTTTTGTTGCTCTTATTACCCACATGTTAAGACTAATTAAGATGTAATTGTCTATCGAGTGATGATGATGGCTTCTTAAAGATGGGCAATTAGTGTATCAAACTTGCACCAGATGGCTGAATCTGATACATTCTAAACAAGAATGGATATGGTGTGTTATTGTTCCATGTCCACCATTGGTGTTTCTCTATTGCGTTTTGACTATAGAGGCAAAGGGTAATAATGGATGGTATCGAAAACATCGCTGGCAATGTTCGATCAAGAAAACAGTATGTGATATTTTCGGAGTAGTATTACAACAAGTCAACAAGATAACATAATCTTCAACTAGTTTATGTCTCTGTCTCTCAAGCTACCCAATCTTTTTTTACTTCTTCCACAAGTTTCCTCTATCTTGAAAGCAAACAGTCAATACTTCGTACGAATTTGCTTACATGTAATATCATGGAAAGTTTCTTGTGAAGTGCGTTGGTCAATTAAAATATATGACCGGAACGAATTATTAGTAATCAGGTCCAGGCCAAAAAGAATGATTCTCACTATATTTTTGGCCAATCTGATATATATATTATTTTTTTGGCAATCTGATATAACATACACGTTTTGTTCAGGTTTCAGTCTGAAAATCTAGGCTACCAAAAACAAATTGAAGATTCGGTCACCTGAATTGTTCTTCTTTTTTTTTTTGGGGGGGTCAAAGTCATTGAGTTAATTGCTTCCACCTTAGATATAATATAGGTGACCTGTTTCCAATCTTCATTACATGAGAAATATATATATTCATGGAATGAGTTATGTCTTGTGAAATCTTTTCAAGGGCTTCTACTATAATTATTGGTGGGATAAGAAAACACTTAGGTACTAACCATTAAACCGAAATAAATTATAGGTTTTATCTCTTCTTGGTGTAAAGAAGATTATCCCACTTGTAACGAGAGGGTTTGACAAAATCGACTACAAATTTCTGAACCTAGTTTGGGTTCGTACCCACTTCTGACTAAATGAAATTAAATATTCAAAGGAAACCAAAAAGAAATATGAAACCAATTCGCATGTTCTTCCCATGGTATCTACGATAAAATTAATCAATAAATTCTTTTAAGTATCATAGTTCAGCATATATATATCGTCATTTACCTTTTCATTTCAAAGAACATGATATCTTTAATTTCTTCTCAAAAGATCATAATTAAACTAAATATTTATTGATAAAATAATAAATATAGTGAAGACGTTATAAACAAATTACTTTATGATGTTTAATAGAATTGTCAAGACAATAATACCAAAAGGTCTCATGTGTATATTATTATGTCACCTATATTAATTGTAAGACTTAGAAGCTTATATTAAAACAAAAAAACAAAAAAGAGTGTTATAATAATCAAGAAACACAAAATCTAGAAGTAAAGCATGTTGTTGACTTGGAACTTATAAATCGTAGATGCGAGGTCAATGTCACTTTGCTAAATACAAAGGTAGGGCTATAATTTCTAAACATGTGAAGTCATTATCAGAAATTTAGAGGTTAAAGAGAGATACCAAAGAAGAGGACACTAACTAATTCCACCAAACACAATTACGAAATTTCTTGTTCATCAATCGATGTCCTCAATATGCTTTCTCATGTAACTCTCTTTTCTTAACAACATGATGTTAACTTTTCTTTCCAATTTTACTACCTTTCGGATTGGTTTTTATTTGTTAAAAGATATTTTGTTTACGTGAGTATACACGGTTTTGACTTGTCAAAAGTATTAATTAATAAAATCTATAGGGATAAAACGTTTTCACAAATGAACATTTATGTTGAGATCATACGTTTGTGTTTGTCTTTATAGAATGTTTTAACCTTTTTTATATAGCAAACAACATACATATGCACATGTATTCGATTATTTGTGGGCTAGCTTGCAGAAAATGAAGGAAACAGTTTACGACATGTAAGTGTAGATAAGGACTAGCTAGAATTGATTTGGTTGAAACTAGAACAAAGAGGTTGAAACTAGCTAGTGGTGAAATAGGTAGTTAGACGACGAATCATCTTGTTTGCTCAAAATCATTTTTACTTTTTTTTCAACATTAACAAAACAATGATCATTTTTACTTAAGCTTCAAGCCAATCTTTTTGTAACAACTTAAAACCAAATATTATGATAATAATATTAATCTTTTTACGCTATGATGTTACGGTTGATTCATAACTCATAAGTTTTCTTTTTTAAAACCTAAGGGCCGGCTTTATTCATATGGTATGTCTCACTTTTTATTTGTATACGTAAGTATGAAAACAACGTTGAGATTTTGCAAATTCAAATAGCCAAATGGGAGGGGGTCAAAACTGTTATGGACAAGCCACCTAAACCCTAAAATTGACAATTATTCTTCATAGCGCTTGGTTTCCTATTCTAAGAAAATATAACAATAGTAATAACAGAAATCATGAAACATAAAATGTAAAATTGTTTGAACTGTCAACAAATATTATAATTTTTTTTTGGGTGGGTGTTATACAACAAAAACCACTGTCATGATTGTATTGTCGTTTATTTTAAAAAAAAAATAGATTAAGAAAACAAATTTTTTTCTTAAAAGTATGATTTATTTCTGATCAAACAGGTAATTTTCATTAAAAATTTTGAAAAGAGAAAGAAGAGAGTAAAATACAGTTATGACTTATGCATGCGCTTAATTGGTCTTTGTTTAGGTATCATACTGTTGAATGTAGGTGGCCACAGAAAGTTTTAAGAAATTCTACTATTACTAATACTAAATTCTATTTATACAATGTTTCGTGGACACATGTATATTTCAAAACATAGTACCCATGAGTCTATACGACAATAAAACCATTTTCAGAACGATCAGATCGATGCCTAGACCTATCTCAGCCTTATATAATAAGATAATGCCAAAAAAAAAGTTCTATCATGGAGGATGTATAGAAGATAAATTGTAATGTTTCGTATAATACATGCAAGTTAATTAATATAATTGTATGTTGAACATGATTACATGAAGATTGTGTCTTTGTCCCAAATGATGTTATTTGGCTTTCTTCCAAACAATTTCTAGCAATGTCTAGCATAATTATATTAATATTAGCCATTGATCATAACGATCATATCCTCATCAGGCATATGTATTAGGAAGATGTCAACCGAAACTGTCCAATATTTTGGTGAACAATTACAAGAATTATATATACTACTAATAAATTGGTTGCATGTTAAAAAAAAAAATTAAAAAAAAAACTGGTTGCATGCATGGTAATTGCAGGTTTGATCTTAATTTAGATAAGAGTTTTACACCCCATTGCGTACTTAGATTTTGTTGGCAACCCAGTGTACACATCTCCTGATAATAAACAATTTGATCCTTTTTAATGGGGTCCAAAAAAAAACATATTATAAAAGTATAATTTATTTTGTACTATGTTTATGGTAATTATGGAATATTACATCCAAAGTCAATAGAAAAAGCGTGTTAACCAAGAATTCTAGAGACGTAATTTATCACATTTCCAACTTCTTTTTTTGTTTAACTCGGCGATTCGTTTTTTTTTTCCCGTCTAGGCCCCAGTGGGTGCAACTACTCTTCTAGTGAATTTGAGTCAAGTTTTAATTTGGCCTTCAATTAAATCAAAACCTAATCCTCCAACCGCATAAACAACGTATTCAGAAAAAGAACACAAAAATAATGTAATTAAAGAAAAAATATTCACCAAGTTTTCGAAATATGTATATTTGTCTTTGTCTCCCTATATAAACTCCATCTCCTTTCACTCTTATTCCCAACACAACACTTTTCTCTCTTCTTACACACGTCATCTTTCTAGACCTCTGGCTCGAGCCAAAGTTTATCGAAATCACATCGATGGAGATCGCCAAGAGCCTCATCTGCTTCATCTCCTTTGCTGTCGTTCTTCTCTTCACGACCTCCATGGCCGAAGCCCATGTTAAAGCACACCACCACGAGTTCATCGTACGATCGCATTTCCAAAACATATTTGAACGTACGTTTTTAATTAAAATGTAAAAATGAAGATGTATGCTTACATTATACATATATGTGATCCATGCAGATACAAGCGACGAAGGTGAAGCGACTATGTGAAACACACAACAGCATAACGGTCAACGGAATGTTTCCCGGTCCAACACTTGTTGTCAACAACGGTGATACTCTTGTCGTCAAAGTCATTAACCGGGCTCGGTACAACGTCACTATCCACTGGTATGCTCCTATTTAAACCACACACTCGCTGTTATATATATGATGGTTACTTCGTAGTCGATATTTAACGGTTTGATGTCTATGCAGGCACGGTGTGAGGCAAATGCGAACCGGTTGGGCTGACGGACCGGAATTTGTGACTCAATGTCCAATCAGACCGGGATCAAGCTACACGTACCGGTTTACAATTCAAGGACAAGAAGGTACACTTTGGTGGCATGCTCATAGTTCATGGCTAAGAGCAACTGTCTACGGTTCACTTCTTGTCCTTCCCCCGGCTGGTTCCTCTTACCCATTCACAAATCCCCACCGCAACGTCCCTCTCCTTCTCGGTAAACTTTATTATATATATTCAATTGATCATGATCATTAAAATTCAGTACTCAAAGAATTGTTTTCTGATTTTGGTAAATTATGATGATCCTTAAGGTGAATGGTGGGACGCAAATCCGGTCGATGTGCTGAGAGAGTCTATACGAACCGGAGGAGCTCCAAATAACTCCGACGCTTACACCATCAATGGTCAACCTGGCGATTTCTATAAATGCTCTTCTCAAGGTTTTACTCTTTTTATATATCTTGCAATTTTTTCTTTTTAATTATATCAACGTTCCAAAAAGAACTTGTCCCACATTCATTTTTTTCTTTCTCCCCAACTCAGTTTGATATATTTTAGGCAAATAAAGACATTAGTCCAAAAGACCCAAATATGTATATTAATTAGATCTTTTTATAATATTTTTTGTTACAGATACGACAATAGTACCAATAAATGTTGGTGAGACTATACTATTAAGAGTAATAAACTCCGCTTTGAACCAACCATTATTCTTCACGGTGGCTAACCACAAGCTCACGGTGGTCGGAGCTGACGCATCCTACTTGAAACCTTTCACCACTAACGTGATTGTTCTCGGCCCGGGCCAAACCACTGATGTCCTCATAACAGGTGATCAACCACCAAACCGTTACTACATGGCCGCAAGAGCTTACCAAAGCGCCCAAAACGCACCGTTTGGTAACACAACCACAACCGCGATCCTACAATACAAATCCGCCCCTTGCTGTGGTGGTGGAAGCGCCAAGAAGGGTATCTCCGTCAAACCTATCATGCCTCTCCTCCCCGCCTACAACGACACAAACACAGTCACACGTTTCAGCCAAAGCTTCCGGTCACTAAGACGAGCCGAGGTTCCGACAGAAATCGACGAGAACCTATTCATAACCATCGGACTCGGTCTCAACAACTGTCCCAAGAACTTCAGATCAAGAAGATGTCAAGGTCCTAACGGCACACGTTTCACTGCATCGATGAACAACGTTTCATTTGCTCTTCCAAGTAACTACTCACTCCTTCAAGCTCACCACCATGGCATCCCCGGAGTCTTCACAACTGACTTCCCGGCCAAGCCTCCGGTGAAATTTGATTACACGGGTAACAACATAAGCCGATCTCTTTACCAACCTGATAGAGGGACTAAGCTATACAAGCTCAAGTATGGATCAACGGTTCAGATTGTTCTTCAAGACACCGGTATAGTAACTCCTGAAAATCATCCCATTCATCTACACGGGTATGATTTCTACATCGTGGCCGAGGGTTTCGGTAACTTCAACCCCAAGAAAGATACCGCAAAATTCAATCTCGAAGATCCCCCTCTTAGAAATACTGTCAGTGTACCTGTTAATGGTTGGGCAGTCATCAGATTCGTAGCAGACAACCCTGGTAAGCCTAAGAAATTATATTACAAATTCAGACTTACATTTTAGAGTGTCACTTTTCTAGTTCATCGGGACTAATGATATGTACAAATGATTGAAAACAGGGGTTTGGATAATGCATTGTCATCTAGACGCACACATATCTTGGGGACTAGCGATGGCTTTCTTGGTTGAGAACGGAAATGGAGTTTTGCAGACAATGGAACAGCCTCCTCCTGATTTGCCCGTCTGTTAGGCCGACTTCAAGATCTTCTGTAACATAAAACAACATTATAGTTTTTCATGTTATATTCAATTGTTTTTTTTTTGTTTTCGCTATAGAATTAAACCGGATCATAACTCCTGCGTTGGACCGGACCCTTCAGTTTCATTTTTTTTTCTCTCGATTATTGATGTATTCTTTTGACATTATAGTACCAAAATCAAATGCTTAAGAGTATCATGAAAGTAAAAGTTGGATTTGACTAAGGGAATGAAACTGATGTGTTAGAATAGTCGTTGAGCTAAAAATGTAATTGTTTCCATAATCAGCCTGGAAATTAAGCGAGCATAAACAACAGATATTTTTGGCGTAATATTCGGCTGAGTCAAAATCGAGGATTCAACCACTCGACGAACATTTGGAGTTGTAAAGAAGAAACTTATCCTAATTATGGATTTGCTTTATGGATGAATATTATTCTTTTACGTAACAATGTATTTGAATTTGAGAATTGAGATGATAACGAAAATAATTGAAAAGGATATGTGAAATGAAATGAAAAAGTGGCGTGGAATCAAAATTAGTTGAGCAGAAAAAAGTTGGAGGGCATGCAAAGTGATTTTGAATCATAACTTCAACATTTACCAGAAGAAACAAAAGTTGTCATGACTTTGTTAATTTTTGAGTAATCAGTGCATATAATGACAATTTAACAAATACTAATCATTCTAACACAGGTTAAGTGTCACCACGATTAATAACACAGATTAAAGGAAGGGCTCATCGTCTACACGAAAGCCCATTAATACATAGGCCCATTAGACCATTTGCGGCTTGAACCTAAAACCCTAAATCTTCTTCCACAACCCTAAGTCTTAAAACCAATTTCTTCTCAGACGAAACCTCGCCTCTGGAAGCTCCGATGACGAAGAAGAAGAGTAAAGGAGCTGACGATGATAAGATGATAGAAACCAAGAGCAAGAGCGTGTCTGGGAAATCTCAGAAACAGAAGAAACCAGTTGAGAAGGAAGTAGAAAAAGAAGTGAAAAGCTTAAAGGAGGAAGACCTGGTACAAGAATCTGCAACTGATTCTGATTACGACGGAGATGTATACTTCTTTTCCTCACTCTTTTGCTTTATCACTTGGAGCTGCTTTTTTTTTAATTTATTCTGCATTTGTGTTTATTTCTGGGACTTTTTTTTTTTTTTGTGATTTTTAGAATTCGCCGGGGTCTTTACATTCGGATGATTTCGACTCAGATATCTTCGATTCAGAAGATGATGTAACACAGGGAGGAACAGAAGATGGGGATGGAGAGTCATCCGAAGACGAGCTTCATGGTAATTGCTCGTGCCTTTTCTTCTGGATTAGCTCAGTATTGAATACACTTAGTAGTTTAGCTTTACTGTAGTTTGTTTGTACGAAAGTGCTCGTGGAAGTTTATAATGCGGGGAGTAAAGTTTCAAGGTAACTATGCCATTGGTTTCTGCAGATCATGAGGGCTCAATTGATAATGAGGATGATGATGAAAGTGAACAAATAGATAGTGACAATAATGAGGAAGACGGGAGTGATGAAGGTTCTGAGCGAGGTGAAGCTGTTGAAGAGAGCGATTCCTCAGAAGACGAGGTTGATGCTTTGCTCTTTTTCGTATTAAAACTTTGAAACTATATTTCTCCATTTCCAGGCGAAATTTTATATATTTATCTTTTTTGATCTCTAGGTTGCTCCTAGAAATACAGTTGGGGATGTTCCCTTGGCGTGGTATGAAGATGAGAAACATATTGGTTATGACGTCGCTGGGAAGAAGATTACTAAAAAGGAAAAACAAGACAAACTTGACTCTTTTCTTGCATCTATGGATGACTCTAAGAATTGGTTAGTTTGAAGATTTTTCTGTTCATTTTTTATGTAGTTAGTTATCAGAGCATTATGCTGATGTTTTTTTTTTCTTTTTTGGGGGAGTTAGGCGTAAAATATATGATGAATATAATGACGAGGAAGTGGAGCTGACTAAAGAGGAGAGCAAGCTCATTCGCAGAATGCTGAAAGGGAAAGCTCCACATGCTGACTTTGATCCATATGCGGTATGTATGTAATTTTTGTTACCGTTTTATACTAATACTATACCAATCAGATCAAAATGTGACGTTTTGATTGATTCTCTTGTGATCAGCCTTATATTGATTGGTTCAAATGGGATGATGCAATACATCCACTCTCAAGTGCACCAGAACCCAAGCGAAGGTTCATCCCTTCAAAATGGGAGGCCAAAATTGTTGTCAATTATGTTAGATTAATCCGGATGGGGGTGATCAAGTTTGATAAACCTGAAGAAGAGCCCAATGTATACCTTTTATGGGGTGACGATTCGAAGTCTGATCAAAAGAGCAAGCATTTAACTTATATTCCTCCACCCAAGCAAAAATTGCCAGGTGAAAACTTTGTGCTGACTTTCTCTTTTTTCTTTGCTTTTCTCGGGAATTCCATTTTCTCAAGTTTCAATTTGTACTTTTTGGCTTCCCAGGACACGAGGAATCATACAATCCTTCGCTGGAATATATTCCAACGGAGGAGGAGAAGGCTTCATATGAATTGATGTATGAAGAAGATCGTCCAAAATTCATTCCTAAAAGGTATGTAAAAGTTTTGCTAATAAGTTACAATACCCTGATGTAGTTTCTTTGGTATTTGTTAGCCTTACGGTAAATATATTTGCGCATAGGTTTACATCTCTGAGAAGCATCCCGGCATATGAAAATGCACTGAAGGAGTCTTTTGAGCGATGTTTGGATCTATACCTTTGTCCGAGAGTTCGAAAGAAGAGAGTGAGGACTTATTTGATTATCTCTTTCCTGGTTCCGTCTTATTTTCCTGTATTAATTCTCACAATGTGTTTCTCTTCTCCAGATTAACATCGATCCTGAATCATTGAAACCTAAGCTACCTAGTAGGAAGGATCTTAGACCCTATCCTAACTCTTGTTATCTTGAATACAAAGGCCATACAGGAGGTGTTACGTCCATATCCACTGATAGTTCTGGCCAGTGGATAGCCTCAGGTATTTCAATTGTGTATTTATTCCATTTCAATGAGCTCTCTTTTGTTTCCAAGATGCCAATCGTGTATTCTTTTTTTCTTCAAAGGTTCAACTGATGGATCTGTTCGTATGTGGGAAGTGGAGACTGGTAGATGTCTTAAGGTCTGGCAGTTTGATGAAGCTATTATGTGTGTGGCTTGGAATCCTCTTTCCAGGCTTCCAATTTTAGCCATCGCTATGTGAGTTAGGAACTTATGAGTCTGCTTTTGGATTTATTATAACTCTCTATTATGAAACCTTCTCATCACACATTTGCAGGGGACGAGATTTGTTTTTCCTGAACACTGAACTTGGGACTGATGAGGAACAGGAAGTTGTTAAAGAGATGCTTCACTCAGGAAACATTCCAGAACCAGAAACGTCTGGTAAGTATCTTGTTTCTCTTTTTGGTAAGCGTCTGGTAAGTAATTGTGATGAAATTCTGAATGATTAAATCTTTTTGGTTGGTATATTTTGCACGATATTCATAGTTGCAGCAATTGTAACCTGGCTACCAGATGAGTTACATGGAGGGATCAAAACAAGACATTTTAAGGTACACTTTTGCTAAATATGCTCTCTTCTTTTTTGAGACAAATTGCTAGATATCCTCTTTTAACAGTTTTTACATGGAAAATGTTTATAACTGGTTTGTTTCCCTTTTGTTGGTTTAAAAATATCTTTCAGAACATATCGTCAATAGACTGGCATCGTAAAGGAGACTATCTCTCAACAGTGATGGCATCCGGCGAAACACGAGGAGTGGTACTGCACCAACTCTCGAAAAAGAAAACACAAAGGCTCCCATTTAAGATCCGCGGACTTCCAGTCTGTACAGTATTTCATCCCAGCCTTTCTTACATCTTTGTGGCGACTAGAAAGGAGGTGCGTGTTTACAATCTTTTGAAGACGGGGGTGGCCACCAAAAAGCTTGAGACAGGACTGAGAGAAATCTCATCCATGGCGATTCATCCTGGTGGTGATAATTTGATAGTAGGAAGCAAGGAAGGGAGGATGTGTTGGTTTGACATGGATCTGTCTTCAAAACCGTACAAGACGCTCAAGAATCATCCTAAGGACATAACGAATGTGGCAGTGCATCGATCATATCCTTTGTTTGCATCGTGCTCAGAGGATTCTACAGCTTATGTCTTCCACGGGATGGTGTATAACGATCTGAACCAGAATCCTCTGATTGTGCCGTTGGAGATTCTAAGAGGTCATTCTTCGAAAGGAGGTGAGTGTTTGATTCTTAAGAATACAACATTGTACATTAGTTTATTAAATTGTGTATAATTATGGGGTTTGATATATTTTGGTTTGGAATCCAGGAGTCTTGGACTGCAAGTTTCACCCGAGACAACCATGGCTATTCACTGCAGGCGCTGACTCAATTATCAAACTCTATTGCCATTAAATTGGCTGGCATATTTAGACAGTTTTCATATAATTTTTTTTCTTGTTGTATTCACCTATCACATTGCCTGAAATTGTACTCAAATCGATTTTGTAGTTCAAATTTCAAGGGTACAAATTTTGTTATTATCGAATTCATTTTTAAAGACATTTTAACTTGTAACATATCTCTAGTCGTCTCAAGTGATCCTCCAGTATTGGTTTAAGTTCGTGAAATAGTAAATACTAATAATATCCACATATTGATCTTTGTTTTACAACATGATGATATATATAAACAATCACATACAATGAATGATGTGCATTGGTTCGTCGAGTAGACAGAGAAAAAATGGATTGTAACTTTGATAGGAAAAATGGAAATTCTCCACGAAAGCTGGTTCCTTTAGTTTAATTACCAAAAAATTATTCATACTTAGCCAAAACCAAACAATAAATAGTCCATTAAAATAATACCATGGACTCCAAAGCCCATAGGTTCTCATAGCTTTGATTTTTATTTGACTTTGTCAATGGTAATGACGTAGCTATCCCTTATCCGGAAAGCGAAGTTACATAGAAGCTCTGAGGATAAAATAGTCTAAAGACGTGCCTTAATGGTTTTTAGTTACATAGTACAACTTAACTTAGGCCCAAAGCAATTAAAAAAAAAATGGATCCAGCCGAAATCAGAATCTGGAACGTTCGAGCGCCACGTCATCACAAAATATCTGAAATATCTAATTAATGAATGAGTTAATTAATATATATATATATATACGCTTCTCCTCTAACAATCGCAAACTCTTTTATTTATTTTTGCTGTTGCTGTTTTTGTCTGGCTACGAAGAAAGCTATCTCATTTGGCTAGTTGCTACGACATATAAGCTGTTACATTCAATCCCTTGTATTCGTGTTGTTCTTGCGTTTCACGAATCGTAATCTGAATCTTCTTCTCCTACTACTTCGTTCGTTCGGGGTTCTTACATGCCGTCGAACATTGTTGAAAGGTTTGTTTTTTATACTTGCATTTTACTGTTTTTTTCCATTTCTTTTTGTTTTCTCAGTCGATTCGTGTTTTTGTTTTCGTGTTCATTTATATGTGACTATTGAGTTATAGGCTTTTAAGATTTTGTTTCTACAGGTTTGTGTTTTTCTCCCTTTTTGGGGTGCGTATTCCCAAGTTGCTTTTTTTTGTTTTTGGTTTGCTGCTACTGTAAATGGTGGAAGCTGATGGGTTTAATTTAGGGGTTTTCGTAAACTGGGAACTACCCTACTTTATTTATTATAATTGCGCATGCTTAGTCTCTTTTGATTAAGTGTTCTGTGCGGTTGGTGCCTTCGTGTGTGGTGAATCGACTTGGAAATTATATGATTTTAGCTGAAATAATCGTTTAAATGTGGGATCTTTACTCTTAAGTAGAAGTTAGTTTCTGTGTTTCACTTGTCTGAGTTTCGTAATATTTTTAGGTGTTTCTGAGTTTGCTCTGTTCTAATATTGTTCGTGATGGCTTTTTTTTGGTTTTTGTGTTGGTTGCTATGGTGCTGCAGATTTGTGAAAACTTGTCCTTTTTGCTACTTGGGGGTGTGATTTACGTTCAAGAGGTTAAAAATTGTTACTTGGAAGGTGCTTGTATTGAAATTTCCAAGTATAGTAGAGCGTGTTGCTTTTAATTTGTAAAAGAGAGAAGAGGAAATGGGAGTTCTCGAGCAGGTAGCTAATCTTGCTTCTATGCCCTTTGATCCTCCCAGGAAAAGGAAGTCACGCGGAAGACGAGATGTAGCTGAGATTCTTAGGCAATGGAGAGAGTACAACGAGAAGGCTGAAACAGATTCTTGCATCGATGGTGTTCTTCCTAAACCAATCCGAAAGGCTCCTGCTAAAGGTTCTAAGAAGGGTTGTATGAGAGGTAAAGGAGGACCTGAAAATGGGATTTGTGGCTATAGAGGAGTTAGACAGAGGATATGGGGGAAATGGGTTGCTGAGATCCGTGAGCCAGGCCGGGGTAATAGGTTATGGCTTGGTACTTTCTCTAGTTCACATGAAGCTGCATTGGCTTATGATGAGGCTGCCAGAGCTATGTATGGTCAGTCTGCCCGGCTCAATCTTCCTGATTACACGAATGGCTCTTCTTCGACTGCTGCCACTGTGTCTGGCTCGGTCACTGCGTTTTCAGATGAATCTGAAATTTGTGCACGTCAGGATACAAATGTGCAGGTGAAACTAGAGGATAGTAGCGATGAATATGTTACCTTAGATAGTTCTCAGTGTATGAAAGAGAAGCTGAATGTAAAAGAGGAAGAGAGGGAACTTAACTCGGTTAATGCTTTTGGAATTGGGCAGGAATCGAAAAAAGAGATTCTGGATGATTGGGTAATGGGAAATGGCAATGATCAAGAACCATTGGTCTTTGATATGGACGAAACGTTTGATATCAATGAGCTGTTGGGGATATTAGACGATAACAATGCTTCTGGTCAAGACACAATGCAGGGTCAAGTTGATAGACAGCCAAACTTCAGTTACCAAATGCAGTTTCCAGATGCTAACTTTCTCGGGAGCCTCAACCCCATGGAGATTGCTAATCCTGGAATCGATTATGGGTATCCTTACACGCAGCCGAGTGAAATGGAGAACAATGGTATTGGTTCAGACCATCGAAGGTTCGAGGATCTTGACATACAGGACTTGGATTTTGGAGGGGGAAAAGATGTTCATGACTCTACTACATAAGATCTCGGATTCATATGACTGGCCTAAGTTTCTGATTCTGCTCCGAGTTATACTATTAGGCTAGAAGCTGACTCTCTTTGAAGCTGCTGATACTTTCTGATGTTAATGGTTTTGATGCATATAGTAAATGTGGTTTAGATAATGTAGGACAAGTTCGTATATGATTCCTTGTTTCTTTTTCTTGTGAATATGATGTTTCAAACCTTTTGGATTTATAGGAAGTTTTAAACATTTGATATAAGAAGTTCTATTTATTTATTTTAACTTCTGGGTACATATATAAGCTTTATAAAGTTTTGATGTATAAAGTTTGGATATAATTTGTTGGTTCCTTATGCACCCCCAGACTCTTCACATCTAATATTCATCTTAGGGGGTGGGAGATAGAATAATTTGATGGTTGCGTTAGCGATTTTATTGACTTTGACTATTAAAGAAACTACTATATCTCGTCCTATCAATTTGCTTGGTTTAGTTTAAAACCCATGTCGTCTTATAAGAACAGGAAATAGTATCAGTAGTGGAGTTTTTGGTCTGCAGACTTTCCTCAGGTTGTATAAGAGATTACATAAGCAATGAGGTAAGAAAATAAAGTATCTAGAGAATAATTTATCTATCTGTATTTTTCTACAAAAGAGCAAATTGGGGTATTTGAAAGTGCCCAATATGACAATAGTTTTATATTTTAGTGGTGAAAAGGGGATTTATTTAATTCCATTTTGGTCTTCAAAATCGTTTTTCTTGCTCGAATCTTGAAGATCTTTAAGAACTTTTTAGAAGAAGAAAAAAAATGAAATGAAGAAAACAAGTTGGCAAACTGTTAATTAATTAATCGAAAGAAATTGGTTGGGTGAGGATTTGGGCATTGCTCCTCCACGAAATTCCCTTTTGACAATATGTGTCATCTTCTCTCCAGAAGAATGAGATGCAACTCTTTTGGACAATTTCTCCTTTCTAATAAATTTTTGTCTTTAATCATTTTGCATTTCACGTTGTAATCTGATTCAGTCTTAATAAGTGTTTTTTTGCTTTTAACATTTCGATACTAGAATTACAAAACCACAATTACTTAAATGTACTCAACGAAAGAATTATAAAAAATATATTGCACTATCATGTAAAGAAACCAACAAGCAATATGGAAAACTTGAACTTTATTTCTATGAATCTGTATTTTCAAATATATATTTTCTTATTAGTACTAGTTTTTAAAAAATGATGTATTTTCGACGTCTATGAAGTTGGTTTTCATAGATGTAAATACAAAAAAAAAGAAAAATATATACGATTTTCTTCATCAACTTGTGTAATCATATAATGTGTGTGTAAGATATTGGTGAGTGATTATGTCACCTAACCGGAAAGCTTAAAAGATGAGCAATCTTTACATGGAGGATTGTGCAAAAAATTGCAAATTGTAACTTGTTATTTTCTTCCTATTCCATAAAAGAAATGTCAGATAATATAACTAGTAATGCAAATTGGATTGCTTAATCGTATTAATCTTAACAACTAGGACTAGTTGAGAATATGTATAGTTGTATATAGTTGTTGGAAATCTAATGCATTAAATCAATCTTTATAGTTTTCCCCCAATTGTGTGTGTTTTGTTATTATGCCCACCACTCAAAATGCCAAAAGAGTTTTAATCTATTTGTCATTCGTTTGATTTTGAATATTACATTTGTGGAAGAAAACAAAATACAATAATAAAAATCATGACTTTATATGTTAGTTACTTTTTAGCAAACTGCTTAGTTGAATTTCATCTAATTCGTCTAAAACTAAAATTTCTGATATTTTTCTTTGTTGAAAAAGGAATTTGATTAAATACTTTATTTCTTTTAGTACTCTGTCGAAACGCTCAAGTTGATTACAAGATTGATGAAAAGATAATTATGATGGACCCATATGACATGATTTATCTCTTCACCAACTTGGGAATATTCAAAACTTGTATAGTGTGTAGTAATGTTTGAATTTCTTTTAAAGCAGTCAGAAGTTTCCAATGAAATTCAGGAACACATCATCCAAGAAGAGCACCAGTTGTAAATAGATCGGGCCATCATAATAGAAGAAACTCGACCTATAGTGATCGATCATGTTCTAGTTTTCAAATATGGTGTCATTTTAGGGTAAACGTTTTAGAGTTAGCTCTATTGAGTATCATAGTCTAATTAGAGGAACAGTAGAAGATTGGAATTCTCTACAAAACCCTTACTAGATGACATGTTGTTCAAAGTTTTTATATAGTGTGAAGAGTATATAATACGAATGGTCGAAATGAAAGGAAAGCTATTCCATTAATTCAAGATTCTAAATTTGAGAGTAATGCTTATTGTGTGGTTACGTCTACATGCACATTCCTAGTGACAACAACTAATCAAACTCAAAATACAACTGGTTAAATACAAAATATTGAAACAATTTGGTTTTATATCTCAAATCTTACCAAACAGTGGTTCTAGTTTTCTTTCTTCCCCTCTATTCACGACACTAGTCACACAAGGCCACAGCCACAGTTATAAAATAACCGGTTTATACTATCGAGAACCAATCCATAGATTTCGTGGGGAACCGGGCCGGTCCTTGATATAAAAAGAGAGAGAAAGAGAGAGAGAGAGAGAGAGAGAGAGAGAGAGAGAGAGAGAGAGAGAGAGAGAGAGAGAGAGAGAGAGAGAGAGAGAGAGAGAGAGAGAGAGAGAGAGAGAGAGAGAGAGAGAGAGAGAGAGAGAGAGACGTTTCTTGTATTAAGTTTCAAATACAAACTCCAAAACAAATCCCAAGTGGACAACCGACGAACCCACACAAACTAAAAATAAACACTTCTCTTCTCTTCTCTCTTTCCTAATCCACATATACATACTTGCATTTTTATATATAAACACTCTGTCCTTATATAGTTATGTTAAATATCTCATTAATACATCCTCACGAAGAAACCCATTTTGTTTTCTTATATAGAGAAATAGAGAGAGAGAATACTAAAAGGAGAAAAGAGAAATAGCTAGAGAGAAGAAGCTTTGCTTTTAAAATGCCAACGTCGATACATTTTCAGAGATCTTCCACCACCGCGGAAGCAACCAACGCCGCCGTAAGCAACTATCACAACCACCACAAACAGGTTCAAAAAGTGAGTCTCACGCGCGGGATGGCTGATGTCCCGGAGCACGTGGAGCTTTCCCACACGCACGTGGTTGGTCCTTCTCAGTGCTTCTCCGTCGTGGTGCAAGACGTTGAGGCTCCTGCCTCCGCGGTCTGGTCGATCTTGAGCCGCTTCGAAGACCCTCAAGCGTACAAACACTTCGTGAGAAGCTGCCGCGTGGCTTTCGGAGACGGCCGAGAGGTTGGGTCAGTGAGAGAGGTGCGAGTCGTCTCTGGTCTCCCCGCGGCGTTCAGCTTAGAGCGGCTTGAGATCATGGACGACGATCGCCACGTCATCAGTTTCAGCGTCGTCGGTGGGGACCACAGGCTTTTCAACTACAGGTCGGTGACGACGGTGCACGAGTCGGACTCCGATGGCAAGAAAAGGACACGTGTTGTTGAGTCATACGTCGTTGACGTACCGGTGGGTAACGATAAGGAAGAGACTTGTAGCTTCGCTGATACAATTGTACGGTGCAACTTGCAGTCGCTGGCTAAACTCGCCGAGAACACGTCTAAACGCTCGTAAATTTTACATTTTCATTTTTTACTTTGTTGATTTATTTTCTACAACTTTCAAAATTTATCTTCTTCTATTTTTGAGATTCTCGAGGTTGGGTTTGGGTTCAAAGATTTTAAGTATTTATCTCTATCGTCGGGGATTTTTCGAAACTACAAAAGAAAAGAAAAGAAAAAAACAAGAAGAAGATGGTTTTGGTTTTTCGAAGTTAGGGTTTTAGGGTTTGTTGGATTGGTGTTACGATAATATACTTTAGTTTTTACCCTTAAAACCATTTCTTCTTGCAACTCTTTTGTACAGTCTCTCCCTCGTAGCTCTAAAATTTTAATAAAACAAACTTTGATTGTTTAGTTTTTTTTTTGTTCTTTTCCTCTTGTTGCCCGGTTACTTTACATTTGTATCTTTGCTTAAATCATGAAATGATATAGTGGTTTCAGCCAAATGATCAGTATTATTGCTTCCTTATTTCCGAGGTTATGATCTCTAACTAGAGTTTGATATCTTTATCGTACACGGTAATGTACTAAATTTATAAACAATTTGATTAATATAATCATTGGCATAAGTATAGTACTTGTACATATTAAGAGATCTGAACAATATTGTGGGCATGATAGTCAGAAACCCCATGCATGTGCTGATCCATATGATCCGTTTTTTTCTTTATCCAAAGAAGAAAATAATTTAGGAAATTATGTATAGATCGATAATAATTATGTTAATTAGTACTAGCTAGTTATATAAACATAATTAATTCCTTTGAATTATCTGGTCTCTCTTCAATCAACTGATATCATCATTTGTATATAATCAGATACAAGATGAAATAAATATCAAATTTGCGAACGATAACTCCAACCATGCATAATGTACAATTTATATCAAGCTCTAACTCTATGATATTAGTTATGGTCGCTATGTATAATGCAAGGCCAAAAATGAATACATGGTGGCAGGTAATGCTTAAATTTTGGCAGGACGAACTTAAGAACTTTCATATAATTGGCTATTTCATCAACCAACTTTTACATTAATACATCAAAACGTTTGTTTTCACTCACCAAAAATGATAATATTCCTCGTTTTATTTTCTTGGATTTTGTTGCCCAATTATCTCGTTAATTTGTTTAATAAGAAGAATCCAATGAAGAAGATGAAAAGACATTGAAAGTTTTCCAAGAAAAAGCAAAACGAATTAGTCGCTTTAACAATTAACAATAGTAGAGATATCGAGACTTGTGAACACAAATTCAAAAATTGAATACATATACATATATATATATATATATATATATATATAGAATTCATGAGTATGATCGTACGTAAAATGCAAGTTGAGGGTGTAATAAAACCCAACTTGTTTATAGAAAAAAACACAAAGCATGCAACTTGCAAGCAAATAAAATAAAAAGTCGCTACTTTTTCAGGAAAATAAATAAAAATATATATTCGATAAATAAAAAGAAACAAATTGATTTAATATATATAAATATTATATTATGATTAATAATTATAAAATATGATAATAATGAGTAGGAAAATAATGTAATAATAGATATGGAAAACATTGTCGTGGAAGGAAGGAAGGAATTGCAAGTTGAGGAAGCAAGTTGGCAAGCAGGCCCCTATTTATGTTTTCCTTTTTTTTTTTTGTTCTTTTCTACAAATGACATTTTAACCCACCTCACTGTCTCACACCTTCTTCTCTTTTCTTCTTTTTTACATCACTATTTTTTACTTTTATTCATCTCTTATTTAATCTCATTATTATAATACAACCCATAAGAATTTTCATATATTTACTTATTTCCGGTGTGAACATGAAATTATGACCAATCCATAGAGAGATACGCTTTTTGTGGGTTTGTATATTCCAGTGTGGCATGTTGTTTATAAAGTATTAGTATTTTTATCTAGTTTCTTTTTAAATAGGGCATCAAAGAGTGTGATAACGTACATAGTTGTGATATTGTTTATTACATACTTTTTTCAAAAAAAGTAAGGCAAATAGTTCATATTCTTAGCTGGGCTATCTAACACCTTTAACTAAATAAAAATAAAACACTTTTTTTTTTTTTGTAATAAAAATGTATCAAAATCTTTAGTCATTTCTGATTTATCATATGAGTGTGTCTGAAAAAGGCAAACCAAATTCAATAGGTTAACCATGAAGAACACCTCCCTTTCCACCCTTACCCGAGACTATTTTTTTTTATTTTATAAAACAAATATATTTTCTTTCCTGCTTTTCACAATAACTAACCATATATATATATATTTTTGAAACCATATATTGTTTTTAAAAAATTATTAATAATGTAGTGTACTAAGTTTTGATTTTCTTTTGCAATTACCAAAATAAAAAACGTTTAATTAGTCATCGCTATAAATTATTCAAGTATAGATCGCTCTTTGTTTTGCTACATACAATGAATAATTTAGAGGCTACTTAATAATCTTTGATTTGTGAAAACCTCTTATAACCAAAAAAAACCGAGACAATATCAATCCAATGACTAGATTTTACAAATTTATCGACAAGACCTCTTCCCAAACTCAAAGCCAAAACGGTGTTATATATTTTCAACGAAAAAACCTTTTTATAAATCAAGGGTGGAAAAGTTTAGCAAAGAGAAGCTCATTCCAAGTATCTTGAAGGCCAGGCAAGCACCAATGTACACAATCCGCATAGCTCGTTGGATTCTCCAGCTGCTCATCCGTGAGTGGACTCCACTGCTTCTTGTATATCGACGTGTGCGCATCTTTCCGATAGTTCGACATCTGCGTTATGTTCAGAAACGTTATCGGTGTTTTCGATCTCCCAAACACTTCTCCAATCACTTTCATTATGCTTTTACGAGAATCTGATCCCCAGTAGCTCGGGTCTTCTATAAGTGTCGTCTGGTTATAGCAGTTCTCACCCGGTTCACCTCCCCAATCTATGCCCCTGATACAGTCATAGAACCAGATCAAAACAAAAACAACCAAAAAAGCCCTAACAAGTAGGTTTCTTGCCTAGAAAGAAACAATCAATTTGTCTATGCCATTAGTACAATTAAACCAGTTTAGGGTGTCAGTATGTGTCATGACTGAACTTTAAATCTAATGTATCAATCTATGGGCTAATCTTTTCGATGAAAACGGTCAAAGTGACTAACTTGGCATGAGTCGGAGACATGCTTGTGAAGAAAACCCTAGTTTTCTTACGATCCATATTGTTCTTCACCCATCTCAACATACTCTTCATACCCATCCGGTACGCATCTTCAGTCGAAACCTCCACAATATTCTTGTCTTTATCATCAAACGATCCTTGCCTATCCCACGAAACAATATTAGAAACCAGTCTAAATGTGAATGATACGTATAGTCATATAAATTGTTCTGATATTTGATGCTTTTTTAAAGATGGGTTACAACTTACAAGATGTTCATTTTCAATCCAGTCATCCACCATAAGTAAGTGTTAAAGATTATTATGTCAACGCCTTTCCAGTGACGGCCATGTTTGTTAATTGAACCTTTTCTCACAACCCTATCCGAGATCCTATGCACAATCGCATCGTCTGAATTCGATTCTAGAAGAAATGGTGCCCAATAGAACTCTATCGTTGCGTTATACTCCTGAGCATAGAAATCATAAACCAGGTGAAATTGTTTCAATACAGAGACCACCAAAAGAGTGACGATTTGAAGTTTTAAGTAGATAAGTATACCTTGGCAGTGAAGACAGTGAGGGAGCCATTGGTTTTCATTGACTTCTGATCTTCAGGGATAAGACGATGAAGAAGACAAATCATGGATACAAACATTCCACGGTTTAATGAGTCTCCTACATACATCATTCTCTTCCCTCTCAATGTCTCCAGCATCAACGTTGCATTGAATCTATGAAACAGAGAAATATAGAGTAACGCACGTGAAATGGAGAAAACAGAGTAAACCCATGAAACAGAGGAAATAGAGTGAATATATATGAAGAGCTTACGTGGGAAGATCGCACTGATTAGGTTGCCACCGCCAGAACTGGTAATCTTTGTCTGGACGGCCGTGTTCTTGACACGTAAGCTGAGGTTGAATGTACGGACACTCCCATTCCTCGTACGGTGGTCGGGAGATTTCATCTCTCACCCATTTCCCGCTGAAAACGTCGCAGCTTTCCTCTGTTTTACCAATAGCAAACGCAAGCTTCTCCGACTTCTTGTTCTTCTCTTAAGAATCCAAGAAAACAAAATCTCAGTTCCTCATTGTCAACAAGAACTCAAGAAAACGTTGAGTGAATGAACAAAAACGTTACCGGGTGTTCGGGAAGGTGCGAGGACGAAGTTGGGCTCGAGCTGGCCGAAGATGCACATGAAATCTTCGCCATAGAGAACAGAGACGAAGAGGATGAAAGCTAAGAGTGTGAAGAGGTAAGGAGAAAGACGAGTTTTTCTTGCGATTGAGGTAGTGAGGGAAATTGGTGATGAAGGTTTCATGTTTAGGATTGAGAAAGAGAAGAATGAGAGTTACAAATGTGGTTTCAGTATTCAAATAGTATTAGGAAAAGGGAAGATAAATTAAGAAATGAAAACTTTTGGTTCTTGATGATCTCACTCATTCTCATCAAACCTGCAAATAAGATGTGGGAGGAGGAAGCCAAAAGAACTTATCTTTGGAATTGCTTCAAGAAATACTAAAGATCTGTATTGTACAATGATTATGTGATTTATAATATGGTTATGATTAATTATATTAGGTGATGAAATTTTGTGAAGTAGCAAAATCAAACTCCTTACTTAGGGTGGTGAGCAGGTAAATGTTGACGCAACATAGTGGTTGTCTTCTAACTAATGATTTTTCGTAAGATTTAATCCATTATTGAAAAGGAATTTAATAGTAATTCATACAAAAATGTATGTCTCTGTTTGTTTTCAAGTAATCGGGTAACTTACACTGATTTTAAGACAAAAACGATCCCTGAGTTCACCATTAGACAGCATCTAGTTAGTTTTACGTTTGCTTAAATCCAACCTAGATGGTTATGATTCAATCTTTAGCTTATGTTGTCTTCTTTACTATGAATACTCCTCTTTTGAAAAAGAAACAATTTAATTTTTTGATGATTGATGGAGGTGAGGATTATAACTTCACTTAGCTTCGAAGCTAAGTGTACTTGAGGTGTTTTCGTACATTTTGATCGACTTATAAAGATGAAACATCATTGTCTTCACTTTTGTCCAATGGATGGATTTTTGCTGGTTACTTAGAAAACAATATAGAACAAAATCGACGGTTAACAATTCATTAAAACTAATATCACAATATCGATCTCTAAATATATAGTTTGTTTCTAATAATTTTTAGCAGAGAGTTCAATATGAAATAAAGATTGGAATTAGTTGAGAATTTGTTGGGATTTCAAGCTCAAGTAGTTGGCTTTCACTGTTCTTCTTTGTACACACTCCTCCACCCAGCAAACACTAAGCTAACATTATTCTAAACGCTACAATACTCACATTTGTATACAGAGATGCTCTTTCAAGAGGCATCATTGGCAAAGATGTTTCGGAAGCTGAACCAGCTCTAGAAAGGCTAGTCCAAAACATGTCAGACTCAGACGGACCTATCCATATAAGCCGTCTAAATACTACGACACAAAAAAAAACGAGAAAGACATGTTTGACTCAGCTAGACCAGTTTCTCATTCCGCTCAATTCAAATCGCAGATTTTTGGTCCATTGCAACACCTCTATACTCGTCTATCAGAATAGGTCGGAAAGAAAAAAGAAACACTATACTACATAGTATGCAAGACTATTTTCGAAATAAATTGTCTAAAACATCAAATACAGCGATTAACATTACTTCAAAACCAGCGTCAAGAAACCACGACAACAGTTTCCAAGAGCAAATACTGAAAATGGTAAAAGCCCCAAAAATAGTCATTGCTTCTATCCAATGAACAAGATTCTTTTGTTTTAACGGGATATATGACATAACAAGATTTAAAGGAGAGGCACCTTATAACTTGCAGTCATATAATGGCCAAAAGAGTACTCAGGGTATCATAATCAAGCGGCGTCTGCAATTGGTCGATTGAGTCAAGGCAAGGTTGGGAAATTGTCTCCAGACCATGGATCAGAGAGGATGCTGCGACTGCTCAGAAGTTGACCTGAGAATATGAGGTTCGTTGACCACGACTAGACCCCCCGAATCTCGAAAATATTGAACCAAAACAGCTCTGCAAGATGAAAAGAAAAAGTAAACCCAATGAATTTATTCTTAGACACAAATCCACCAGAAGATAATATAGAAACAGAGAATAATACTTGTGTTCTGTGAGGTACAGTGGCCCAGAAATCCACATTCGGGATTACCTAAAAACAGGATGTGAAAATTACAGTTGTGTTAGAATCAGTACATGAGAAAACTTCGCATGTATAAAGGTAAGTTAGTGAAACATACATCTATGCCACGAACTCCAAGGGAGAAATACCGATACATTGCACCAGCCACCAGATAAGCTCCAAACAGGCACAAGATACTGAAAAAGATCAAAACATTTCATATACAATTCCAATGGCCTTGCATAAAACAATTGAGATGCTCACATGATTAGTAAAGTACTAAACCAGCCCCATCCACTACTATGGCCGGATATAGCTGCTACACAACCGGAGGGATGTCGCAGCTGTGTTGCCTGTCAGTGAAACAAAATCTCCAATATAAGTCCCACGAATGAGAAAGACAGAAAACATATCTTCAATTTCATAATCACACTTTTAAGTATTCCATGTTAAGTCAATCACTCCCCAAACAGTCTATTACTAGCCAAAGTCTATAACTCTTAGAAATCAAGTTATTGAGATGCTACGAAGAACTCAAGATTTCTAGGGCATATAAGAATGCAGTCATGGGTTTTTCAAGAGCATGTTCTACGAGCAAAAGTATTTCCATTTGTTTCCTACTCTAAAAGTCTAAAAGCAGTGCGTAACTGATAAAGCTTTTAACAACTTTGTCCAGTATCAAACTTATAAACTATAATATTCACAACATAAACAATGAGAAATGGTAATTTGAAAGCTCTAGGAAATAGAATAAATAAAATGAGTTACTGGACACTCACATAGTGACAGGTACCAGATTTCACCAGAGTGAGTGGTCCCTGAGAAAAGGAAATGATGACTGAGGTATTAGTGTATATGTCCTAGAAACAGCTAAATCAAAATTTAATTAATAAAATTAAGTAGAATGTACAAATCCTTACATCAACTTTATTTTTCTGGCAAATAACAGAAACTGAAAGCGAGCAATTTTGGTTCCTATTTCCATTTGACATCTTAACAATGACGCCTTTACCAGGATCCTCTTTATCTACCATATTCAAAACAAAAATCTCTCAGACAGCATTACTCCATTATAAATTGCATAAGAAGTTGGGAGAAAACAGCATATACAATTTAACTTTTTCCCAACTTAGAACTCACATAAAAAAAAATCCACCATTACAAGTGATTAGAGACAAATATTCTCAATTTTTACATAAAGGTATCTTAGGCCTTACCAATAATATCAACTTTTGTGCTTGAACTATTCCCTAGAGAAGAGCATACATCATACCCTGCAAATGATTAGATTTAAGATGGTTTATTTAACTCCTCATTAGCCAAAAGCATCGTGTAATCCCTGCACCTTAAATTTTTTCGACCTAGCAACAAATTATTCACCACGATTACATGATGTAATTGCTGTCAGAGTGAGATTTTTGTACCTCTGAGATTTTCTGACACAAGTGCACTACATGATGTTCCACAGTGTGATGGACCTCCGCAATTCTAAGTGAGAAAACGAAAGTCAAAGAAACTGATTGAGAGTTCCAAGTTAAAGATAGAAACTTTTTAAGTTCTCGTTGAAGGATATATCAAAACAATGGAAGTGGCAAAAAAACTTACTTCGCAACCAACACATCGAGGGGGATCGTGGTTGAAAATCAACACGTCACAAAGCTGCTCCACAAGACAGTTTACAAAAAGAAATAACAATCATAAATCACAATGGTCTAGTGGTGACATAAAAGGAATTATAACTACCAAGCAGTTGTAATCTTCAAATCGAAACCACCTAAACTATGAAGACTTTCCGAAGCAAAACCTGTCAAAGATTTGTATCTTTCTTCTTCTACAGTTCCATTAACCTATCTAATCCTTATCCTTGTGACCAATCAGAGCAGGCAAGAAAAGCAAGATGCATGAGCAGGACTACACACTCATCATGATCAATGCAACAGAGAAAAAAAAAACAGAAACAAAGTGTAACCTGATATAGAAGACAACCTGAAACCATAGCACAGTACTGTTCGCTTCCACTTTATAAAACCTGATTTATCCAAATACTTACACTTAGTAAAAAAGCAGAACACAATTAAAGTAACAAAGATTGAGCAAAACGAACATTTTAACTTAACACCTGAACCAAATCGATATCGTCCAATTACAAACTACAACACCTAATGCAAATTGAATGCATTATCAAACACGAGACAGCATATAGAAAAAAGGGAATCTGAGAAAGTACCCATCTTCGCTGAGGACACCGTGAGGGAAATTTCGAATCGAAGAAGCTAGATTGAAATTAAAGACCTTGTTGCGTCCGGTGAAACTGAATTCGCATTGAGAGTTAACTCGGAAGCTAATAAGGACGAGAGTGATGAGAAGAAACCTCGGAATCCATAGGCTCCCCAACATTTCTAATTCCTCCTCACTCTTTTGATTTTCGCTTTCAATCTTTTTCAAAATTCTCTCCTACGATCTCATAACTATGTCAGAGGATCTTAACGGAGAAGAAGAGATGAGTGCTCGGCACGGCTATAGTCGTCGCAGTTCGCCTGTTGCTGATTTCACATCCGTCGCTGAATCGACCGAGATTTTCAATTGTACCCCTAAACTTTGGAATTCTTACGAATACGCCACTATTGAATTATTTGGGTGCAATTTTGAGGCCTGCGTGTGATCAGATATTGGGCTCCATATTTGTGCTTCTCGACCCTCAAACGGCCCAGTAAAAACGAGTTTTTATGAAATCTCTCGGATTTTAATTTCTTTGGACTAGTTAATTCGATTCTCAGAAAATGCAATTTTTATTTGTAGATTATGATGTTAACTTATCAGAAAAACATAACATAAAATTTTTGTTTGGAGTTTCGGTTACAAGAAATAATATAATTGTATACATCAACTAATTAATTAGGCAATTATACATAAAATGAAAATGTAATATATAAAGTCATTATCGTTGTTTAGATGGATTGTCCGTTGTCGAATCAATTCAGACAATGTTGAGGAACCATCTTACCACTTACGGAACCGTCAACATTTTCGCACACCGCAGTAGAAGGACCACCTTTAATCCCGTTATGCTTTAAGTTAATGTCAATTAGCTCAACATTTTTGCATGGAAAGCTCTTGCTACATTGCAAATTCACTGCCACTTTGTTCTTCGATGTTCCATATATGTTCTTTAACTTAAGATCCTGAATCTGAACGTGAGACTCTCCCTGTAAAAAGAAACACCAGTTATGTTTTGTTTTTGTTTTTCTTGTGGAGGAAGAAAATAAAATAAAGCTTGTACTGTTGTACATATATTTGTATCGAATGTTAACCTTTTTCTCATGTTCACAAGGTGGATGAGGACAATATTTCTGATCGATGTTGATAGGGTTTCCAACGTCAATCATTTGAATATTCTCGTACACGAAGTTAGAAACAAGAATCTTCGAAGCCGAAGATTCCCAAGTCTTGATTCGAATACCATCACTTGTGCCGTTGAAAACGATGTCTCTTACTGTTAAGTCTTTCACATTTTTCTCGTCTTTGTTCTTTCCTAAGCTTCCAACACTGATCCCATGTCCAGGACCGCACTTGACGTTAGAGATATCGAGGTTAGTGGTTCCTGAGAGAATGGCAATACAATCATCTCCAGTACCGATGTTTGTCTTGGAGATGTGAATGTTGCTACAAGAACCCATCTTGATACCGTCGGTGTTAGGACTATCGGCGGGAGCTGTTATAGTGACTCCGGTAATGTTAAAGTGATGGACAGAGAAAAAATTGAAGTGTCCCATCTTGCTGTTGAGTGATGTTATGTCTTTGATATTTGAGTTGTTCACGAATGCAAATCCCATTGTCTATAAAGAAACTCAAGTTTATGAAATATAAGACTCATGTACTTGATAAAAAAGACTACAAACTTTAATAAAGCTAAGTATACTAAATAATACATGAATTATAATTATTTCACTGTATAAGTGTCATATCACACGTTTTGTATTACGTTTTAAATGTAAATAATAATTATATTTTTCAAAACGAATGACTAAATGAAAAAGTTTAAGAAATGTTACCATAGCTAGTTTAGGACAATTGGGGTTTTTGTGGCAGTCATTGAGAGGCCAAGACTGTTGCCCTTGGCCGTCAAGTAGACCAGAACCAGAGATAGAGAGATCATTGATGTACCTAAAGTTAATCCATGTGTCTTGCTTAATGTCTCTAGGGTTTGCAGGAGCCAATAAAGTTCCATCGATAACAATTTCAATAGGGTTTTTGCATGGACCCACGAACTCTACACCGCCGAGGTAGAATGTTCCTTTCGGTACGTAAATTTTACTACTTCCACTTCTCCTTCCACATGCACGACTCCATATACTTGTGAATGCCTAAGTTTGTGTACATATACATTAAGAATGACAAAATTTAATTATATATCAAATAAATAAAATCATAAAAATTATTGTACATTAGTCATGTATGTTTATTGTTTTGTTAGTATCCATAGATTTTAATCTTAAAACTAGACGGTGATCAAAATTAAACAAACATAATTGTCGTGTACATACATTGGCATTATCAGTTTTTCCGTCTGGTTTCGAACCATGGCGTCGGACGTTGAAAACTTTTGGTTTAACTGTCGGACGACTTGCAACGGCGATGAACAAGAGAAACAAACACAAAATCTTAAATGCATAAGCCATGCACACCATTTTGTTTAGGGTATGTATATATATGGAGATTACAAAAAATTATTGTTTATGAATACTTGTTTTAAGAGATGATGATAGTATTGGCCTACTTTATATGTTTATATAGAGTTAGAATTCATTGATGAAGAGTTAAAAATAACTTTAATTTTGTTTTTGATTAGTGATTAAAATTAGGTAGTTTTTTTTTTTTGTAATGATTGTGATTCGTTTAGTATCTTGTTGTTGCCACAAAAAAAAAATGGTTAGTATCTCGTTATGAAATGTTGATATGATTTAGCTTTTTCGTTCTTCTCTGTTAAAGCAGTTGTTTTTTTCATTGAGAAATATGCTGGTAAGATTACCAATAAATTGTTTTTTTTTTTTCATTAAACCACCATGTATCTGAAACTATTTTCTTTATAATATGTTCAGAGTTTTACATATATGAAAAATAGTTTACCCACAAAATAAGTATTATATTTGTTTTGTAAAATAATATTTATTATATTTATTCTATATTTTCTAGATTAATAGCATATACAAATACAGAAATTACAAAGTTTGACAAGTCTTCTTCTCTCTAGTTCATGTTATTTTCAGTTCAAAAACTGCAAGAGATTATATTTATTAATTCGAATAAATGATCACTTACAAATTACAAGTAAAAATGTCAATTTCAGTTTTCATCAAATAAAACAAAATTATGCAGTCTCAAAACAAAATAACAAAATAAATCCAAGAAATTTCACGGATATCGATCGATGGTTGCCACAAGCTTGCCACGCGCCATCACCGATATCTCAATCGTGTACGTACACGTGTTTACCATCCACAGCCTCATCATCAACCCACCCATCACAATCTCGGTTTCTCACACTAACAAAAAAAAAACCATTCGTCTTCTCCAAATTTCTCGCGAAGAAAACTTTTCCACCTGTTTCAATCTTAAACAAGTCAAAAATGCTTCTTAAGTCTGTTTCGTCTTCTTCAGCTCTCTCTCTGGTGAACTTCCATGGAGTGAAGAAGGATGTCCTTCCTTTATTATCTTCCAATTCGTCTAATCTTCGAGTTTCTTCTGGAAAATCTGGGAGCTTATCTTTCTCTGTTCGTGCGTCTAAGAGCTCAACCACCGATGCCCTGAGCGGCGTTGTATTCGAGCCGTTCAAGGAGGTGAAAAAGGAGCTCGATCTTGTTCCAACAAGCTCTCACCTCTCGCTTGCTCGGCAGAAGTACTCCGATGAGTGTGAAGCCGCCATCAACGAGCAGATTAAGTAAGTTTTTTCTTTCGTTCACTTCCCCGCACTTAGATCCTGTATTGTAACCTGGTTGTGTCAGATATATAAGATTTGGTACTTAAGAACCTTATGTTGATTCTGCTTATAGTTTATCTTGTAAATTCTGAAATTCTTCAATGGGTTTTGGATTTTGGATGCAGTGTGGAATACAATGTTTCGTATGTGTATCACGCTATGTATGCGTACTTTGATCGGGACAATGTCGCGCTCAAGGGCCTTGCTAAGTGAGTTTTGGTTATTCAAGAATGTTGATTGCTGATATTTTTGGATTTGTTTTTGTTTGTTAAGTTCATAGGCAATTGTTGGTTTCCTGGTATCAGGTTCTTTAAGGAATCAAGTGTGGAAGAAAGAGAGCACGCTGAGAAGTTAATGGAGTATCAGGTCTTAGAGAATACTATTTCCTTACTTCATAAGCCATAGTTAGAGCTTAATAAGTGCTAACATGCTGGGATTTTTCCATGAATTGCAGAACAAACGTGGTGGGAAGGTTAAGTTACAGTCCATTGTGATGCCTCTCTCAGAGTTTGAACACGTTGATAAAGGAGATGCTCTATATGGTAAGCTCATAAGTGATTACCACGTTGTATCTAACGCTTCATCCTAGTTTCTTTTTTTTGTGGTTTCCCTAAAGAAAATGTTTTGGTTTTGGTTTTATCTTCGTAAGTATCATGAAAATGTTCCTCTCATGTGGAGATAGAAGTCTCAATGGATATAAGAGTTGAAACATACAATTTGTTGTTTGCAGGCATGGAGTTGGCTCTGTCACTGGAGAAACTCGTTAATGAGAAGCTCCTAAACCTCCACAGTGTAAAGGCCATCTCTTCTTGAGTTTATACTATATTTGTCAAATCCCTGTTAAGAAAGCAATCTACAAGAACTGTTCTCATATTTGTAATGCTTTGTTCAACAGGTTGCTTCAAAGAACAATGATGTCCACTTAGCAGATTTTATTGAGAGCGAGTTTTTGACAGAGCAGGTAAAAAAACCACTTGGGTGTTCTATGTTAGTGGCAAAGCACTGCTATTGTTTCTAAGCTGTCAAAGAGAATCGAATTGGAAATTTGATAAAATCAAACATTTGTCAGGTGGACGCAATCAAGATGATCTCAGAATATGTAGCCCAACTACGACGAGTTGGCAAAGGACACGGTATATACTAATCTCTCACATTTTGTTTTAATCTATAAAGATAATTAAAAAACAACAACATTACTTGTTCATCCTCCACTCAGTGCCTCAAATTCATTTGTTTTAATTTTTCATTTTTCAGGAACATGGCATTTCAATCAGATGCTTCTGGAAGGGTAAGCAGCGTTCGAGGGACTCTTTGTGCCTAGCGTTTTCTATATGAAGCTCTCTTTAGTGATATGTATGGAACTAGTTTATTATTAGTTCTTCAGCTTGTACTATTTTGTGAGGTTTAGATTTAAATGCATGAGTTTAAATTCTGGTCTAAAGGTTCATTGAAGCCACAGGTGGTGACCATTTTATATATCATAAACATATTGATACTTGGAAAAAAAAAAAAATTTGATACCATTACCACGATCGATTCGATCTGAAAATAGTGCTGCCAATTCATAATTGAAATCAATGTGAACAAAATAAACCGTTTCAAGCTAATTTAGAAGAATTTTGGCGGATTGACGACCTATTTCCCCCCGAGAACTATCACATCGTATCAGAACAACACAAAACTTCACTCTCGTCTTTAATCTCCCCGAATTGATAGTTCTATTGCTAGTTCCACCCGAATCAAAAGTTCTATCTCTATTTCCCCAATCGCGTGGGTTTACATGGTTTTCGAACCAAACCCGATAGATAACCATAGAAACACGGTTTGAAACCAATTTAAAACCCGATTAAAAATCATGCCCGACCCGAATCCAACTATCCAGATTATAACAGATAGTCGTTTAACGTTCTAAAATCCCCAATTTTGAAACTCAAGAACCCTAAAAATCGAAATCTCCAAAATCGAAAATCCCCAAATTGAACTCTGAGAATCATGAGTAATGTCTCAGGAGCTTCGAATTCTTCATCTCATGTGCGAGGTAGAGGAAGGACTTATGTGTTTAGCGTGCCCAAGAGATGTTGGTGTGGAGAAGATATTGTGGCCAAAAACTCTCACTCGGATGCAAATCCTTGTCGAAGATATGTTCGTTGTGGATATGCCTATGCGATTGAGAAGAAGAAATCGATTGAATCGATTCGATTTCAGATTCTAGGGTTCGACTAGGGTTTCTCGAGAGAGAAAGGGGAAAAATCGATTTGGGGTTTTTTGATTTTTGGGTTTGTTTGTTTAATTTTGTAATCGGGTTGGTTAAGTTTTTTAATCGTGTCGAATTAGGTTTAATCCGGTCACTGGATTCGTTCTTCGGTTAATCAAAACAGTAACCCAATTTTTAACCGATTAAACCCACACATTTGGAAAATTGGATGAGAACTATGATATCGGGGTGGAAATAGAGATAGAACTTTTGATTCGGGTGGAACTAGCAATAGAACTATCAATTCGGGGAGACTAAAGACGAGAGTGAAGTTTTGTGTTGTTCTGATACGATGTGATAGTTCTCGGGGGGAAATAGGTCGTCGATCCAATTTTGGATTTGGCTCAAAAAGTCTGAAATCCTAATGGGCTTTTAACCCCCAAAAACCTAAAATTTTGTGTGGCCCGATTAAAACCTAACTGTTTTAACCGACACGGCGCCGTTTTTAGTTCGCATCTTTGACGCAAGTCAGCTAGTTTCAGTTTGCTTTCATTGCTCGTCTCTTATCAGTTATCCCTAGCCAAAGAATCCGCCTAATTGCTCCGTCGCCTAAACCCTAATTCTCTCCGCCTCATTGCTTTCTACGATTCAACAAAGAGAGAGTACGCCTGACCTTAACAAGTATCGAAATCATTCAATCATGGCGAACCAAACACCGAATCTAGAGTGTCGGATGTACGAGGCCAAGTATCCAGAGGTGGATATGGCGGTGATGATCCAGGTGAAGAACATCGCCGATATGGGAGCTTACGTTTCTCTTCTGGAGTACAACAACATCGAAGGCATGATCCTCTTCTCTGAGCTCTCCCGTCGTCGGATCCGAAGTGTGAGCAGTTTGATTAAGGTCGGGAGAATTGAGCCTGTCATGGTTCTGCGTGTGGACAAAGAGAAAGGTTACATTGATCTGAGCAAACGTAGGGTTAGCGAGGAGGATATTCAGACTTGTGAAGAGAGATACAACAAGAGCAAGCTCGTGCATTCTATCATGCGCCATGTTGCTGAGACTCTATCTATTGATTTGGAGGTAAATTTTTTGAAATTTAGCTTAGATCCTATTTGCTTGATTAGCTTAGTTGAACTTTTGGATCATCTGCTTGATTTGGATATTGACAACTATTATCCATCTGAGTTTTGGATTTGCTGGTTAGAGATGTTTCATAAAGTATTGTTCTGGTAGATGTTGAAACTTGAAACTATTAGATTATTGGTTTTATCCAATATGTTTCGTGACGAAATACTTGTAATTAGGTGCCATAATAATTTATTGATATAATCGATGATTATAAGTTGATTGGAGCTTTCATATTGCAGGAGTTGTATGTGAACATTGGTTGGCCTTTGTATCGGAAACATGGTCATGCTTTTGAGGTAAGAATTTGTGACTTTGAGATTCATTGTATATCTATGTTTATTTAGTTCTCAATTATATTTTTCTTTTGTTCAGGCCTTCAAGATATTAGTGACGGATCCTGACTCGGTGTTGGGTACCCTCACCCGTGAGATCAAAGAAGTTGGGCCCGATGGAGCAGAGGTATACTTTGTTCTCTTGTGTTAGCTGTTGCCTGTTAGTACAAACTTCCTCTGGTGCTAATCTTACAAATTTTCTGTTTGTAGGTGACTAAGGTTGTACCTGCTGTTACGGAAGAAGTGAAAGATGCACTTGTGAAGAACATTAGGAGGAGAATGACACCACAACCAATGAAAATCCGGGCTGATATCGAATTGAAGTGTTTTCAGTTTGACGGAGTTGTTCACATTAAGGTCATATTTCTAATTGGATTATCTTTAACTTTTGGAAAGCATACATTATGATTTCATTGAATTTTCTCACCCATGATTGCAATTTCAGGAGGCCATGAAAAACGCTGAAGCCGCTGGAAACGACGACTGTCCTGTTAAGATTAAATTGGTTGCCCCACCTCTTTATGTCCTTACTACTCAGACACTTGACAAGGTTAGAAAATCTTCTACCTTGTATTATGATCTACTTGCATATTACAGAAACCTTTCTATACTTATCGTTAAGAGGTTTATGATCTCTATTTAGATTGTATATCCAGTAAAGCAACTTGCTAAAATTTTGATTGCAATAGTTGAAATCATTTAGTTGCAAGGAAAGTAGATGTTTTAGAAAACACACACATATACTATTGTTTTCCAACAACTGGTGATTGCAACTTTGTAAGCCAATTATGTAGCCTTGTGGATTTTGTCTTCAGTTAAACCATAAATGTGTAAATACTATGTTTTATGGCACTGTTCTAATCGTGTGAGTCTCTAACAGGACCAAGGGATTGAAATTCTAAACAAAGCCATAACAGCTTGCACTGAGACAATTGAGGAACACAAAGGCAAGCTTGTCGTTAAGGAGGGAGCTAGAGCTGTGAGTGTCTTACCTTCTTTTACTGTTGAACCTTCTCAAGTTGCATGTCAAAAAGAACTAGCTTTTGTTCTTTGTTTTGTATATTAACATTCAGGAGTCTAATGTTAATATATGTATTGATAGGTGAGTGAACGTGATGATAAGATGCTGACAGAACACATGGCTAAGCTACGTCTTGACAATGAAGAAATTAGTGGCGATGATGAGAGCGGAGACGAAGAGGAGGACACAGGGATGGGTGAAGTAGATCTTGACGGTGGTGCCGGAATCATTGAGTAAAATCGGCGGATCTATTGTTTTTCCGACTAATTTTCTTTCTGTTAAATCTCTACCCAATCTCAACGGTTGAGTATTTTGCTTCAAGCTTTCGACAAAGGCAGTAGAAAAACCTCGGAGAGGATATTATGTGTTTTTTTGACATCTTGAGGCATTTTAGTTTACCCATTGGGGGTTACATATCAATCATACATTCATGGTTTCATAAAAGATTGATTTTTTTGCATATATTACTCACTGTCACCCACTGCTCAAGAATATGTTGCTCCACATCACATGACTCATTATTATCTTGGAAATGTCGAAGGTAGGTTGATTGGATCTGGCAATGTCTTCGAAGATACAGATATTCATCAATTACACACTAATGCCATGTAATTATTAAAAAAAAAATTATTATTATATTTTAAAAACAACTGATATGTTTTGATCCAAAAAAAAACATCTGATATGTTATATGAAAAATTAAAAATTGATAAACTACTGAACTAGCAATTCATACATAACTAAAAATATTTCTTATTTCGTAAAAAAATATATCATTCGAATTTCGGACAAATTCTATTGTTTTAACTCTGTCGGCGCATAATTACTTTTTAACTCTGCAAAATCGAAATGTGAAAGCTGCGACTTATGGAGCTCAGCTCACACCTTCTTCTTCTTCTTTCTTCATTGAAACGCGTCTCGTACTGATCTTTAACGATCCGTCTACAATGGGGATATCCGTACAACCCGTCGTCGTTTTACTCCTCTCCACTATCCTCATCACCATCACAGTCTACCTCTTCACCACCGATATCGTCACATTCCCTTTCCCTTCTTTCACCCCCACCGATTATTACACACCAAACCCCAAATCCCCAGTTCCTCACCAAAACATCGACGTTTCTTCCAATCGAACTCTGCAGAAGATGAAGCTAAACGCTTCATCACTCGAGGTGGTGGAACAGCTGAAATGGGATCTATGTAAAGGCGCAGGATCTGTTGATTACATACCTTGTCTTGACAACTTCGCTGCAATTAAGCAGCTCAAATCTAGGAGACATATGGAGCATCGAGAACGTCATTGCCCCGAACCAACCCCTACATGTCTCGTTCCCTTGCCGCATAACTATAAGCCTCCGGTTCCGTGGCCTAAGAGTCGGGATATGGTGAGAGACAGATCCTGTTTTTGTTTTTGGTAAGCTTTGGTTTTCTTTTGAAAAAATTCTAACTTTTGATCACCTTGATCTTAAGTTATATGATTTGGTTTAGTAACCCATTTGAGTATTTGGAAGTTTCTGTAAAAGAGTCTGATAGATTCATAGTTAACGTTTTAGAGTATTAGTTCCATGAACTATAGACTATGGAACTCTTCTTTAGTTGTTTACGTTGTAATGTGTAGGTTTGGTATGACAATGTTCCTCACCCCAAGCTTGTTGAATACAAGAAAGAACAAAATTGGGTTATAAAGACCGGTGAATATCTTGTTTTTCCTGGAGGAGGTACTCAATTCAAATTTGGGGTTACTCATTACGTTGAGTTCATTGAAAAGGTCAGCACTTTCTTTCTTTTTTTGTTGTTTTTACCCTGTTTTGTGTTGTGGAAAGACTGATCCGTGTAACTTCACAGGCTTTACCGAGTATCAAATGGGGGAAAAACATAAGGGTTGTATTAGATGTTGGTTGTGGCGTCGCTAGCTTTGGTGGGTTTTTATTAGATAAAGATGTCATTACAATGTCATTTGCCCCTAAAGATGAACATGAAGCTCAGATTCAGTTTGCGTTAGAACGAGGAATACCTGCAACTCTTTCTGTTATTGGAACCCAGCAGCTTACATTCCCGAGCAATGCGTTTGATCTTATCCATTGTGCACGGTGCAGAGTCCATTGGGATGCTGATGGTATTATTTTGGCCCTGGTTTGTTTCCCTCTTAGTGCGTAAGCTTCAAGCTTTTCATGATCTTTTCGGTTCATTTTTGTAGGTGGGAAACCATTGTTAGAGCTAAATAGGGTACTCAGGCCAGGAGGTTTCTTCATATGGTCTGCAACACCGGTCTATCGAGATAATGACAGAGATACCAAAATATGGAATGGTTTGTAACAATCATTTCTTTGATTTGGCTGTTCAACACTGATCTTGGTATATATGGTTTTTAATTGTTACAATTTCTGTTTTGCAGCAATGGTTTCTCTTACTAAATCCATTTGCTGGAAGGTTGTGACAAAGACGGTTGATTCCTCTGGAATCGGACTTGTGATCTATCAAAAGCCAACTTCAGAATCTTGCTATAATAAACGCAGCACACAAGATCCACCTCTGTGCGATAAAAAGGAAGTAAATGCTTCATGGTATGAAACTGTTAACCAAATGATGCTTCACATTCATAAAAGTATATATAGGATGTCTACTGTTATGTAACCCTTTATTTTCTTCTTAGGTATGTTCCCCTCGCCAAATGCATTTCCAAATTACCGAGCAGAAATGTCCAGAGTTGGCCTGAGCTATGGCCTAAACGGCTTGTGAGTGTTAAACCTCAAAGCATTTCGGTTGAAGCGGAAAAATTGAAGAAAGATACAGAGAAGTGGTCAGCAATCGTATCCGATGTGTATCTTGAAAGTCTAGCTGTAAACTGGTCGAGTGTGCGGAATGTGATGGACATGAATGCTGGTTTTGGCGGGTAATTTTCATTCTCTGAATCTTAATCAGAATCCGGTTTATCCATAACTGAAACTTGACCCAGTCTTTTTTTTTTTTTTTTTGTATGTTCTGCTAATAGCTTTGCTGCTGCACTTATAAATCGACCTCTCTGGGTGATGAATGTTGTTCCTGTGGATAAACCTGACACTCTCTCAGTCGTGTATGATCGAGGCTTGATCGGAGTTTACCATGATTGGTGTGAGTCCCTCAACACTTATCCTAGAACATACGATCTGCTACATTCCAGTTTCTTCCTGGGAGATGTCTCACAAAGGTAAACAACAGATCAGAATCTGTCAGTCTCTAGAGTTTCAATTCTTTAGCAGTTGGCATTCACTGTTTTGGTTCGGTTTTCCCGCTTTTGAGATATGTGTACCGAACTAGAACCTGTTACTTTTTGTTTGTCTCGTTCAGTTTGATTTGCCGGTCATGTTTAGCCTTAACCAGAATCCGGATTGTCCCAAGAAACTCTGTTTGATGTTGCAACCGTTTGTTGATGTTTTTGGGTCTATTTCAGGTGTGAGATTGTACAAGTAGCAGCTGAGATAGATCGGATAGTGAGGCCAGGCGGATATCTTGTGGTGCAAGACACCATGGAAACAATAAAGAAGATTGAATCCATATTTGGTTCGCTTCATTGGTCAACCAAAATATACCAGGACAAGTTCTTGGTTGGTCGGAAGGGATTTTGGCGTCCCGCTGAACCGGAGCTCTGATACTGATAGACAGGAAAAGAAGCATAAACAATACAAACTAGCAAAGTAATTTCATTTGTACACTATCAAAGACACAACTAGATTATATCACAGTGTACCCCCATTAAACAGAACCAACTTTATTAAGGGGATTTTGTTTTGAATTTACCAACTACAAAGTATATCATAGTTGTACCCTAAACAACAGAGCTAGTTCAAAACGGCGTTTTCAAAGTATATAGAACCTATCTGCTCTTTTGTTGAGTTTTATTTCAGTATTATGATTTGTATTGTAACACCCTTGGAACTTTTTTGCCCAATTAATAAATTTTGACTACCAAAGAAAAGTAAGAATATAAATTAAATGTTTTGGCTCTTTTTTGGGTAAGAAATCATTTTATTTTAGATTACGTCCTTATCTATTCTTATCACTCACCCATAATAAGGCGTTCAGCTTTTTATTTTTTCTTCTGTATTATAACATTTTCATTTTCCTCAAGATTTCGTTGTTGATCGTCTTGCCCTAATGTTCCCGAATTGGTTTCAACTGCGTCGACGTCGTCGAGAAGTCTCGCCGGGCTCACCAAAATGGCCGAGACATTTCTCATGTTCGTCTTTCAAAGATATTCAAAACCTCCTTCACGACGATGACCTCTCCCCGGAACCCTACTCTCCGCGGAGTCAAGTCATTCACCAGCCTCGGAGCCCTGCTAGGATTCACGGATGTATCTCGAATGCAAGTTTTTCACCACCAAGGCTCTTCTCCGTCGTGGACATCCCCAACACTGATCACCGAGGCGTTGTTCTATACTACACTAGCCTTCGAATCATACGTAAGACGTTCGAGGAGTGTAGATATGTGCGGTCCATCCTCCATGCACTCCGAATCACTATCGACGAGCGAGACTTATCGATGGATTCGACGTTTCACGACGAGTTACAAACTCTTTTGGGAACCAAGAATGTGGCGTTGCCTACCGTTTTTATCGGCGGGAGATATATCGGCGGGACGAAAGAGATTAAGAAGTTACATGAGAAAGATGAGCTGAGGAAACTGATCGGGGCGTTACCACGGTCAGGTGAAACGTTCTCTGAGATATGTGATTTCTGTAGTGGATGGAGATTTGTTATATGTGATATGTGTAATGGTAGCCACAAAATACACTCGGAGAGGTCTGGATTCGTGAGTTGTACGTCTTGCAATGTACAAGGTTTGATTCGGTGTGTGTCGTGTTTTCCGGTGCACCGACGACAGAATTCTAAGAGTTCCGGTAGATGAAAATGTATGAATTAGCTACAGGGGAACAATTGTTTTTGGTAATCCTAAAAGTATTTTTATTTAAAATTACACATACAGAAAGGTGAAAATTAGGAAGGTTGACTAGTAATATTTGACTAGTTTAGTTCACCCCATTTGATCTATGTAATGTATTATCTCTTCCCATAAAGGAAATTAAATATGAAATTGTATTATTTTATATTTGACTATTACACAATAGTAACATTACGTTTATAGTATTAGTAACCAACCGTGAATTTGTTAGAAATCATGTCGGTCATGTCCATTTGTTAAAGCTAATCTACAAAACCATAAACTTATCCATTGGAGAATAATTAATTCATTGGCTGTTAGGGAAATTTGTTTATTATCTTAGATTCTCAAGGCAAATTTGTTTTCCGCATAACTGGTTCCTCCTAGCTATAACAATATAATATGGAATGTTTACAAGATAATATATAACACTAGGATATGAAAGATAGAACAAATTGATAAAGAGACCAGACCACGACCACGAGGATCCCACAGCCACATGGGAAGAGAATTGGGGACGAAGAAAGCAACAGCTAAGCAACGTCCACTTTGAAATAGTCACAAATATACTTAACATTACAATCATTCCTTCAACTTCAATCATTCAGATATGATCATCAAACCAAAATCTACTTGGCTCTTCTATTGTTTTTTAAATATTTTCGTTGAATTTTCATAATAACCTTTTGTAAGAAACAACCTCTAAAATCAGAAGGTGTTATATAACCCAAAAAATAATAATCAAAAAGTGTGGAACCATTCCCTACGCTACAAGTCTTTTGCGGCGGTGGCTGGCTAATTAAGCCTTTTGTTTTGAACGCAATTAGTTTTGTCCACTACATTCTAGTTGGTATAATATGTTAATATTAACCCCTTACAACACATATTTTTTCACCTAACTTGTAATCAAGGCGGCTAAATATAAAGTAGGAAAACAAATTGCAAAATTTTTATAAAGCCTAAAATAAAACATCTAAATCATTAACATATAATACAACCAGGACATATATCACAATTTTTTTAACATGCCCAATCTTATCCATGTACGTTTCGGTTTCACTTGATATTTTGAATATATTTTTTTAATTGATATGTGTAAACTAATTCTAAAGCATGATTGCTTTAAATATTTCGCTTTTAGATTTATGTTGTGAACCAAAACTGGCATGAGTTGGTTTAAACTTTAAAGTATCCATTGTCCAATAGTTCACGGGAAACCACTCCACGCGATGATCTTGAGTTCGTTTCTCAATATAAATCTAGCAAAAAGAAATGAACTGAATTCCAAATTAAATTAACTTTAGAATTACTTAGTATTGATTATATCATAAACTTAGCTAACAACTTTGATTAACAATGTAAGTATGTAACAAAACGGATATAAACAAATGTAGGAAAATAGTGATGTTAATTTCCTCGCAAATGGTTTGGACTGTTGGAATACGTCAAGATGCATTGGTTCGAACGTGGTAGACTAATAAGACTTGTATTATGAGTCACATAATAATGACTATAAATCGTTGAAAGCAAAACAAATCAATTTCTCGAATAGTTTAATTTTCCTTTAGTTTTTCATGAAAATACAAATAAGAATAAGAAAAGAAAAACGTTGATTGGTTCACAGAATAAGCACACCTTATATTATTTTCTACGTTGACCAAAAACTGAAATAAAAAAATAAGATTCCTTAATAGTAGTTTTAGTTTTCCTTTATCGGGAAAAACACGGCGCACGCGCTTTCTCTAATCAAAACTCAAACTCGTTTGCTAAAACGAAGAAGAAGAAGAAGAAGAACTCATCACACACAAAGTCTCGTCCTTTTTGTTTTTTTTTCTTTGTTCTGATAGTGTCTGTCTATTCCTGTAATCTAGATCCAAACTCGATTTCATCATCCTCTGCTCTCAGCTCTTGCAGCTGTTGTTGTCTTCTCTGTATTCATTCGATCGATGTTCAAAATGCGTTCTTTTATGGCTTCTGTCATCCTTCTCAGCTACTTTGGTTTGTGTTGTTCGCTCATGGACCAAGGTAGAGACTTTTTCGGTTTCTATTACACGTCTTAGCCTTTTTGGGTTGCGAAGAGAACAAAATCTATAACCTTTATTAGGAAAAAAATATTCATATCCTCTGTTTCGCTTTGTGTTCTCAGGTGTAGATGTTCTGAGAAGTGAAGGCAGTTTAAAGAAAGATCTATGGTCAGATGGAGATTCCAATCATTTGTAAGTAGCTGCTTCTGAGATTTGTAGTGGCTCTTTGGTTTAGATCATTGTGCTGATTCAGTTTCTCATTTTTGCTAAGAATTAACAACTCTTAAAGTTTCCATTTTGCATTTTGATTCTCTACTCTTTGATTTATCTGGAATTTGAAAAGTTTTTGGTATATGGAGTCAGGGGTTGGTAGATCTACAAATTTTCTCTAATTATTCTATGACTTTTAAGTGACTTTACATGTTCTTATTCATGCTTTATATCTACGTAGCTTTCTATATCTTGATCTTACTTAGAGCACTTTAATTTATTTTTCTACCTTTTCCCTATTTTTGTTTTAGGAAAGCTGTTGGATTTCACAGGAAAACACTTGTCCGTCAGCAAATCAATTACAAGGATTTGCCTTCTAGAAAAAACCCCAAGAACCTTCCTCCGGCTGCAACCATCGCACCATCATCATCCCCGAAACCTTCTCCAAAACATGTTTCAGCTAAACCTTCAACAGTTCCGGAGCCACAAAAGAGATCATCTACACAAGATGTTTCACTTTCTCCATCTGTCTCAGTTGCAATTTCTCCCCCTCCAAGAAAAAAGTCTGATTCTTCTTCAGTAGTTGTTCCACTTGTGGTTGGCTGCGTATGCGGTGCTGTTTTTCTTCTCCTAGTAGCTACTGGCGTCTACTTTTACAGACGTAAGTCTTGCGAAACTGTGAATCCTTGGCGTACGGGTCTCAGTGGACAACTTCAGAAAGTTTTTGTAACTGGTAATTTCCCTTCTCAGTTGTTACATGGCATAGTAGAATGTTTGGCAAGTGCACTTACTTGGAGACTTATTAGCCAAATTTGGATCCTTTGGTTTAATCAATGTGTGTTTTGTTCCTCAGGCATCCCTGTACTCAAAAGATCTGAGATTGAAGCCGCATGTGAAGATTTTAGTAATGTCATTGGATCTTGCTCACTTGGGAAATTGTTCAAAGGAACACTATCAAGTGGAGTTGAGATAGCTGTCGCTTCATTTGCTACTACCTTTGCTAAAGACTGGAAGAACAATACAGAAGTTCACTTTAGGAAGAAGGTTTGTTCTTTTCCCCCATTTTTCGATTTTTGGCAACAACAATATATAGTGGTCTTAGCCTCTTCTGTTTCATGGTTTCAGATCGAAATGTTATCGAAGATCAACCACAAGAACTTTGTAAACCTACTTGGTTACTGTGAGGAAAAGGAACCTTTCACCAGGATCTTGATCTTTGAGTATGCTCCAAACGGATCACTCTTTGAGCATTTACACAGTGAGTACTTGTCATAATCTACAATGTATTATGTTAGCTAGTTTTCTTTGTGATCTAAATGGGAAGCTAATCGTTTATTTATGTTTTCAGGTAAAGACTCAGAACACTTGGACTGGGGAATGCGGTTAAGAATAGCAATGGGTTCAGCATATTGCCTTGAGCATATGCACCAACTCAATCCACCTATAGCTCACACCAATCTCGTCTCATCTTCTCTTCAGCTTGCAGAGGATTATGCTGTCAAAGTATCAGATTTCAGTTTCGGTCCATCTGAGACAGATACTAGCATCAACAACACAATCATAGACACACACACCTCAGTCTTGACTCCCCAAGACAACGTTTACAGCTTCGGTTTACTGTTATTCGAAATGATAACCGGGAAACTCCCAGAATCGGTTAACAAACATGACTCAGCAGATAGCGGGCTGGTCGATTTCTTAAGAGGAGAGACTCTAGCCAAGATGGTAGATCCAACACTGGAATCTTATGATGAGAAGATTGAGAATATAGGTGAAGTGATCAAATCATGCCTCAGAACAGACCCGAAAGAGAGGCCTACAATGCGAGAAGTCACAGGATGGTTACGGGAGATAACGGGAATATCACCTAACGATGCTACGCCGAAATTGTCACCTCTTTGGTGGGCAGAGTTGGAGGTTTTGTCAACGTCATAAGAGATCCCTTCACCAATAAATCTGTATATATTTTGAAGATGTGAGACTGTGAGTTCAAGTAAAATCTATAGACATGTATATGATGAATTAGTGTGCAAATCGGAAAGAAAGTTCTTGTAGGAATTATATATTTCTTCTAGATGAAAGCATTTGTACCAAAATGGTAGAAGAGACCACAAAATATCATAGCAGGAAAGACCACAAAACATCAGATTAACGGCTGCCATATGCTTCACTTGTCAATTGTCAATCCAGCATCTAGCTTCAAGGCACATGTGTCCTGTTATTCCATCACTTGTTCTTCTTACTATGCCTCTGCATTCTGGACCTTCATGAACCTTGAAACTCATGTAGAAGATTGCATTGTTCATCTTCAGTTTCATACTCGAGTCTACATCTTCTGTTGTTTGTACCACTACTTTCTTCATTTCAAATGGCGTATGGGCACTCTGCAAGACACATCAAACAAAGCTTTGTTGGCGAAATGATTTAATTTAATATGCTCTCACATGTCTATATGTTTATATCCTCACCATGTCAGAGTCCCACTTGGAGAACAATGCAACTTCAGCATATAGATGAAGCCATTCATTGTCTCGCAACTCTAGTTCATTCACCTACATTTTTAATCAAACTAAACTTAGTTGAATGATTTACAAACTTGTATACTAGTGGAAATAGATCACATAGTGAAGAAGATGAGTCAAAACTAACACCTCACCTCATAGAACTGCCACTGATCATCATTCGGTGGCCAATCTGGCATATCACCTTTGTAGAAGTCATCTATAGCATCAAAGTCCCACAAGGTAGTGGCATCTCCCATGCCTAAAACATTTTTTAAAAAAGTTTAGTCATAACTAAAAAGAAACAGTATTGCCTTGCCCTTTGAGTACCCTCCTCCAAGCATACTATGATACTACAAGTCAATTATGCAATATCAACATGAAAACAATGGCACATGGACTCTCTTTTCACACAGTTTTATGTTACCTGGTACTTGAGGTTTAATTCTGCATATTTTAGTGACGAGTATCAAACGCGCTTTGTTTTTATACCCTGCATCAGTGACTAAAGTTTGGAAAGTGTGAAGTGAGTTGTTGATCGGATCCATCACCTCAGATGTTGTATAGGAATTGTAAAGCGAAGCGATTTCTGCATTAACTTTGAGTACACTCTTGAATTGTAACTTCTTTCCCTACAAGAATGATAAGCATCTATCAATCACCCGTCATTTATATCAAAAATTTCCGATAAGGAGAGGGTACTAAAGCATCTATATCAAAAGAGAAAAAAGAGTAAACCTTTTCAAGATTGTAACAATGGAGTCCAGCCTTTGCGAAGAGCGTGTCATAGGGACTACATCCACGCGGAATTATCCCATTATACGTATGGTTGAAGTAATCAACATCGAATCCCTAATTACAAATACGAAAATCATTGTATGAACTCTCAAAGCACAAATCTTGCAAGCACAAATTCAAGAAAACACCCCAAAAGGAAAAGACTATGCATCCTTTGAAATCGAGCATAAAAGGAGTTAGATAATTACACAAGACTCGAGAACTTGAAGACGATACTTTTCGTGTTCCACAGCATCCATGTCGTCTTCATCGGAGAAATAAACATCTTCCACAGGTGAAGGTGGAGCTCGAGCTTCGTGTTCGTCAAGCGACAAATTTGCCTCATCCAACATCACATCGTACATCTTCCCGACCGATTTCGCTCGCTACAACAGTGCTCTTCTACTTATGATAAGAGAATAGCTAGGAAACCTAGTAAAAAGTTGACCGAAAAAAAAGGAAACCTAATTTTTTCTTTTACTTTTGTTGAACGGAACGAACACGTCACGACAAGGGTTTTGTCTGGTCCCAATTGTTTTTTATTTATCTTTTCCCCCCTTTACTTTTGTTTTAATGTAAATAGACCCCTATTCTTTTCCATTCCCACAAAAAAATAAAGAGTTCAACTTGAACCGGACCGGACCGAACCTAATTTAGGAAGGGAAGAGCCCAATTGGCCCACATGGGGATGTTATTATTGTTCGACGAGAAACCAAATATTGTAGGATAACAATTGTCGATATTTAGATGTTGTGATTTTAGGAAAAGGCACGGGTTCTGAAGATTGTTTCCACACACAATGGAACACGACAGTCATATTTCCTTTAGGATTGAAGGGTGTGTACACTCTACACACCTCACTACCTCATAGATAAGTCAACATGCCAATACATAAGCTGACAGTGCATATTTGTTGTAGAGACGATTGTTAATAACTAATAAGAGATCGAGTTCAGGTCAGTAAGATTCTTTGAATGTTTTAGAAGAACATTTTACTTTCAAAGAAAGAAAAAAAGAAGAGTTTTACATGATGTTGTGGAAATATTTTTTATTAAGATTCATTCAAAAACCATCTAAAACTAAAATGATTCCACACTCATTGTTTGGTTGAATACATTAATTTCCTATGTGTCATCACTGAATTCCCCAAAATAAACACAAATTTTTATTTCAAGCATCACATATGAAATATTGAAATGAAATTCCCAATTTTTAATTCGACAAGCAACCTACATTCCACGAAGTTGCCCCTGGTCCAAATTTTATTCGTTTCTATTATTTAATAAAGTTGGGAACACGACTTTTGTCCTCATGGTAATATAATAATGCAATACCAAAAACGATATAGAAATGACTATATACGAATAAATATAATATTATGGAATTGTGGTTTCAATACCTAAACTATTGGGCCATACTTACTGATTGATTACTTGCTTGGCTGCAGTGACTATGCATGCAAACCCATGCATAATACGTACAAAATCTATTTATTATTCTATTCCTCTCGATCGGCTCTCTCCTAACTTATTCTTTCCCACATTATAATATCTTTTCTTATTCTTTTATTTCAATACACATTATTATTTGAAACAAAATTCGATGAGTTATATATTGCTTGAATTAATCACTACAATCTCAGATCTTAAGGACAGACCCTATATACTAATCAAAAGAAGATTATAGGTTCCGAAATTGAAAAAGTTTTGAGAGATAATTAAACACGTAGGAAGACCATATATGGTCCACGCTTAGAATCTGATTGATTCATATTATTATGTCAAGGATGATATGAATTAGCATCGTGGTCAATTTCAACGGATTACATATAAAAGAAACTTAGTAAAATCAACACCGTAATTAATATTACTTTTTATTTGGTCAACACCGTGATTGATATTACTTAGTAGCATTTGGTATTTGTTGGGTCGTATAATTTGCTCATGGGTTGTCGTCTGAGGATGGAAGTAGGATTGTAGCTAGGGTAGATATAATAAACGTCATTCTAACGTATAATATATATATTTATTAAGCGTACAATTATAAAACCAAAATATACGACAGTTTTAATTCTTCATACCAATTAATAACGAAGACGAAAGATACGATTACGGCTGGACATTGTGCTTCCAAAAAGATTTTGCAAAAACAGAAACAAACGTCACATACCTAATTTATTTGACCGATGACTTCTACCATTTACATTTTACAATATTTGACACAGTTTATATATTTGCATGTCGTTTACACGAAAAAATTGCCTAGAATAGAGGTACAACGTTACGTATATTCTCGTTTATTTATGTGCTACAGAATAGAGGTACAACGTTACGTATATTCTCGTTTATTTATTCCTTTTAGAATAATGAAATAATTAAGGTAGATATAGTTTTAGTATATATTTAAAAAATGATCAATGATTACGACAAAAGTGAAAAATATGGTTCATATATATTACTTAAAAATAGTTGTAAGAACAAATTTTGATTTTTATGGTTTTATGAACGTTTATATGAATTATCTAGTTGGTTGGTACTTAATTAGATATATTTATTGTTTACGTGTGTGTGTGTGTGTATACGTACAAATACTCAAGTTCA